GAAGCTCAGTAATGTCCTTTTATCTGGAGGTTCCTTCTTTCTCCACACTTCAGGAACTCCATTTTTAATCAACCCGTCTTCTCCGCGGTGCTGATATAAGTTTGCTGTCACTCGGCTCCTCCCAATCTGTAAAGGGAGCGCCTGAAGTGATTTCCTAAACGGATGAGTCACAGTCAGTTTGGTCACCGCTTTTTCTCGCCTTCGTGCCTCAATCCTGCTGAAATCTTTCAATTTCCTCTTTATATGAGGGGTATTGTCGCACATCATTATCCCAGGATGTACCCAGAACTTGCCACTGCCTTGTTCTTGGTAGCGCAAAAGATCTGTCCTTCCTTGCCGCCTTTTCTCCTTACCCAGACAGCCGCCTAGTCGGTCACATTCTTCAAAGATTGTGTCACAGTCGGAGTCACTGCGTACAAGTGTCTGGCCAGTGTATAAACTGATCAGATCATTCAAACACTTTTGGGTCTTGAAAAGTGATAATGTGGCATTACTTATTTTTAAAGTTTCCACCCACTGTCCCACAAAAGTTGCTTCTTCTCTAGTGTTGGCAGACATCCTGGTCTGTCCAGTGTCACTATCCACATTAGAGTTTACAGGAATATCCTGTACTTTCAGAGTTTCCTCTTGTAGGCACTCTGAGATATCGGGAGGTTTCTCCTCTCGAGTATTCACTTTCTTCCTGGTCGGGCTTTCTGATGCCAAGTCCAGTGAAGATAAATGAAGTGGCGTGTTACTGCCTGTGTCATCAACCTCTTGGGGGTTGGAGTCAGAACTGAGATTAACTCTCTCTTCATGTGCTGCCGCACTGAAGAGGATAAGAGAAGCAGGTGCCCTGTCATTCTCTGTCTCAGTCTGAATTTCTTCTTCTTGTTCAGCCGAACAGAAGGATATAGGAGAGTCGCATAAGGTCTTGCCCTCGCTCTCACTAGTGGCTGGTGTGCCAGTCAAACCGCTGGGTCTGTATTCAAGGCAGTCCTCATTCTTGTGACTACTGTCACCTGTGCTTGGGGTTCTCGTTTTCCTACTACTATTCCATTTCGGAATGTGCGGATCCCCTTCGTCTTTCTTTGAAAAACTTGAAGGGTTGAAGAAATCGGGTGTGGCTTCCCTGGTTCTGTTGTCACGCTCGTGACTGTTAACGGTACCCACGGCACTCTTTTTCCTTCCACGATTCAGTTTCTGGTCGGGAGGAATTTTCTCATTTTGCTCGTCTGAGCTAATGGAAATAAGGGGTCCCAGCATTGTAGGTCTGGTCCCTTTTGAAGATTTCTTTTTCTTGTCCCATCTTTTCCTGGTTGGCTTAAGACTGGAAACTAAGGGTCCCGGCAATGTAGCTACGGTCCTGTTAGAAAAGTTCTTCTGTTTCCCTAGTATCCCTTTTGGGTTAGTAGGTTTGATGTACTGTCTGTCTTTTTCGAGGTGGTTTTCATCCTTATCCCTAGTTTCTAAACTTTTGGGAGTAGGGGTGTGCACATCTAAATTGGGAGGTTGAACCTCTACAATCTGTGCCCTAGAGTCAGTCTGAGGTGTGCTTTCCTCAACTGTACTCATAGTATCATCACCATTTTCTGCTTGCTGTTCAGGCCGCCTTTCTCTGTCATATTCTTGTTGAGTAGACTGTCGCCTTCTCTCGTCTTCTTCGTCGAACTGCTTCAGTTCTCTGAGGAGTTCTGCTCTTATAAGCTGATACTCTCTCTCGCTGTCTATCTCACGCTGGTAGCTTTCTTCGTCTTCTTCTTTCATACGTTGCAACTCCCTCTCGTGCTCTTCTCTTAGAAGTTGTTGCTGCATCTTACTTTCCTCTCTCTCCAGCTGGCGCTTTCTGTTAAGTTCGCTTATACGCTGTATCTCACCCTCTTCTTCTATCTCACGCTGACGCTTCTCCTCTGTAGCAACCCAGGCAATCCTATCATCCCACTGAACCATACGGTAGTTAACAAAGGTCTCTAACTGTGCCCCTACCATGCCGTCTGCTACCCCACATTTTATGCATATTTCTCGGTACTCGGTACGTATATCCATTCTATCTTATTAGATCTATTAAGAAAGAGGTATAATAAGTTCCCGAGTCAGAGTAAGCGAGATAAGTCAGAGCAAGGTACAGTAAACTGGACAACAGAGTAGACTACTACCACAGCACAGGGATGTGAATGAAACAGAGCAGCCTACCAGACTGACAGCTTTTGGAATGATATAGCAGCACAAAATTTCGCCTGTAAATGATGTGAAGCAATATTACATTCAGTCACTAAGCATAAATATCAATGATATGATGTCAACATTCAATGTTCTACAATCTATATCAAATGATGAAACATGCAAGCAGATATAATCAAAATCAACTCTATCTAAAATTTACTGAATAAACAATGATCAATGGTTATGACGTGATCAATGATAGACAGTTAAATGATACCATCCATTTATTTATTTTAAAAAGTTATTTTATACTTTATAATCTCTCTCCATGTATAAATTACTAATTTTGATTTATACTATATACTGGCAGAAGAGTTAAACTTAAATTTAATAAATTTACTATCATTAGTCTAGGAGTGATTAGCCAAGTCCATCCACGGCGAGCTCTCCCAGTGTGACGTTCCGGCCCACTCCCTTTGGAAATTACAACACTTTCCGTGTGACGTCCCGGGTCGTGGGTTCTCTGGATTTGGGTATAAATGATTTATATGTTGAGTAGGGATTTTCCTCTCAACACCTCCCCTCCACCAGATTAACTGAACTATTATCTGGGCTATGTTGCTCTCAGACAAAGTCCTGGATATCCAAGAAAACAGCCATATTGGCTCGTTATTTATATTAACTTTAGCTGAACTTGGTACCCACAAGAGAAGGAAATGGGTTTTAGATGTCTATATATTATTATCTTGAATGATTTACTAGACAGGGCAGTTGACCCAATCCGTCGACCTTCTCTTGGTACAGAATTATTATTATTATTTAATGAGCCCCCACCAAATGCTATTCTATCTTAACAATTTAATTAAACGTGTAAGAACAGACACATTTGGAATTACAAAAACTGATGCAGGATAAGACCATATATTTGATTTATTAACCTAGCAATCAGAGTATGACATTAGTCATCATTATTGTTATAATAGATAGTGATGGTATGGTGATAATGAGAAGCTTCAGCTAGATAACTGAGCCCCTAAGATAAGAGTAAATGATAATGGTGGTGTTTAGTTACATAAATACATGTTACATAACTTTAGAAAGTGGAACCTCTGAGAGTCCTCGTGTTGAGTCCCTTCTTAGCTGTTCCAATCTTTCCGCCCAGTTCTCCTGGTCCTTCCACCTGGTTCCCTGGTTCCCACCTGTTTCCCAGCTGGCCTAGCTCTAACACAATGTAGTCTCGTGACCGTGATGACCCTCTATTTCTTTTTTGTAGAAAAGACTGATCCTCACCCACATGGGAGCTGTAATAATGGGAACAAACACATACGTGTAGTATCTTGACTTACACTAAGAATACATGTGTCAATTAATACAATATATAATAATATATTAGATCTCATCACTCCTCCTCATATTCCACATTCTCTCCAGTCTATTCTGAAGGTCTTTGTGTCTCACACTGACGTCTCACATATCCTGCCTTCCCTCTAAGGTTCTGTCATGATAGTTGATTTTCTGTTGTCCGTCATCACTCAGACTTCCAACTTGCTGACATTGATTTGACATAAACATGTGGCGCAGGTTATGTGCTGAACACCCAAACATTTTATACGTGCATGCTGTCCTGAATATTATCTTTCAGTGACAGTGAATAATATACACTCATGATTCTTCCCCTGGGGTTATAAATCCCCTGTTTAGGTGAACACATTAGGTGAGCACATGGTGGGCACACAAAATGTAACAGCATGGCTGCATATGTGGGCATCATTTCCCACAGTCCAAACCCATGTTTTGGTTGATGGTTGAAACATTATACTTTCATTACATTTCAGTATACAAGTCTTATTTTATAAACATGAAAACATACACTGAAAAACATGTGTCACAAACATACAAGAAATAGAAATAGTTTAGCAGTTCCCTAACTGAGATACTGAATACTCACAAAGAACTATTTCAAGCAGAATGTGTAGACAAATTAGGAAAAGGTAGAATAGATTTTAGCTAACTCCCTAACCTATGTATACAAGATTGAAAATAATTGTACAGGCTTACCTGGAAACTTCCAGCTATCGCCAAACTAGAATCAAACCATTAGAATTACCTCTAAGGTCGACCTGTTTGTTGCTTGTCGCAGCGATTATGACAGAAATTCCAGGGCTGCTCTTATTAATACCTCTATCTGTCTGCAAGGTTAAACTCCACCCTCTACTAGGTTCTACCCAACCCTCAAGGAGATGACCTAAGCCCCGCCTCTGAGGTACCTAGCAGATCAACCTAGCTATCAATGGGCCTGTCACTCACAGTGAACGGCCTACAGTACGACCTTGACCAAGATTAAACATTCCTAATTGCCAAACATCTGTTCTCTTGAGAATTTCACTATCATGTGTGAAAACTTCAGACGCTGGACGCCGGCCTGTCTAGAAATGTCTACCGGACCACTTAATTCCCCTGATCTATCCTGTTCAAAAGGAGCCCCTCAGTCTGTGTTATGTAACTTTTTATGACACTACGGTCGGATTCAGGGGAGCTAATCAGGTGTGATACGAAGTTATCATGTTGATTCTTAATTCAACATTTAACTCAACTTTCACTGTTGTAGAGCTCTTTTGTCTCCTTTCCGTGCTCAAATTTCGAACCAGCCAGATGATGTTGATACTTCACTAGTGTTGAAAGAGTGCGCATGCATGCATGCACACACACACACACACACACACACACACACATGCAGAGATCCAAACAAGCATGAACACACACACACACACACAGAGAGAAAGAGAGAGAGAGAGAGAGAGAGAGAGAGAGAGAGAGAGTCCAGAGTGAATTTGTTTCTTCATGTTTTGTCTGTCCAGGCACCCACCTATGGGTTTGGGATAGCAGTTAGTGGTGGCTATGACAGTCCCCATTTTGTCAGTGGTGACCCATCTGTAGCTATCTCTGATGTCTTGAGTGGAGGGCCTGCAGAAGGGAAGCTGCAGTAAGTATTTTGTTGTTGTTTCCATGACCCAACTGGTGGTTGGTGTTGTCATCAAAATTAGCATGGCCAACGGGTGTACTTATCATGTTCGAAACATACGGGGGGGGGGGGGGGTCATGCTATTGACAAAATCGGAAGGAGACACTGTTTTATAAACAAAACAGCATTGGCTGTCGTTGCCTTCTTCCTCCATTCATCCAGACCAGCATGTTTACAATGTTTACATTGACAATGAAGCTGTAATAATTAGTCAGCGGATCTTTCTGGAGAAGCTGAAGCTGTTAGGCCAAATTAATGGCCCGTCTATATTTAGGGCCCCCGCGGGAAAAGCCAGAGTGGGGCTTCAGAATAACTAAACATTGCATCCCACAAGGGAATGATGAGATTAGTATAGTGTTGGAAACAACTGCTTTATATTTAGATGAAAACATGGGTGGGCACATCAAATAAGTCAGCAATTTCTGGTTTGTTTGTACATCAAATGTCAATTGCAGGTTGGTCAACATAATAATATATATGACTTAAATAATGAGGGAGCAGGATTCTAATCCTGCGGGTCAAAGGATTTCTGTCTGAGATGTGGTAAGTCACACTAAATAAAAACACATGGTGGCTATCTGGACAAATGTGTCTACTCACAGTCCTTAGAAATCTTTCTAATTACCACAACAATAGTCTTGTGTGTTTTTTTACCTTAATTAGACACAAATTTCATTCACTTGAGGTCCATTGATGTTTGTTAACTCTTTGAGTCCCAAGGAACGCATGATACGTTCATAGGTTACTGCCTAGAAGCCCAATGAATGCATAATGCCCCAATTTTATGTCTCTGTTGACTATCCCTTGGGCCTGTGATGCTAAACCCTCTGGGACTCAAAGAGTTAAACTTGATTCTATATTCTTAAATTTTAGAATGCTATTAAAACGTATCTATAGTTTTATTTATTAAATACAGTCATAAAATACATGTTTTTATTCAACTTGATTTTATGCTTTATAACATAGTCTTTTTTTAATTGATCTTTATAGTGAGATTTATTTTATAAAATGTTTTTTTCGGTTCTCCTGAAATTTGATTCAGGTCATAATTAGTTTATAATCTAACATGATACATGTGTTCTGAAATATGATGTATTTTAACAAGGTGTACTTCTTTAATGTCTTTACATCTGAACTGTATGAAAAGGTGTTCGAAAGTTTGTTTTAAAATATAATGTTATTTTATTGGATCAGTGATGTCAGTAGTAACACAGTGTATAAGTGAGTTAATCAGTGAAGTCAGTAGTAACACAGTGTATAAGTGAGTTAATCAGTGATGTCAGTAGTAACACAGTGTATAAGTGAGTTGATCAGTGACGTCAGTAGTAACACAGTGTATAAGTGAGTTAATCAGTAATATCAGTAGTAACACAGCAGTATTTAAGTGAGTTGATGAGTGACGTTAGTAATAACACAGTGTATAAGTGAGTTAATCAGTGATGCCAGTAGTAACACAGCAGTATATAAGTGAGTTGATCAGTGATGTCAGTAATAACACAGTGTATAAGTGAGTTAATCAGTGATGTCAGTAGTAACACAGCAGTATATAAGTGAGTTGATCAGTGATGTCAGTAATAACACAGTGTATAAGTGAGTTAATTAGTGATGTCAGTAGTAACACAGCAGTATATTGTGACGTTGCGGCCCACTCCCTTGGAGATTACAACACTTTTAGTGTGACGTCCCGGGTCGTGGGTTCTCTGGATTTGGGTTTATATGATTTATATGTTGAGTAGGGATTTTCCTCTCAACACATCCCCTCCACCAGAATTACTGAAAACTATTATCTGGGCCTATGTTGCTCTCAGACAAAGTCCTGGATATCCAGTGAAAACAGCATATTGGCTCGTTATTTATATTAACTTTAGCTGAACTTGGTACCCCACAAGAGAATGAATGGGTTTTAGATGTGGGGGGGAAAAAGGGCTATATATTTTTTATCTTGAATGATTCACTAGACAGGGCAGTTGACCCAATCCGTCGACCTTCTCTTGGTAAAGAAATTGTTATTATTTAATGAGCCCCCACCAAATGCTATTCTATCTTAACAGTTTAATTAAACATGTAAGAACAGACACACTTTGGAATAGTAAAACTGATGCAGGATAAGACCATATAATTGAATTATTAACCTAGCAATCAGAGTATGACATTAGTCATCATTATTGTGATAATAAGATAGTGATGGTTGGTGGTGGTAATGAGATGCTTCAGCTAGATAAACTGAGCACCTAAGATTCGAATGAATCTATAATGGTGGTGTTTAGTTACATAATTACATGTTACATAAACTTTAGAAAGTGGAACCTCTGAGAGTCCTCGTGTTTGAGTTCCTTCGTAGCTGTTCCAATCTTTCCGCCCCAGTTCTCCTGGTCCTTCCACCTGGTCCCTGGTTTCCCACATGTTTCCAAGCTGGCCGTTGGTTCTAACAAATGTAGTTTCGCTGACCGTGATGACCCTCTATTTCTGTTTTTAGAAACGACTGATCCTCACCCAATGGGAGCTGGAAACTTCAGCTATCGCCAAACTAGAATCAAACCATTAGAATTACCTCTAAGGTCGACCTTTTTTGTTGTTGTTTGCCTGGCAGCGATTATGACAGAAATTTCCAAGGGCTTGTCCTTATTAATACCCCCTATCTGTCAGTGCAAAAGGTTAACTCCACCCTCTTTATAGGTTCTACCCAAACTCTCAAGGAGATGATTAAGCCCGCCTCGGAGGTACGTATTAGATGCAACCTAGCTATCAAGGGGCCTGTCACTCACAGTGAACAGCCCCAGTACAGTACGACCTTGACCAAGATTAAACATTCCTATATTGCCAACACATCTGTTCTCTTGAGAATTTCACTATCATGTGTGAAACTTTCAGAACAGTGGACGCTGGCCTGTCTAGAAATGTCTACTGGACCACTTAATGTGGACCCGGATCTATCCTGTTTAAAAGGAGCCCCCCTCAGTCTGTGTTATGTAACTTTTTATTGACACTACTGTCCATTCAGGGGAGCTAATCAGGTGTGGTCGAATTTTTTTTTTACCCCCTTTTACTTGCCTCTACAGACTGGGCAGGAGATAATAATATGACATGGGGCAAGTGAAAATTTCTAACTACAGTAGTATTAGGTAACATTACATAAAGCAAGGTTGCTTTGTCTGGATAGAGCCGGAAAACACAGTTTAAACAATTCTTCAAAATCCCTATAGTGGTTTTAGAACTATTTTAGGCTCAGTGTCTATTGCTTTCAATTCTTTATCCTTCTCTGAACATAAGAAATTATTAAACACAATATAACTTCTGAGACCACTGAGGTCATTTCGTCACATATATAAATGATTTGATCAGTGAAGTCAGTAGTAACCTAGTGTGTAAGTGGGTTAATCAGTGATGTCAGTAGTAACACAGCAGTATATAAATGATTTGATCAGTGACGTCAGTAGTAACACAGTGTATAAGTGAGTTAATCAGTGATGTCAGTAGTAACACAGTGAAAAAGTGAGTTAATCAGTGATGTTAGCAGTAACACAGTGTATAAGGGAGTTTCAATCAGTATGAAGTTAATCAATCAGTAGTAACACGAGTGTAACGAGTCAATGGTACAGTCAGTGTAATGTACAGTGAGTTTATCAATGGTATCAGTAGTAACACAGTAGTGTAAAAGTCAGTTTATCGTGATGTCAGTAGTTATATCAGTGTTATCAGTGATGGCAGTGCACGGAGTAGAAGTCACATTAGTAGCACGGAGTAATAGTCAGTTTATCAGGATGTAGTATCACAGTAGTAAGGCCGTAATCAGTGTTGTCAGTAACTAAGTCAGTTTATCAGTGTGTCGTATAGTTGATGTCAGTAGTAGTAACACGGAGTATAAGTCAGTTTATCAGTGATGTCAGTTGTAGCACGGAATAGAAGTCAGTTTATCAGTGATGTCAGTAGTAGTCACGGAGTATAAGTCAGTTTATCAGTGATGTCAGTAGTATCACAGTGATATAGTGTTGTCCAGTCAGTTTATCAGTGATGTCAGTAGTATTACAGAGTATAAGTCAGTTTATCAGTGATGTCAGTAGTAGCACCGAGTATAAGTCAGTTTATCAGTGATGAGAGTAGTAGCACGGAGTAGAAGTCAGTTTATCAGTGATGTCAGTAGTAGCACGGAGTATAAGTCAGTTTATCAGTGATGTCAGTAGTAGCACGGAGTATAAGTCAGTTTATCAGTGATGTCAGTAGTAGCATGGAGTATGTGAGTTTATCAGTGGTGTCAGTAGTAGCACAGAGTATAAGTCAGTTTATCAGTGATGTCAGTAGTAGCACAGAGTATAAGTCAGTTTATCAGTGATGTCAGTAGTAGCACGGAGTATAAGTCAGTTTATCAGTGATGTCAGTTGTAGCACGGAATAGAAGTCAGTTTATCAGTGATGTCAGTAGTAGCACGGAATAGAAGTCAGTTTATCAGTGATGTCAGTAGTATTACAGAATATAAGTCAGTTTATCAGTGATGTCAGTAGTAGCACGGAGTATAAGTCAGTTTATCAGTGATGTCAGTAGTAGCACGGAGTATAAGTCAGTTTATCAGTGATGTCAGTAGTGCACGGAGTATAATTCAGTTTATCAGTGATGTTAGTAGTGCACGGAGTATAAGTCAGTTTATCAGTGTTGTCAGTAGTGCACGGAGTATAAGTCAGTTTATCAGTGATGTCAGTAGTGCACGGAGTATAATTCAGTTTATCAGTGATGTTAGTAGTGCACGGAGTATAAGTCAGTTTATCAGTGTTGTCAGTAGTAGCACGGAGTATAAGTCAGTTTATCAGTGTTGTCAGTACTAACACGGAATATAAGTCAGTTTATCAGTGATGTCAGTAGTAGCATGGAGTATAAGTCAGTTTATCAGTGTTGTCAGTAGTAACACGGAGTATAAGTCAGTTTATCAGTGATGTCAGTAGTAGCACGGAGTATAAGTCAGTTTATCAGTGATGTCAGTAGTAGCATGGAGTATAAGTCAGTTTATCAGTGTTGTCAGTAGTAACATGGAGTATAAGTCAGTTTATCAGTGATGTCAGTAGTGCACGGAGTATAAGTCAGTTTATCAGTGATGTTAGTAGTGCACGGAGTATAAGTCAGTTTATTAGTGATGTCAGTAGTAGCACAGAGTATAAGTCAGTTTATCAGTGATGTCAGTAGTGCACGGAATATGTCAGTTTATCAGTGATGTCAGTAGTATTACAGAATATAAGTCAGTTTATCAGTGATGTCAGTAGTAGCACGGAGTATAAGTCAGTTTATCAGTGATGTCAGTGGAAGCACGGAATAGAAGTCAGTTTATCAGTCATGTCAGTAGTATTACAGAATATAAGTCAGTTTATCAGTGATGTCAGTAGTAGCACGGAGTATAAGTCAGTTTATCAGTGATGTCAGTAGTAGCACGGAGTATAAGTCAGTTTATCAGTGATGTCAGTAGTGCACGGAGTATAATTCAGTTTATCAGTGATGTTAGTAGTGCACGGAGTATAAGTCAGTTTATCAGTGTTGTCAGTAGTGCACGGAGTATAAGTCAGTTTATCAGTGATGTCAGTAGTGCACGGAGTATAATTCAGTTTATCAGTGATGTTAGTAGTGCACGGAGTATAATTCAGTTTATCAGTGTTGTCAGTAGTGCACGGAGTATAAGTCAGTTTATCAGTGATGTCAGTAGTGCACGGAGTATAATTCAGTTTATCAGTGATGTTAGTAGTGCACGGAGTATAAGTCAGTTTATCAGTGTTGTCAGTAGTGCACGGAGTATAAGTCAGTTTATCAGTGATGTCAGTAGTGCACGGAGTATAAGTCAGTTTATCAGTGATGTCAGTAGTGCATGGAGTATAAGTCAGTTTATCAGTGATGTCAGTAGTGCACGGAGTATAAGTCAGTTTATCAGTGATGTCAGTAGTGCACGGAGTATAATTCAGTTTATCAGTGATGTTAGTAGTGCACGGAGTATAAGTCAGTTTATCAGTGTTGTCAGTAGTGCACGGAGTATAAGTCAGTTTATCAGTGATGTCAGTAGTGCACGGAGTATAATTCAGTTTATCAGTGATGTTAGTAGTGCACGGAGTATAAGTCAGTTTATCAGTGTTGTCAGTAGTGCACGGAGTATAAGTCAGTTTATCAGTGATGTCAGTAGTGCACGGAGTATAATTCAGTTTATCAGTGTTGTCAGTAGTGCACGGAGTATAAGTCAGTTTATCAGTGTTGTCAGTAGTGCACGGAGTATAAGTCAGTTTATCAGTGATGTCAGTAGTGCACGGAGTATAATTCAGTTTATCAGTGATGTTAGTAGTGCACAGAGTATAAGTCAGTTTATCAGTGATGTCAGTAGTAGCACAGAGTATAAGTCAGTTTATCAGTGATGTCAGTAGTGCACGGAATATGTCAGTTTATCAGTGATGTCAGTAGTATTACAGAATATAAGTCAGTTTATCAGTGATGTCAGTAGTAGCACGGAGTATAAGTAAGTTTATCAGTGATGTCAGTGGTAGCACGGAATAGAAGTCAGTTTATCAGTGATGTCAGTAGTATTACAGAATATAAGTCAGTTTATCAGTGATGTCAGTAGTAGCACTGAGTATAAGTCAGTTTATCAGTGATGTCAGTTGTAGCACGGAATAGAAGTCAGTTTATCAGTGATGTCAGTAGTAGCACGGAATAGAAGTCAGTTTATCAGTGATGTCAGTAGTATTACAGAATATAAGTCAGTTTATCAGTGATGTCAGTAGTAGCACCGAGTATAAGTCAGTTTATCAGTGATGAGAGTAGTAGCACGGATTAGAAGTCAGTTTATCAGTGATGTCAGTAGTAGCACGGAGTGTAAGTCAGTTTATCAGTGATGTCAGTAGTAGCACGGAGTATAAGTCAGTTTATCAGTGATGTCAGTAGTAGCATGGAGTATGTGAGTTTATCAGTGGTGTCAGTAGTAGCACAGAGTATAAGTCAGTTTATCAGTGATGTCAGTAGTAGCACAGAGTATAAGTCAGTTTATCAGTGATGTCAGTAGTAGCACAGTGTATAAGTCAGTTTATCAGTGATGTCAGTAGTGCACGGAGTATAATTCAGTTTATCAGTGATGTTAGTAGTGCACGGAGTATAAGTCAGTTTATCAGTGATGTCAGTAGTAGCACAGAGTATAAGTCAGTTTAGCAGTGATGTCAGTAGTGCACGGAATATGTCAGTTTATCAGTGATGTCAGTAGTATTACAGAATATAAGTCAGTTTATCAGTGATGTCAGTAGTAACACGGAGTATAAGTCAGTTTATCAGTGATGTCAGTAGTAGCACGGAGTATAAGTCAGTTTATCAGTGATGTCAGTAGTGCACGGAGTATAATTCAGTTTATCAGTGATGTTAGTAGTGCACGGAGTATTAGTCAGTTTATCAGTGATGTCAGTAGTAGCACAGAGTATAAGTCAGTTTATCAGTGATGTCAGTAGTGCACGGAATATGTCAGTTTATCAGTGATGTCAGTAGTATTGCAGAATATAAGTCAGTTTATCAGTGATGTCAGTAGTAGCACGGAGTATAAGTCAGTTTATCAGTGATGTCAGTGGTAGCACGGAATAGAAGTAAGTTTATTAGTGATGTCAGTAGTATTACAGAATATAAGTCAGTTTTTCAGTGATGTCAGTAGTAGCCTGAGTATAAGTCAGTTTATCAGTGATGTCAGTTGTAGCACGGAATAGAAGTCAGTTTATCAGTGATGTCAGTAGTAGCACGGAATAGAAGTCAGTTTATCAGTGATGTCAGTAGTATTACAGAATATAAGTCAGTTTATCAGTGATGTCAGTAGTAGCACGGAGTATAAGTCAGTTTATCAGTGATGTCAGTAGTAGCACGGATTAGAAGTCAGTTTATCAGTGATGTCAGTAGTAGCACGGAGTGTAAGTCAGTTTATCAGTGATGTCAGTAGTAGCACGGAGTATAAGTCAGTTTATCAGTGATGTCAGTAGTAGCATGAAGTATAAGTCAGTTTATCAGTGATGTCAGTAGTAGCACAGAGTATAAGTCAGTTTATCAGTGATGTCAGTAGTAGCACAGAGTATAAGTCAGTTTATCAGTGATGTCAGTAGTAGCACAGTGTATAAGTCAGTTTATCAGTGATGTCAGTAGTAGCACGGAGTATAAGTCAGTTTATCAGTGATGTCAGTAGTAGCACTGAGTATAAATCAGTTTATCAGTGGTGTCAGTAGTAGCATGGAGTATAAGTCAGGTAATCAGTGAAGTCAGTAGTAGCACGGAGTATAAGTCAGTTTATCAGTGATGTCAGTAGTGCACGGAGTATAAGTGAGTTTATCAGTGATGTCAGTAGTAACACAGCATAGGGTGAGTTGATCAGTGATGTCAGTAGTAACACAGCATACTAATACGTTAGGTCCTATCAGTAACACAACATAGTAGTCAGTTGATGTGCAGTGCCAATAACACAGTGCACTTGTTAATTTTCTCTACCGAAACAAACCTCAGGGGCTTGTAAGGCTGTAGCAGAAGAAGAGGAAGAGAAGATGAAGATATACCCTAAGATGTTTAATTTCAGTTTACACATTCCTGCTGGTCTGAAGATAACAACATAACTTTTGTTGATTGTGAATGCCAGGTCATGAAACGCAGAGTCTTGTTACCCAGTACAGAAAGCAATAGGCCAACCATACCACTGAAAATGACCTTGACCAAGAAGAGCAGAAAAGATGGTATGTGGAGTTTTTTTCTTTGATACTGAGTTCAGTTAAGTTAAAAAGTTAAAGCTCAGGATCTATTTCATGCATTTAGTGCGTCATGCATATGGTGCAAAGATTTTTTATAGTTAATATTAAATGTAGGTAATGTGATCATCATTATGACAGCCGCCTTTAACTCCCAGGACATCTCTTAGTACCCATTTTAGGCTAGGTTGACAGAAACTCTAGATCAATTAAATAAATTACAAAAAATTATGATAACGATTCAAACCCCAGACACTTTGCCTGAAAGGAAGTGTTCAGCCACTGAACTATCACAGATTATTGGAGTGCCTAAGAGTATCAACCAGAAGCTTATTTAGCTGACCCTACAAAATGAGCTATAGCTTACACTACAGGATAAGCTCTAGCTGATACTACAGGATAAGCTCTAGCTGATACTACAGGATAAGCTCTAGCTGATACTACAGGATAAGCTCTAGCTGATACTACAGGATAAGCTCTAGCTGATACTACAGGATAAGCTCTAGCTGATACTATAGGATAAACTCTAGCTAACACTACAGGATAAACTCTAGCTAACACTACATGATGAGCTCTAGCTAACACTACAAGATAAGCTCTAGCTAACACTACAGGATGAGCTCTAGCTAACAATACAGGATAAGCTCTAGCTAACACTACAGGATAAGCTCTAGCTAACACTACAGGATGAGCTCTAGCTAACACTACAGGATAAGCTCTAGCTAACACTACAGGATAAGCTCTAGCTCTAGCTAAGCACTACAGGATAAGCTCTAGCTAACACTACAGGATAAGCTCTAGCTAACACTACAGGATGAGCTCTAGCTAACACTACAGGATAAGCTCTAGCTAACACTACAGGATAAGCTCTAGCTAACACTACAGGATAAGCTCTAGCTAACACTACAGGATGAGCTCTAGCTAACACTACAGGATGAGCTCTAGCTAACACTACAGGATCAGCTCTAGCTAACACTACAGGATCAGCTCTAGCTAACACTACAGGATAAGCTCTAGCTTACACTACAGGATGAGCTCTAGCTAACACTACAGGGTGAGCTCTAGCTAACACTACAGGATGAGCTCTAGCTAACACTACAGAATAACCTCTAGCTAACACTGCAGGATAAGCTCTAGCTAACACTACAGGATAAGCTCTAGCTAACACTACAGGGCGAGCTCTAGCTAACACTACAGGATAAGCTCTAGCTAACACTACAGGATAAGCTCTAGCTAACACTACAGGATGAGCCCTGGCTGACACTACAGGATAAGCTCTAGCTAACACTACAGGATAAGCTCTAGCTAACACTACAGGATAAGCTCTAGCTGACACACTACAGGATGAGCTCTAGCTGACACTACTAAGCAGCTTATACAGGAAAGCTCTAGCTAACACTACAGGATAAGCTCTAGCTAACACTACAGGATAAGCTCTAGCTAACACTACAGGATAAGCTCTAGCTAACACTACAGGATAAGCTCTAGCTAACACTACAGGATAAGCTCTAGCTAACACTACAGGATGAGCTCTAGCTAACAGCTAACACTACAGGATAAGCTCTAGCTAACACTACAGGATAAGCTCTAGCTAACACTACAGGATAAGCTCTAGCTAACACTACAGGATAAGCTCTAGCTAACACTACAGGATGAGCTCTAGCTAACACTACAGGATAAGCTCTAGCTAACACTACAGGATAAGCTCTAGCTAACACTACAGGATAAGCTCTAGCTAACACTACAGGATAAGCTCTAGCTAACACTACAGGATAAGCTCTAGCTAACACTACAGGATAAGCTCTAGCTAACACTACAGGATAAGCTCTAGCTGACACTACAAGATAAGCTCTAGCTAACACTACAGGATAAGCTAGCTACAGGATAAGCTTACACTACAGGATAAGCTCTAGCTAACACTACAGGATAAGCTCTAGCTAACACTACAGGATAAGCTCTAGCTAACACTACAGGATAAGCTCTAGCTAACACTACAGGATAAGCTCTAGCTGACACTACAGGATGAGCTCTAGCTAACACTACAGGATGAGCTCTAGCTAACACTACAGGATGAGCTCTAGCTAACACTACAGGATGAGCTCTAGCTGACACTACAGGATAAGCTCTAGCTAACACTACAGGATAAGCTCTAGCTAACACTACAGGATAAACTACAGGATAAGCTCTAGATGACACTACAGGATAAGCTCTAGCTAACACTACAGGATAAGCTCTAGCTAACACTACAGGATAAGCTCTAGCTAACACTACAGGATGAGCTCTAGCTAACACTACAGGATGAGCTCTAGCTAACACTACAGGATAAGCTCTAGCTAACACTACAGGATGAGCTCTAGCTAACACTACAGGATAAGCTCTAGCTAACACTACAGGATGAGCTCTAGCTAACACTACAGGATAAGCTCTAGCTAACACTACAGGATGAGCTCTAGCTAACACTACAGGATCTCTAGCTAACACTACAGGATAAGCTCTAGCTAACACTACAGGATAAGCTCTAGCTAACACTACAGGATAAGCTCTAGCTAACACTCTAGCTGACACTACAGGATAAGCTCTAGCTAACACTACAGGATAAGCTCTAGCTAACACTACAGGATGAGCTCTAGCTAACACTACAGGATAAGCTCTAGCTAACACTACAGGATAAGCTCTAGCTAACACTACAGGATAAGCTCTAGCTAACACTACAGGATAAGCTCTAGCTAACACTACAGGATAAGCTCTAGCTAACACTACAGGATAAGCTCTAGCTAACACTACAGGATAAGCTCTAGCTAACACTACAGGATAAGCTCTAGCTAACACTACAGGATAAGCTCTAGCTACACTACAGGATAAGCTCTAGCTAACACTACAGGATAAGCTCTAGCTAACACTACAGGATAAGCTCTACAGCTAAGCTCTAGCTAACACTACAGGATACTAACACTACAGGATGAGCTCTAGCTAACACTACAGGATAAGCTCTAGCTAACACTACAGGATAAGCTCTAGCTAACACTACAGGATAAGCTCTAGCTAACACTACAGGATAAGCTCTAGCTAACACTACAGGATAAGCTCTAGCTAACACTACAGGATAAGCTCTAGCTAACACTACAGGATGAGCTCTAGCTGACACTACAGGATGAGCTCTAGCTAACACTACAGGATAAGCTCTAGCTAACACTACAGGATAAGCTCTAGCTAACACTACAGGACAGGAGCTAACACTACAGCTAACACTACAGGATAAGCTCTAGCTACACTACAGGATAAGCTCTAGCTAACACTACAGGATAAGCTCTAGCTACAGGATAAGCTCTAGCTACACTACAGGATGAGCTCTAGCTAACACTACAGGATAAGCTCTAGCTAACACTACAGGATAAGCTCTAGCTAACACTACAGGATAAGCTCTAGCTAACACTACAGGATAAGCTCTAGCTAACACTACAGGATAAGCTCTAGCTAACACTACAGGATAAGCTCTAGCTAACACTACAGGATAAGCTCTAGCTAACACTACAGGATGAGCTCTAGCTAACACTACAGGATAAGCTCTAGCTAACACTACAGGATAAGCTCTAGCTAACACTACAGGATAAGCTCTAGCTAACACTACAGGATAAGCTCTAGCTAACACTACAGGATAAGCTCTAGCTAACACTACAGGATGAGCTAACACTAAGGATAAGCTCTAGCTAACACTACAGGATAAGCTCTAGCTAACTCTACAGGATAAGCTCTAGCTAACACTACAGGATAAGCTCTAGCTAACACTACAGGATAAGCTCTAGCTAACACTACAGGATAAGCTCTAGCTAACACTACAGGATGAGCTCTAGCTAACACTACAGGATAAGCTCTAGCTAACACTACAGGATAAGCTCCAGCTGACACTACAGGATGAACTCTAGCTGACACTACAGGATAAGCTCTAGCTGACACTACAGGATAAGCTCTAGCTGACACTACAGGATGAGCTTTAGCTAACACTACAGGATCAGCTCTAGCTGACACTACAGGATGAGCTCTAGCTAACACTACATGATGAGCTCTAGCTAACTCTACAGGAAAAGCTCTAGCTAACACTACAGGATAAGCTCTGGCTGACACTACAGAATAAGCTCTGGCTGACACTACAGGATGAGCTTTAGCTTACAACACTACAGGATAATCCCTAGCTAACACTACAGGATGAGCTATAGCTAACACTACAGGAAAAGCCCTGGCTGACACTACAGGATAAGCTCTAGCTAACACTACAGGATAGTCTCTAGCTGACACTACAGGATAAGCTCTAGCTAACACTACAGGATAAGCTCTAGCTAACACTACAGGATAAGCCCTGGCTGACACTACAGGATAAGCTCTAGCTAACACTACAGGATAAGCTCTAGCTAACTCTACAGGAAAAGCCCTGGCTAACACTACAGGATAAGCTCTAGCTAACACTACAGGATAAGCGCTAGCTGACACTACAGGATAAGCTCTAGCTAATACTACAGGATAGTCTCTAGCTAACACTACAGGATAGTCTCTAGCTAACACTACAGGATAGTCTCTAGCTAACACTACAGGATAGTCTCTAGCTGACACTACAGGATAAGCTCTAGCTAACACTACAGGATAGTCTCTAGCTAACACTACAGGATAAGCTCTAGCTAACACTACAGGATAGTCTCTAGCTGACACTACAGGATAAGCTCTAGCTAACACTACAGGATAGTCTCTAGCTGACACTACAGGATAAGCCCTGGCTAACACTACAGGATAGTGTCTAGCTGACACTACAGGATAAGCTCTAGCTAACACTACAGGATAGTCTCTAGCTAACACTACAGGATAGTCTCTAGCTGACACTACAGGATAAGCTCTAGCTAACACTACAGGATAGTCTCTAGCTGACACTACAGGATAGTGTCTAGCTGACACTACAGGATAGTCTCTAGCTAACACTACAGGATAGTCTCTAGCTGACACTACAGGATAGTCTCTAGCTAACACTACAGGATAAGCTCTAGCTAACACTACAGGATAGTCTCTAGCTGACACTACAGGATAAGCTCTAGCTAACACTACAGGATAGTCTCTAGCTAACACTACAGGATAGTCTCTAGCTGACACTACAGGATAAGCTCTAGCTAACACTACAGGATAGTCTCTAGCTAACACTACAGGATAAGCCCTGGCTAACACTACAGGATGAGCTATAGCTAACACTACAGGATGAGCTCTAGCTAACACTACAGGATGAGCTATAGCTAACACTACAGGATAAGCCCTGGCTAACACTACAGGATGAGCTATAGCTAACACTTCAGGATGAGCTCTAGCTAACACTACAGGATGAGCTCTAGCTAACACTACAGGATAAGCCCTGGCTAACACTACAGGATGAGCTATAGCTAACACTACAGGATAAGCCCTGGCTGACACTACAAGATAAGCAGAGTGAGATATACTTTATGAGTCTAGCATTATAAGTACAGTACGTCACTTTTTGAAAAGGGTCCTTCACTTCTAGGTGCAATCTTTACAATGAAAGTTGGCTACATTAGATCCCCTTGTTGTACACTTTGAGATTGCTGTTTCTCCATCACTTTTTTCATCCTCCTACTTTTACCACTGTCCACCTTGTCCTTTCTCACAAGTGTTTAAAAATTTTTATTTGGCCATAAAAGTTTGTCTTTTTTAAAATTCTGTTAAAAACCTCTTTTTTTTCCACACCCCCTAAGATTTTCAATGATTGATTGTTTCTGTGGTTCAGGTAATGAAGTAGGGCCCAAAAAGAGAGTGACTTCCCTTATCATCCATAGCTCGTCATGTCGGTGGACCTGTCCTATGTTGCGGAGATGTCAGGCTTAGTGAGCTTCCTGTTTTACTGATTGTTATCATAGGCTGCATGCAGTCATGGGATGTAGGCTGAGGCTGTGGTGTAGAGGGTTTGGCATTAGGGCCAGTTCTACATGTTTTGGAACGTTAAAAGCGCTCACATTGTAGAATATAGAACATATGATATCGGCGGTCGCTGACAACAATGAGTAAAATAGGAGGTGTTATAGATACTCACTAAGCATGACACCCCCGCAACATAAGACAAGCCTACTGACGCGATAAGCCATTAATGACAAGGGAAGTCACTTTCTTTCTGGGCCCAACCTCATTACAAGCACCGTTTCTGTAATTCTACACCCCACTGGCCTCAGTTAAATAATTTAATGTCTGTTTATTCATCTCTGTTTACAGAATTTGGACTTCTGTTGGGATGCAAGGTGTTTGTCAGCGGTATTGTGGAGAATTCACTAGCTGCACAAGAGGTCAACCTACACAAGGGAGACACTGTTCTTAAGGTGATTGTGTTTTTTCAAAACTTGAGGAGTTGTCTGAGGGCCTATGTTCCAGTGTAGGAATAAGGAGGAGATTAACTGGAGGAGGAAAGGAAGATGGTGTTAGGAGGAGATGGTGGAAGAGGCGAAGATGAGGAAGTGAAGGAAGAAAAAGAGGAAGAAGGAAAGAAGATAAAGAGGGTAAGGAAAAGAAATAAGAGAAATATGGAGAAGTGAACCACACAAAAATGTGAAAAAGATGGGTAGAACATGGGGTTAGCTACATGTAATAACAATTATACAGGTTATTTCTTACTCCTTTTTCTATTACTTAATAGATTTGGTTTGGTTAAAACAATGGATCAACATCATGGCAGAAGGGCAGAAACCCATAAATGCTCCATTCTGTTTCTAACTCAAGCCTGAGTGCACTAACTCTGTAACGCTGACGAGGATCCTGAATTACCGGGGGGATATTTTTAACTCCAAATGCCCCGTCACTGCTGTTAGGCTACTCTTTTCGATTTCCTACTGCCAAGGGATTTTTCTTATGTGCGCAACAATGCACACAGGCATCCCATCTTACTATCCAGAAACCAGGGGACATTACCAGAAGTCCACATGAAACAATCCCAGCCTTCACTGGGGCCTGAACCCTCATTTCCAGCACTCCAGGCGGACACCATTCCTTGAGACTACTTAGCCTCCCTTTCTATTACTATAGTTTTATTTTCTACCTATAACATTATAGGGAGTATTATATTAGTAGGGTTTCCTTTATGCCTATTATACGACCATGGCAGTTCATGTTACCAAGGTTGTCGGTCCTACCTATCACATTACCAGAAATTATCACTAGAGTAGTTCATGTTACTAGAGTTGTCTTTCATACCTATCACATTACCAGAATTATCACCAGGGTAGTTCATGTTACTAAAGTTGTCCCTTGTACCTGTCACATTTATAGGATTATCTGTCATGTGTCATATTATTAGGGTTATCCCTCAAAGGCTTAAATTAAATGACCTGGACTATCTTTAAGATCTGTCACATTACCAGGGTGATCTCTCTTACCAGGTTAGTTATTTCGTATCACAAAGATTAAACTTTATTCCAATCATTTTGCCAGGGGTATTTCTTCTACCAATCATATTACTAGGAATATCCCTAATGCCTATTATATTTGTTTATGTGTTTATATGTTTCTGCTCTTACCAGTCATATTACATTGTTTTCCCATTCCTGTCATGTTATCTGAGTTACATTTAATTTATTACAATTTCGATTCCTCATACTGGTTATATTACTGAGTTTTTCTCTTTTGTCCGTTCTATCACATTAATATTATTTCACATTATTAACATTATGACAGTGTCTTTAAAATTACCAAGATTATCCATCTTGTCTATCATATAGCCAGGATAATCCCTAATACTTCTAATGTTATTCTGCATAATATCATTTGAGCAGTGGTATCTCTCTTACTTGTCATATTAGTATTGTTATTCCCCCTTTTTAAAATTGGTTCTCACCTGCAAGATTGCAGTCTTTAGGATGAGCATTTCTAGGATGAGAATAACAAGTTAGTTGCCTGTCCTTTACAGGATGTTGCAGAACTAACCCCAACAATTTTTGGCTGTTGTGTTTTTTTCCTTCTGGGTAAATTTACATTCCAAATGGTCAGCTCCCGATACCACTTTTAAAACCAATGCAAAGTGGTCTGCTGCCAAATTGCCTCCAACGTGGATCGAACCCAGGCTCTGGCATTATGAAGAGTGTTCGCAACGCCTAAACCACAGATGCTGATATGAGAATGAATTAGGTACAAATCCTGGAAACTCCATTCAACCATATAGCACAGTTATATTGGGACACCACATCATGATTACACAGTAACCTGTAGTCGGACTGACAGACTGACTGCCGTTCAACCCCACCAGGACCGCACAATGAGCGATAAACACCTGGTGACACAAGGTGCCACCATTCAGATGAGAGTTATCCCTTATAACTAACATGTTTGTGTCAAATGGAGCACATGTTAACCCTGCAAAAGGGACAGCAAAATGGAACAGCCACATAGTATTCACAACAATGCCCTCTGTGCATATAAATGGTGAAGATATAGCAAGGACTGGACTTTTAAAATACCTCTGAGGGTTTGGCTGCAATGAGAGTTAGGGCTGCCATGTGTAGTTAACAAAGGCTTTTAGTGATCCTCTATCAGAGTTTGATTCTTTTTGTCATAGAATGTGCACTGTCAATTCTCACCCTTAGCAAGTCACTAATCGACAGACTTGAAAAGGTACACAATGAAGCAATGCGTATCATACTTGGCTGCACCAAAGACACATCATTAGAGTAATGAGATACCTACTAGATTTTCCAGATGTAAACAGTAGGCTTGAAATGCGCCAAGCATGTGCCTACCTCAAAATCACTGAGGCCTTTACCTATCCACTGCACAATGAACTTAATACACGTGAAGGCATCAGACAAATGAGGCCAGTCTTGGTTGAGCCGGTAGAGACAGTACTTCAACGGATTATTTGCTGAGCGACTCAATGAGCATGATGGCAGGGTATGTATGGAAACAGTGGCTCCATCTGTTACAGCAAGCAGTGTTTGACAAAATTACCTTCATTTTTGTCTCAGCGCATGCTGATGTAAAAGGCAGTGAGAGAGCAGATGCTCTGGCTGGCAGTGTGACTATCAGGGATGGGCCCTCTTTGGACAGGAGAGATTTCATCAGTGCTATACGAGAGATCAAATGCTGTGAGGTTTTTAGTTTCATAGAAAATGATTTTTTACTGGGTGTACCAATTAGAGTTCATAGCCAGGAAAACCATGCAGGAGCCACCCATCATTACATCAACCAGAACAGAATGGGAGTTGCTAGCCTAAAAACACTTGGAAACATACACAGGAGGAGATTGGTGCGCTAATGGTCAGGTCTGAATGTGCATTGAAGATGATCTCAAAAATGAGCTATGACCAATGAACCAAACATATTGCTATGTTAATCTTTCATAAACTATCATATGGTTCTCCTGTGTCCATCATATTTTCAGGGTTGTCCTTTATACCTATCGTTTACCGAGGTTATCTCTTTAACAGGTTTATCCCCTTACAGCTGTCAAATTACTGGCGTTATTCCCCTTTCCTATCATACCACCACGATTTTCCCTTGTCATAAAAAAAAAATCATTGTAGCGGGAATAGTAGAGAGATTAATTGCTTGTTTCAGATTAATGACACTCCAGTAGAAAACCTGTCACTCAATGAACTACAGAAGCTGATAGAGAAAAGCAAGGACAAACTACAGCTTGTCATTAGCACAGAGGGCAGCCATGACATAGTCAGCAAGAGCACAGTTTCCCTGATACAAACTGAACCTCAAGCAGGTAGGCTGTCATAGTGTTGTTGTTGGCTTGTGACCAGAATTATTATTTGATCAACTTTGCATCAGGTTACCCAGGAGGTTGGCCTCTTTCTAGAATACTGTTTGATCTGTATTTGCTAATGTACAGTAAGTTGCTTCTAGTCCTGTCAGCATTCATACTGTATCATATTCACATCAGGATACTCAAGAAAAGAGGCAGCCTCCTATAGTAACTCCTGTCAGTAAGCTTAGTATAGTACTGTTAGTTGTCAACTCTGCAGCAGTTTTATGTGTTCCTGAGATTCACTATGAAATATAGCTAATTCACTGCAGTAAGCTATTCTTGCTTTGGGAAGTGATCATGAATGATCCTGCCTCTGTTAGCCATGATTGTGTCTGCTTCTGCCCATGGACAGATAATAAAGTTTACTTGTGTGTAAATTGATGCGGACACATCAACATCAGAATATTTAAGTTTTGTTGGTAAAAGCTCAGCAGTTAATGCCTGGTCCTGTCTGTGAGAGATAGTAAAATAATTTCTTATAATTGTTGATTGCATTTAGTAGGCAGGAAAACATAAACAATTCTCATTGAAATGTGTTCTAAAGCCTGAACTTCAGTTTAGTCAAGAATTGACGTTACATCATTTGGGACTTTCTCATTTGTGCTCCATCCCCATCCTCAGCAGCCAGCTCAGAGTTCCACTTCTAATGGTGCCAGTTGTAGTCTGGCTGTATGTCCCTCTTGCCTTTCCTCTGAGTGTAGTGTGCCGGCTGAACCCTCTGTTCACATCCAGGTGCATCAATCTCTCCAGCCCATAATAATCTAGTGTCTCTTCTGACTTCATTACTTGTTCTCAAAGGGCTGTGATCACATCTGCCCTGTCATGTAAAAGCCTGAACTTCAATACTTTAAGAGTAGTCTTCATTATTTGTTAAGTTTTAGTGCAACCTTTCACAAGGGATGTATCCCCACATGATAACAGTTTTTTTGGGTCTGTTTTTTTTAAAGCATTGGCATATGGTGTGGTTAAGGGTCTATGAGAGATGGTAAAAAAATAATGCCTTATAATTGTTAACTGCATTTAGTAGGCAAGAAAATATACAATTGTCATTGAAATTTATTCCTAAGTCTGAACTTCAGTTGAGCTGAGTTGAGTTGAGTTGACTCAAGAATTGACATGATAGCACTTGGGAAATTCCCATATGTGCTCCGTCCTCAACCTCAGCAGCCAGCGCAGAGTTCCAGTTCTAATGGTGCTGGTTGTAGTCTGGTTATATGTCCATTGGATGAACTATACTTTATATACATTATTTGTTACAATTTTTTCACAAGGGCATGTATTCCCATACGATAAAATGTTTTGTCAGTTTTCTTAAAGCATTGGGGTATGGTGCGGTTAAAGGGTCTTGCTGTTCTCACAGTGATGTCCGCCAAGATCAGGACTGTAAGGGAGGGGTGGTAATAATGTCCAGCAGTCATATCAGTGGTACATGATATTATCATGCAGTGGTAGTACTGCATTTCCCTGTTTGAAGAAGTCAAGAAGAATCACATCCCTCTCATCCTCAAACTTGGAGGCTGTAATTTTCCTTAGAGATGGTGAATTTTAAACATCTTTGTTGTTGTTGTGTTTGGTGAGATTGTAGAATGCCATTCCATCGACTGTCTCTTCCACTTAGGTTTAAAAAAAACAACCCAACCTCTCACAATATTCAATAAAAACTCTTCTCCCTCAGTTTCCTAAAGGTGCAGGAAGATGTTGGTGGCTATAGTTTCCTTTGTTTCTTTATTCTGGGTACCCACCGTACACAAACCTTTGAAGAGCCCAGGGCTTTAACGATGGACAACATGGAATACAGTTTATTCAGTGTTACCTGAAGGTCAGCACGAATGATATCAACTCCAAGAATGATGTGTGAAGTAACTGTAGACGCATGGCCTGTCCGCTTTCAGTGAGCCTTTGAGGATTGACCTACTTCAGCTCATCACAAGGATGTCCCACTGTCGGACAGTGCTAACATCCACTGTTAAATCTGCATAAACAGTTGTTTGTGGATTCAAATTGGGGTCTTGCGTTCTTCATTGTGGAATTTTGACATTCCGTTGTTTAAACAGAATGTCTTTGAAAACTACTTTCAAACCATTACAGTGCTGCAACCTGTTACTAAAAGAGTGTTTGAGGAATCCTGATGAATTTACAAATTGCAACTGATACTGTATTTATTTAGATTAAAAAAAAAAAAAAAGTAGGAGCAATTAGCTTTTGACTGTGCTTTGTACATTATAATTTTCTAGAAAGATGTACTTTTTGGACTGTATATGAAATGTTGCTTTGTGGGACAGAATATTTTTGTTAAAGATTTTGTCTACAATGTTAATGTTATCCTTTACTTGTTTGCAGGTGTGCTACCCATTCGGCCTCGCAACATTGATAGTGTCAACCTGTTTCAGCCTATTAAGCGTGCAGAGGAAGGTATTTATGTTAAAGATCCAACATCTCGAGTGAGGCCTGTGGTGCCAAATGGTGCATATCCAAATTCAGGGAACACGAGTTATGACGGACGTTATGTACTGGATAATAACCCACCATCATGGGCAACATTACCAAGGAACTCTCTCCGCAGTAAGACCTTATTAATCAGTTTTAAAAAAGAAACATCAGTTTCTAGCATTGAAGGTTTAGTCCTATGGCAAAAAGTTTCATAAAATGTTAGGGCCGCACTTATGTTGTGTTAAACCATAATGAGGTGATGTGATTATGGTCACTTCCCCGCTAGTTTTGATTCACAGACTGGCCCTAGACAAGTCTGCATATGATTCAGTACTCATTTCATGAGGTATAATCAAGCTCACATGTAATGGCTGCAGTCAGGGAGGATGAAACTGAGATGTACTGGCTGGAGTTGGGAAAGATCGAGCTCAGAGATATAATAGTTGCAGTCAGGGAAGATCAGGTTCAAAGATATACTGGTTGCAGTCAGGGAATATCAGGTTCAAAGATATACTGGTTGCAGTCAGGGAATATCAGGTTCAAAGATATACTGGCTGCAGTCAGGGAAGATCAAGCTCAGAGATGTACTGGTTGCAGTCAGGGAAGATCAAGCAGAGATTGTACTGGTTGCAGTCAGGGAAGATCAAGCAGAGATTGTACTGGTTGCAGTCAGGAAACATCAAGCTTAGAGATTGTACTGGTTGCAGTCAGGAAACATCAAGCTCAGAGATGTACTGGTTGCAGTCAGGGAAGATCAAGCTCAGAGATGTACTGGTTGCAGTCAGGGAAGATCAAGCTCAGAGATGTACTGGCTGCAGTCAGGGAAGATCAAACAGAGATGTACTGGTTGCAGTCAGGGAAGTTCAAGCAGAGCTGTACTGTGTTGTCAGGGAATATTGCTCAGATACATAATGGTTGGAGTCAGGGAAGATCGAGTTCAGAGATGTACTGGTTGCAGTCAGGGAAGATTGAGTTCAGAGATGTACTGGTTGCAGTCAGGGAAGATCAAGCTCAGAGATGTACTGGCTGCAGTCAGGGAAGATCAAGCTCAGAGATGTACTGGTTGCAGTCAGGGAAGATTGAGTTCAGAGATGTACTGGTTGCAGTCAGGGAAGATCAAGCTCAGAGATGTACTGGTTGCAGTTAGGGAAGATCAAACAGAGATGTACTGGTTGCAGTCAGGGAAGATTGAGTTCAGAGATGTACTGGTTGCAGTTAGGGAAGATCAAACAGAGATGTACTGGTTGCAGTCAGGGAAGATTGAGTTCAGAGATGTACTGGTTGGAGACAGGGAAAGGATGAACATTCTGCACAAAGTAAACAGCGAGCAACAATACTGCTGGTCCAAAGGTCTTGAGTTCAAATCCACTTGGCAGCAGTTTTTATAAGCCATCTAGATCTCCCAGATTGATTTGGATAAAATGGGTACCAGTAAATGATCCGGGAAGCAAAAGTAGCCATCAGATATTGGACATATCATTCACTAAGTGTTGATTGGTTGATACAGATATAGTTCTACCACTTTATGCTCACTGTGGCAATGGCATCAAAAGAGTTCTTTACTGAATGTATTATTGTGACAGAGTAAACAAGTATAGCAGATTTCACATCGAGTGTAGACAGTTGGATGTAGAAGAGAAATTGTCTTCAAGTGTCAGGTCCTTTTCAGATGGTTGCTGTCATCATATTTGGCCTGAATGTAACTTGGCCTCTCACCTCGTACACTTTTCTACCCAAGATGTGACTTATATCCTGTGCCTATCTTCATGTTGGTCAACCCCTGCCTCTCCTTCCTGGTACCTTGCTCTCAACTACTCTATTCTTTCTAATCTGCCTTAGTGCTTATATAAACAAAATATTTCAGTTTCTGAGACAAGATGCTGTTTACTGGCCAGTCTTCCTTGATGTTCAAATCTTTGGGACATCAGTGTTTTTTTTTCTCTCCTTCCATGGTTTTCTTAGAACCTTTCTGTAGCATTTCAGCTGAAAAGCCCCTCCTTAAGGAGAACAGAAATAGATATGTCATATGTAAGTAATATAAGCAGGAGTTACAATGTTAAAATTTTGTTAGAAAGCATTTATTTTTGCCTGTAATAAATCTTCAGTCTTCTATGAGAATGAGGTGAAGATGATGGGGATGACGTGAGGGAAAGATGATGGGGATGACGTGAGGTGAAGATGATGGGGATGACGTGAGGGAAAGATGATGGGGATGACGTGAGGTGAAGATGATGGGGATGACGTGAGGTGAAGATGATGGGGATGACGTGACGTGAAGATGATGGGGATGACGTGAGGTGAGCAAAGTACAGGTCACTTGGCTTGACTTGGGTGAGGACCTGCATTTGGGGGAAACAGGCAGTAGAAGACTTGCTTACATGTGCCTCATAGATTTTGCTGAGAGAAGTCTTCATTTTCACTTATCTCTTGTTTTATCTCACTTGTTTCTTGTTTCATCTGTGTTGTGTCAGCTAGTTTTGTGTGTCCTCCTTGTCTGATGTCTTTTATCTGCTCTGTTATTGCTTGTGGTATTGTTTAAATGAATTGTATTAGCTTGTTTTGTGTGACCCCATTGTCTGCTGTTGTCTATCTGCTCTATTATCACTTGTGATTGTTTAAATGAGTTGTATCAGCTTGTTTTGTGTGACCCCATTGTCTGCTGTTGTCTATCTGCTCTATTATCACTTGTGATTGTTTAAATGAGTTGTATCAGCTTGTTTTGTGTGACCCCATTGTCTGCTGTTGTCTATCTGCTCTATTATCACTTGTGATTGTTTAAATGAGTTGTATCAGCTTGTTTTGTGTGACCCCATTGTCTGCTGTTGTCTATCTGCTCTATTATCACTTGTGATTGTTTAAATGAGTTGTATCAGCTTGTTTTGTGTGACCCCATTGTCTGCTGTTGTCTATCTGCTCTATTATCACTTGTGATTGTTTAAATGAGGTGTATCAGCTTGTTTTGTGACCCCATTGTCTGAGGGTGTTTATCTGCTTTGCTCTGTTGTCTAAAGTTATATTTTTGGTCTCAGTTGTCTGAAATTTCAGCTCTGGTACTGTCCCTCTTGTTGTAAGAGATCGGTTATCTGCGGTTTATCAGCTCATTTGTCTATCGTTGTTGTATCACTTTAGTTTTCTCTTGTTGAATCAACTCAATTATCTTGTGATTGTAAAAAGTAGTTATCTTCTGTTATTTTAAACCAATGCTAGTTGTTATATTAAGCTGTATCACATGTAGTTCTTCAAAATACTCATAATAAAGAATTATTTCCTGTCAAATCAGAAACAGTGAGAAAACACTATAACCTTGAACCTGTCACAAACAACATCCATGACGGCTACTACAGTGACCAGGATGATTCCTGGCAGAGTAAGGGGGACCCAAGTCTGAAGTCGGAGAGTTATAGCCCTCGTGAAGCCTTTTCTGTCAAGTCTGTTCATGAGTAAGCTTTACCCAGTCATACTAGAATGTAATTCGGTGTTGTAAGTTGAATTTTGAACCATCAGCATATGTTGTATGGTTATTTTTGAGAACACTGACTGATATATAATTAGTTTCCATGTTCTGTATGTACACAACTATCTCCCACATATACTTATTTTCTTGAATAATAAGAAAACATTAAAATGCATTTTCAAAAGTACTAGAGGGTATGAGAAATACTTCCAAGGTCTCAGTTGGACTGACATTTGTCCTAACAGCTGTAAATTGCTGTCAGAAGTGGAGTCTCAAACCCTCTGTGTGAAGTTGGAAGACAAGGGAAAAGCATCACCTTATTTTCCTCAGAATAAGTGTATGAGCTGACACAGATCTGGAATAGAAGAGTGGTATGTTTAGAAACATCTTACCAGTCTTTTGACTGAGTAGCCTGATATAACTGCATACAGATAAAATGGACCAGTTTTCATCATTCATCTTCATCCTGTGCTTGGGAGAAGCCTAGGTGTTAATATCTCTCTCTAAACCCCTGTTTTTCTGGATTGGGTTTTTTAATGATATACCTCAGTTCCACTGTCTTAGACCAGCCAGCATCATTTTTCTTAGTCTTTCTCTATTGTCTTATCTTTCTAGCATTCACTGTATTCTTCAGTGGATGTCTTCTCATCATCTGATGACCAGAACACCATTTGTCTCTTTTAAAAAAATTGTATAATGTGCTTTAATAAGCATTTTCCCAGGCAGTCATTGTTAGCTACCCTGGCTGTCCAGAGTTTTCTCCTCTCTATATAACTTTTACATTTCAAGATTGCCATACAAGAGAACAGGTTTATCATAACGTATCAGTTCTCTCCTTCTGTGATAGCCAACACATTAAATAACATCTCTTATGCTCAGCACTTATTTGTAGTATTCAACAATGATATCATCTAACTCTTCAATCACACGTTTGCTGTCATTACCAGTTGATGATGTTTCCATAACTGAAGCTAGCAACACAATATTGAACACACCAACAACTCTTGAGTGTGTCGCCTAGACAAACCATTCTATGGACTGCTGACCCTGGAGGTTAACATTTGTATTGTCTGCTTGACAGCTTGGCATGGCTTTGTTCCCTGGTAGATATCATATCTCACTCACATTTCAAAAGTCTTGTTTACAGCTAGTCACTGTTATCTCTAATCTGCTTATAATTAATTTAATTCAAAATAAAAATGGTACTAGAACAGTGTTCTACTAGATTGCAAATGAATTCATTACTAAAATATGGACACATCACTAAAAGTTCCTCAGTATGTCAGGATGAACTATTCTCAGGACTGCTCACATCACAGGTTAACATTTGCATTGCCAGCTTGGCTTTTTGGCCTGACATTGTACAGATGTGGCAGCTATCATATCTTGCATCAGTTTAAACATGTTGCTTACAGCTAGTCACATGCCACCCAATCGGTTTACTTAAAATTAATTTAAAAAACAATTTTTACATTCAAACTGCTGATTTTTCTTTTGTGTTCCCCCTCAAAAGAATAGCTGACATGTTATGTTGTGGTTTACAACTAGGCTGTGATATCTGTGCCTTTGGCCTAACACAAATCCGAAATCAGTCACCTTTTATAATATTCTTGCTTAGAGGTGGTGGGTCTGTCCTTTTTCCTCCCACAGTGGAGCCCCACAACCCTCACAAGAGTTATCATGACCTTTGATTTGTAAACATTGCTGTTACCACTTATATATGGCCACCACACCACACCACTGAGTGACTTCAGCTTCTGAAGGGCGGCTGATGCATAGCCTGTCTCTTCTGTAGACTTTGTCACAAGCTTTCCATCTGATGTTAGTATTGTCCCTAAATACTTGAATTTGTTGTCTTGGTTAATCATTTTGTTTTCTTCTACTATAATAGACATTTGATATCTTGTTCTTTCTCATCTCATCTTATACTGTCATGCCTTGCGGTGTCAAGGTGAAGTATAATTTGCGGGAAAGTGCCATTTTGTGCGCTGAAATGGGGGATTTCCAGGGACTCTTGTTATTCCCTCTGTCCATTGCCTGCATGGTCAGCCTATTCTTCACTTCCCTCCAGGTCTGTAAATCATTGCTTGCTGGGGTATACTGTTTTTCTTTGACAGCAGCGTCATATGGCTAAATGTGTCATCTCTATGACAGTCTTCTAGCCAACCCTGTGTCATCAGTGACAGGAAAAAAAGATCTTGTGTGTCAGTGTAAACATTATTTCTGTTTTCTTCATTTCTATGGAAAGTAATTTCCATTTAGGTTTTGGGGCTTCATTTTTTGGGTGGAAAAAGGATTGATCTACCCTCCCCCTCGCCCCTTACAAGCATGTCATAAAAGGCAACTAATAAGGGGTATTTCTTTCAAAGTCAGAGTTTATTTGCCCGAGAGGCTAGGAAGCAACAGTATTTATACAAATAAACCAGATGTGTGTAATACATGTGCATGTAACACTCAAGTTATGAAACATGACCAAAGCCCAGAAGCGGATGAACACGTGGAACTTTCCACCAAAGTTTACAGCAGGTCATTGCTAAGAGAGGAGACAAAGAAAATTTTTATGTTTTACAAATTTGTAAATAATAAGTTGAACAAAACTACTGTATGCAGATAGCATTTGGCTGAACTTAAAAAAAAACCAAGAAGATCACAGAACTCTCTGAAGGTGCTCTGTCCCTATCTTCAGCAGCAGGCACCTAGTTCTAGTACTCATGGTTCCAGTAGAAGCCTCAGTATGTCTGTCTGTCCTGTCCCTTGACCCTTGAGTCAGGTCCTCTTGTTACGCCCTGCTGCACCGTTCCTTCCAGACCATGATGATCTTTTGGCTTTTCTATATTTTATGAGTTGAATTTTGTTGAGTTAATTCAAGAACCAACATCACAGCACTAGGGGCTTTCCCATAAGTGCACCATTCCCACCTTCAGCAGCTGGTGCTGAGTCGCCAGTAGCATTAAGATTTTATGTCCCTCTTGCCTTTTCTCTTAGCGTAGAGTATCTGCCAGATCACCTCATCACCCCCCTCCCCTGCATCATTCTCACCAGACTGTCGTGATCCATTTGCTCCTCTGAATTCTACACATTCTTCCACAAGGCTATAACCATGTCTGCCTTATAATGCATCAGTATTCACCAAGTTGTGCAGAGCCATCCAGTCTGTTTAAGCTAACATACAGGCATACCCCGGAGAAAAGATCCAGAAAATGCAGATAGAATAGACTATGATATATGTTTATTTATACATGTAACTATGTATAGTCTTTGAAAACATGTTGCATACTGAACAGGCAAGTAAACTCATACATTCTGGACTAACTAGAAATGTTGCTTCTCGTCCCCTGCCTGTATTGACAGCTCAGACCTGCAGACTGTAACATTCCATAAAGACAAGCAGACGGGTTTGGGCTTACGTCTGACCGGTGGAAATGCAACTGGAATCTTCATTGCTAGTGTGCACCCGAGAAGTGCAGCAGAGAGGGTGGGGCTTCTGGAGGGTGATAAAATCATTCAGGTCAGTCTAATGCTGTCTGTCTGCAGTTATAATGCTATTATGTGAATGCTTAGAGAAAGGTTAAATGGCTTTAGAAAATGGATGGTACGATAGGACTGATTCAATGCCAGTAAAACTAAAGTAATGATTTATAATGAGAAAACTGAAAATCCAATTTTGATTAAATGTTTCAGCAATAGAAGGAGTTGAAGAATTTTTAAACCTCAGAAGTCAAGTTACTCCAGATAAGGAATCTGATAAGGATGTAAATCAAGAATAAACAAAGCAAACCACGTATTAGCCATGCTTTTGCCATGTTTAACATTCAACATTCAACATTGCCATGCTTAACATTTAACATTGCCATGCTTAACATTCAACATTCAACATTGCCATACTTAACATTCAATATTGCCATGCTTAAAAATGATTCAAGTCAAAGAGACTTAGACTGAAGATAAAACTCATATAATACAATGACAATCATCAGAGTTCACTCAGTGTGACTTAACAAAGTTCAACTCAGTTATGCTTAACACTCAAAATGACAGCAGGACATTGCCATGCTTAAACATGACATTTATTCATCAACATAACAGTCATCACTCAGCCATGACTATCACAACATAACATGTCATCACTCAAATGACACTATCATTCAACATAACAGTCATCACTCAGCATGACATCTATCATTCAACATGACAGTCATCACTCAACATGACATCTATCATCAACATAACAGTCATCACTCAGCATGACATCTATCATCAACATAACAGTCATCACTCAGCATGACACCTATCATCAACATAACAGTCATCACTCAACATGACATCTATTATTCAACATAACAGTCATCACTCAGCATGACACCTATCATCAACATAACAGTCATCACTCAGCATGACACTATCATCAACATAACAGTCATCACTCAGCATGACACCTATCATCAACATAACAGTCATCACTCAGCATGACAGTATCATCAACATAACAGTCATCACTCAGCATGACACCTATCATCAACATAACAGTCATCACTCAGCATGACACCTATCATCAACATAACAGTCATCACTCAGCATGACACCTATCATCAACATAACAGTCATCACTCAGCATGACACCTATCATCAACATAACAGTCATCACTCAGCATGACACCTATCATCAACATAACAGTCATCACTCAGCATGACACCTATCATCAACATAACAGTCATCACTCAGCATGACACCTATCATCAACATAACAGTCATCACTCAGCATGACATCATCAACATCAACATAACAGTCATCACTCAGCATGACACATCTATGACACCATATCATCAACATAACAGTCATCACTCAGCATGACAGTCATCATTCAACATAACAGTCATCACTCAGCATGACACCTATCATCAACATAACAGTCATCACTCAGCATGACAGTCATCATTCAACATAACAGTCATCACTCAGCATGACACCTATCATCAACATAACAGTCATCACTCAGCATGACACCTATCATCAACATAACAGTCATCACTCAGCATGACACCTATCATTCAACATAACAGTCATCACTCAGCATGACACCTATCATCAACATAACAGTCATCACTCAACACCTATAACATAACAGTCATCACTCAGCATGACAGTCATCATTCAACATAACAGTCATCACTCAGCATGACACCTATCATCAACATAACAGTCATCACTCAGCATGACACCTATCATCAACATAACAGTCATCACTCAGCATGACATCTATCATCAACATAACAATCATCACTCAGCATGACACCTATCATCAACATAACAATCATCACTCAGCATGACACCTATCATCAACATAACAGTCATCACTCAGCATGACACCTATAACATCAGCATGACAGTCATCATTCAACATAACAGTCATCACTCAGCATGACAGTCATCATTCAACATAACAGTCATCACTCAGCATGACACCTATCATCAACATAACAGTCATCACTCAGCATGACACCTATCATCAACATAACAGTCATCACTCAGCATGACACTATCATCAACATAACAATCATCACTCAGCATGACACCTATCATCAACATAACAGTCATCACTCAGCATGACAGTATCATCAACATAACAGTCATCACTCAGCATGACAGTCATCATTCACATAACAGTCATCACTCAGCATGACACCTATCATCAACATAACAGTCATCACTCAGCATGACACCTATCATCAACATAACAGTCATCACTCAGCATGACAGTCATCATTCAACATAACAGTCATCACTCAGCATGACACCTATCATCAACATAACAATCATCACTCAGCATGACACCTATCATCAACATAACAATCATCACTCAGCATGACACCTATCATCAACATAACAGTCATCACTCAGCATGACACCTATCATCAACATAACAGTCATCACTCAGCATGACACCTATTACAACATAACAGTCATCACTCAGCATGACAGTCATCATTCAACATAACAGTCATCACTCAGCATGACACCTATCATCAACATAACAATCATCACTCAGCATGACACCTATCAACATAACAGTCATCACTCAGCATGACACCTATCATCAACATAACAGTCATCACTCAGCATCATCCATCATCAACATAACAGTCATCACTCAGCATGACAGTCATCATCAACATAACAGTCATCACTCAGCATGACACCTATCATCAACATAACAGTCATCACTCAGCATGACACCTATTATTCAACATAACAGTCATCACTCAGCATGACACTTATCATCAACATAACAGTCATCACTCAGCATGACAGTCATCATTCAACATAACAGTCATCACTCAGCATGACACCTATCATCAACATAACAATCATCACTCAGCATGACACCTATCATCAACATAACAGTCATCACTCAGCATGACACCTATCATCAACATAACAGTCATCACTCAGCATGACAGTCATCATTCAACATAACAGTCATCACTCAGCATGACAGTCATCATTCAACAACAAACATCAGCATGACACCTATCATCAACATAACAGTCATCACTCAGCATGACATCTATCATCAACATAATGACAGTCATCACTCACTCAGCATGACACCTATCATCAACATAACAGTCATCACTCAGCATGACAGTCATCATTCAACATAACAGTCATCACTCAGCATGACAGTCATCATTCAACATAACAGTCATCACTCAGCATGACACCTATCATCAACATAACAGTCATCACTCAGCATGACACCTATCATCAACATAACAGTCATCACTCAGCATGACAGTCATCATTCAACATAACAGTCATCACTCAGCATGACACCTATCATCAACATAACAGTCATCACTCAGCATGACACCTATCATCAACATAACAGTCATCACTCAGCATGACACCTATCATCAACATAACAGTCATCACTCAGCATGACAGTCATCATTCAACATAACAGTCATCACTCAGCATGACACCTCATCATCAACATAACAGTCATCACTCAGCATGACACCTATTATTCAACATAACAGTCATCACTCAGCATGACAATCATCACTCAGCATGACATCTATCATTCAACATGACAATCATCACTCAACATGACATCTATCATCAACATAACAGTCATCACTCAGCATGACACCTATCATCAACATAACAGTCATCACTCAGCATGACACCTATCATCAACATAACAGTCATCACTCAGCATGACCACCTATCATAACATAACAATCATCACTCAGCATGACATCTATCATCAACATAACAATCATCACTCAGCATGACACCTATCATCACAATCATCACTCAGCATGACATCTATCATCAACATAACAGTCATCACTCAGCATGACACCTATCATTCAACATAACAGTCATCACTCAGCATGACAGTCATCATTCACATAACAGTCATCACTCAGCATGACACCTATCATCACATAACAGTCATCACTCAGCATGACATCTATCATCAACATAACAATCATCACTCAGCATGACACCTATCATCAACATAACAGTCATCACTCAGCATGACAGTCATCATTCAACATAACAGTCATCACTCAGCATGACAGTCATCATTCAACATAACAGTCATCACTCAGCATGACACCTATCATCAACATAACAATCATCACTCAGCATGACATCTATCATCAACATAACAGTCATCACTCAGCATGACAGTCATCATTCAACATAACAGTCATCACTCAGCATGACACCTATTATTCAACATGACAGTCATCACTCAGCATGACACCTATTATCCAACATAACAGTCATCACTCAGCATGACACCTATTATTCAACATAACAGTCATCACTCAGCATGACACCTATTGTTCAACATAACAGTCATCACTCAGCATAACACCTATTATTCAACATAACAGTCATCACTCAGCATGACAACTATTATTCAACATAACAGTCATCACTCAGCATAACACCTATCATCAACATAACAATCATCACTCAGCATGACATCTATCATCAACATAACAATCATCACTCAGCATGACACCTATCATCAACATAACAATCATCACTCAGCATGACATCTATCATCAACATAACAGTCATCACTCAGCATGACAGTCATCATTCAACATAACAGTCATCACTCAGCATGACAGTCATCATTCAACATAACAGTCATCACTCAGCATGACACCTATCATCAACATAACAATCATCACTCAGCATGACACCTATCATCAACATAACAATCATCACTCAGCATGACACCTATCATCAACATAACAGTCATCACTCAGCATGACAGTCATCATTCAACATAACAGTCATCACTCAGCATGACAGTCATCATTCAACATAACAGTCATCACTCAGCATGACACCTATCATCAACATAACAATCATCACTCAGCATGACATCTATCATCAACATAACAGTCATCACTCAGCATGACAGTCATCATTCAACATAACAGTCATCACTCAGCATGACACCTATCATCAACATAACAATCATCACTCAGCATGACATCTATCATCAACATAACAGTCATCACTCAGCATGACAGTCATCATTCAACATAACAGTCATCACTCAGCATGACAGTCATCATTCAACATAACAGTCATCACTCAGCATGACAGTCATCATTCAACATAACAGTCATCACCCAGCATAACAATCATGAGAGTTTACTCAACATAACAATCATGAGAGTTTACTCAACATAACAATCATGAGAGTTTACTCAACATAACAATCATGAGAGTTTACTCAACATAACAATCATGAGAGTTCACTCAACATAACAATCATGAGAGTTCACTCAACATAACAATCATGAGAGTTTACTCAACATAACAATCATGAGAGTTCACTCAACATAACAATCATGAGAGTTTACTCAACATAACAATCATGAGAGTTTACTCAACATAACAATCATGAGAGTTTACTCAATATAACAATCATGAGAGTTTACTCAACATAACAATCATGAGAGTTCACTCAACATAACAATCATGAGAGTTCACTCAACAGTCATCAGAGCTCATTCAATATAACAATCATCACACAACATGACAGTCAAGTGTGTGTAATCCAGTATAATAATTACCAGGACACTGTGGAAACTACAATAATGTCCCTTCAGAAGCTGATTTTATTGAATGAGATGTTAATTTGTCAACCTGGGAGTTCCGGGGCCACATTGTGGGGGAAACAAGAATTTACCCACTGTCTCCCCAACAAGCATGTTGTAAGCATCAACTAATTTTGGACACCCTTATGGATGAAACACTCAGGTTCTGGAACAAAACTAAATAAAGTCTAGAGTTGGACAGACACCCAGAACTTTCCACTGGTGAACACTGTGAACTTTCCAGCCGGTGAACACGAACAAGAAGAAGAATTCATTTCTGTCATTCAATCTAGTCAGCCCTCTTAGCATACTTTATGAAATCATCATCGTGTGCCTACTCAGTAAACATCTCTCATGATCACCAGAATCATAGGTCAGGATTTTTCTTGTTCTGCCTGAGCCAGGTGGAAAAGTCATTTTTTTTTCTTTGTCTTTTCCCATTAGGTTTGCTAATTGTCACGAAGTTTCAGGTTGTATCCCTTTGCGTATCATCTTGGTGAGAGATGTTCTTCTATTCTATGACTTTTCTCAAGGTCAGAAATCACAACTGTTAACTGTGTTTGTTGTTCTAGGCAAACAATCGGGTCATGACCGGGATGATTAGAGAAGAGGCTGTGTCATATTTGAGCAGCCTGGAAGGGCAGGTCACTCTTGCAGTTCAGTACAGGAAAGAAGGTTTGTGTCACTGACTGATCATGTAGTTTCTAATTGCTAAAATATGTGCTGGGTCATTTGTTTGAAACATTAGTAAAATATAAACTGTGTCTGGTGCTTGAAACACTTGTAAAATCTAATCTTGGCCTGCTATTTGAAAAAGCAGTAAAATATATGCTGGGTCAGTTGCTTGAAACACCAGTAAAATATGTTTTCAGTCTTTTGTTTGAAACACCAGTAAAATATGTGCTAGGTCAGTTGTTTTTAACACCTGTAAAATATGTGCCGGGTCAGTTGTTTGAAATACCAGTAAAATATGTGCCGGGTCAGTTGTTTGAAACACAGGTAAAAAATGTGCTAGGTCAATTGTTCAAAACACCAGTAAAATATGTGCCTGGTCAGTTGTTTGAAACACCAGTAAAATATGTGCCGGGTCAGTTGTTTGCAACACCAGTAAAAAATGTGCTAGGTCAGTTGTTTAAAACACCAGTAAAATATGTGCTTGGTCTATTACTTAAAACACCAGTAAAATGCGCTTGGTCTATTTTTAAAAACACCAGTAAAATAGGTGCTTGGTCTATTATTTAAAACACTAGTAAAATATGTGCTGGGTCCACACCAGTAAAATATGTGCTCGGTAAGTTGTTTAAAACACGAGTAAAATATGTGGTGGGTCAGTTGTGTTAAACACCAGTAAAATATGCGCTTGGTCTATTATTTAAAACACCAGTAAAATATGTGCTGGGTCCACACCAGTAAAGTATGTGCTGGGTCAGTTGTTTGAAATACAAGTAAAATATGTGCTGGGTGAGTTGTTTGAAATACAAGTAAAATATGCACTGGGTGAGTTGTTTGAAACACCAGTAAAATATGTGCTGGGTCAGTTGTTTGAAACACCAGTAAAATATGTGCTGGGTCAGTTGTTTGAAACACCAGTAAAATATGTGCTGGGTCAGTTGTTTGAAATACGAGTAAAATATGTGCTTGGTCTATTATTTAAAACAATTGTAAAATATGTGATGGGTCTATTGTTTGAAACATCAGTAAAATATGTCATGAGTCAGTTTTGTTTGAAACACCAGTAAAATATGTGCTGGCTCAGCTGTTTGAAACACCAGTAAAATATTTAATGGGTCTGTTGTTCAAACACCACTAAAATATATCAGTGATCCATTTATAACAACACTATAGCATAAATTGTTGCACTGCATGAAAAGAATGAACTGTTAAGACTGACCCGAATATTTGATTTAACACACAGGTTATCTGTGATGATGTCAGTGAATTTGTTTGATGTGAAAAATAAAAATTTCTGATACTTCCAGCTTATATTCTAAGCACAGAGAAAAAAACTTGATTACTTTAGAACATCCTTTTTCTAGACTAATTTTTCATATTCACTACTGATTATATTATCTATCATTTTATGAATTATGTTCTCTTTTTGCATATTTCTTTCAGAATATGATCGTATCATAGCAAGCAATGAAGCTGGGGACTCTTTCTTTGTCAGGTTTGTGTCTGCTTTGACTCATGCTTGATTTCATGCTTGATTTCATGCTTAATTTCTTGCTTGATTTCATGTTAAATTTCAGTCTGGCATTTTTATACTGCATTTATTTCCCTGAAATACAATTATTTTCTCTTCAAGTGTACAGGCAGAGAGATTTGTTGGTTCTTCACAAATGGGTTGTGAATTTGTACGTGGCAAGCTAGATGTGCTCTAGGCCCTTTGGATGCAAGTGAACAATGTGGAACCACAAATAAATCATGATAGCCTGCAGAGAATGTTACAGCTAGGAGTGACCAGGGAAGCTCTTCGATGTTCTGCACTCAGAAGAAAGACAAGATGGACATATAATCAAACTGCTTCTGGTACCATTAGAGTTGAAACTCGTTGAAGATAAGGACGGAACCATTATGGGAATGTCCTAAGTGCTGTGATATCAGTTCTTGGCTCAACAATCAGCACTGTCTTCAAGAGCTTACAGGGTTTTCTCATTTTTTCTCTCTATGACTCTTTCTCTCTGAACATTTATTTAGTACCTTAATTCTCCCAAAGAACACTTAAAAAAAAAAAAAACAAGCCATGACCCTGCTGGAATTCTAGAAAACTCCTTGAAAGAATAAAAGGAACAGTGTTACACAGGTCACCAATAAATAAAAAGATATCTGAAGGTAGCAGTCAGTATACATGAATAGGGTGAAACACTAAATGGAATACATTCCTTGGGGCCTAAACAAATATGTATGGAGTGACTCCTACTGTGACCTTATGACCTCTATTACTGAGGTTCACAGGAAAATTTGACATCAGCTTAGCTATAACAAAAAAAAAAAATCAATTTGGCTCAAAGTAAAATCATCCTAAATGCTATTTTCTGGTAATGTATTCATATCCTGCATTGCTAAATGTTTGGGCAGGCATGAAAACAGCGGTAGCATTAACTATGCATCTTGTTAAGTTGAAAATCCTCCATTTACAGGGAATTAGACCCAACGTAATTGTCAGTTTTGTGGCCTATGGTTTCATTATGGGTTCCAGGGCCCAGTTGTGGGGGCAACAGGAATCAACCCACTGCTTCCCCCACAAGCCTGTTGTAGGAATAGACTTATTAGGAGCTTCCAACGAAGTCATTGTGCTAATGCCTGAGAGACAAGGAACCAACAGTCTGCATACACATAAGCCAAATCTGTAAAACAGATGTGCACGCAACACTGAGGTTCTGGAACAAGACCAAAGTTCAGACATGGACAGCAACCAGAACTTGCCGCCAGAGTTTACAGCTGGTAAACGTGAAGAAGAAGAAGTGACGTATGGGGGAGAAAGGGTTAAAGTAGTCTGCAACAGATACTGCTAGTGAAGTGTAGAATGTTTGGCTTTCATTTATAATAGGCTATTACATTTGACGTGGTGTGGCCATCCTTCTTTCCTTGTTTTTAAAAACTGTACTTGTCAGGAAGAGAAAAAATCTGCTTCTTGCGAAGGTTACATCCTCACCACTGTCATGGCAAACAAGCACACTCATCGCTGTGACAAGTTATTTCTGGGGTTTTGTTACATTGTCATATGTATGGTTTTAAAGCACACTCATCACTGTGACAAGTTATTTCTGGGGTTTTGTTACATTGTCATATGTATGGTTTTAAAGCACACTCATCGCTGTGACAAGTTATTTCTGAAGTGAGCACAGGGATTTGTTACATTGTCCAATATGACATGGTTTTAAAGCACACTCATCGCTGTGACAAGTTTATTTCTGGGGTTTTCCAGTTCAAGACATTCGTCATATGTAAAACAATTTTAAAGCACACTCATCACTGTGACAAGTTATTTCTGGGTTTTTATTACATGTCATATGTATGGTTTTCAAAGCACACTAGGGACATCGCTGTGACAAGTTATTTCTGGGGTTTTGTTACATTGTCATATGTACTGGTTTTAAAGCACACTCATTATAGACTCAGCCTTACTGTCTTTGCAAAACAGTGGATACATTGTCAGTCTTAGACTTCAGACATTTCTATACAAATTATTTCTGGGTGGATGAGCAAGTTGGCAGGAAAAAAACAAAGTCTCAAAACTTTGAAAGAGACACAAGGAAGCTGTGGAGGCTAGTAAAGCAACTTCATGAAGTGAGCACAGGAATTTCTCCAAATACCCCAATATATACAGAGGGAGCCATCCTAACAGGAAAACAAACGGCAGACCACTTTTCAGATTTATTTGCTGATGACAGCAAAATTGATGTTAGTCCAGAGAAGCTCAAGAGAATCGACAACACTCAAGACAAAACAATATAATTCCCGAGGTACTGGCGGCACCAATTACATCTAGCATGTTAGCAATAACGAAGCTAAAAATGGGAAAGTCTCCTACATTGGATGAAATAACCAATGAAATGATCAAGAACCTAGGGACAACAGCCACAACAGATTTTTGATGATTGTTAGGCAAGTGGCAAGGTTCCCCAGATATGGAGAGAAGCAATCATGATACTTCTTCTAAAACCAGGAGGAGACAGTACCAATGCCTCCAGTTATAGACCAATCAGCCTTACCAGCTGTCTTTGCAAAACAGTGGATACATTGTCAGTCTTAGACTTCAGTGGGACATGGAAAGTGAAAACATCTTCAGACAGGCAGGCTTTAGACAGTGATATTTCACAAAAGATCAGACAATTTACCTCTCTCAAGAAATTGAAGATGCTTTCCAAGAAAAGAAGCTGGTGCTTGTGGCATGAATAGATCTGAAGAAAGCCTTTGATAAGGTCTGGAAAGAAGGTTTCATGAAGAAACTGAGAGACGGCAAAGTAAATGGCAAAATGTACAGATGGGTAAAATCATACTTGTATAACAGAAGAGCCTGAGTACATATAGACGGACTCAAGAGCAAGAAATTCTTGCTTTGCCATAGTGTCCCCCAAGATGGTGTCCTGTCCCCAACACTGTTTCTGGTCTATATCAACAACCTATTTGGTAAACTACCCCATCGTATTAATGCTGCAATGTGTGCTGACAACATGGTACTATGGTGCACAAATAAATCTGCAACAGTGGCCACTAGACTGCTGCAAAGATCCATAAATGCAATGGCTGCATGGGCTGATAAATGGTATGTCAGCATCAACATATACAGGTGTGGCACCACCCTCTTCACCTCCTCCCCTAAACAAAAATCAGGCGTCATTCAGATAAGTGGAATACCACTAAGGAGCCCATATACCTCAGACTAATGTTTGATGATAGGTTAACATCGAGAAAGCACATCAACAAGACAGCAACCAAACCCAGAAGAAAGATAGATATCTATTCTAAAAAAACTAAGTGGAAAAACATGGGGTGCAAAATGGGAAAATACTTAGGAAAGTCTATTAACAAAGTGTATAATCACACCTTGAACACAGGTAAGCTGCATGGAGTTCAGCATTAAAGACCACACTACAAAAGTTAGACAAGGTGAAAATCAAGCGCTAGAGTCATAACAGGCAGGATAAAATCAACACCTATAGCTACAATTTTTATAGCTTCCCATTAATGAAAAGTTAAAATACTAATGTATGTAAACATTTCTAATTCCTTCAGCGTCTGTGTAAATTTAGCAATTGTGTTACATGTGGTATTTTATGTTATATTGAGGCTGTGGCTAATTGTCTTGACTAACATGTGGTATTTTATGTTATATTGAGCCTGTGGCTAATTGTCTTGACTAACATGTGGTATTTTATGTTATATTGAGCCTGTGGCTAATTGTCTTGACTAACATGTGGTATTTTATGTTATATTGAGCCTGTGGCTAATTGTCTTGACTAACATGTGGTAATTTATGTTTCATATTTTAGCCTGTGGCAGAGCTAATTGGATCATTGACTAACATGTGGTAATTTAAAAGTTATATTGATTTCAATTCCTAATTGTCTTGACTAACATGTTGTCTGGCCCGGTGCTTTAAGTTTCTTCATATTGAGCATCTGTGGCTAATTGTCTTTGACTAACATGTGGTATATACTCTATCTGTTAATTATATTAGCCTGTCCCATTAATAAGTTCACCATCTTTTGACTAACATGTGGTACGTTTTTCCTGTTAACATATTGATCCTGTGGCTAATTGTCTTTCCTGTAATTTTCATGTGGTAATTGATTCAGTTAGGCTATTGAGCCACTGGCTAATTGTTTTTGACTAGAGTATGTGGTAATTCTTTGTTATATTGAGTCTGTGGCTAAGAATGTCTTGACTAACATTTCTTTAATTTCTATGGGTTATATTGAGCCTTTTGATGTCTGCTGAATTGTCTTGACTAACATGTGGTATGTTTCATGTTGTATATTTCCATTGCAGCCTGTTTTGTACAGTGACATTGTACTTTTGACCTAAACATGTGGTAATTTAAGTTATATTGAGTCTGTGGCTAATTGTCTTGACTAACATGTGGTAATTTAAGTTATATTGAGTCTGTGGCTTATTGTCTTGACTAACATGTGGTAATTTATGTTATATTGAGCCTGTGGCTTATTGTCTTGGCTAACATGTGTGTGAATGTTTTTGTTTTTCTTTCTGTAAACAGAACACATTTCAAACATACTGCCTCAGACGCAGAAACTGAGCATTCATTTCAGGTTGGTGACATTTTCCATGTCAAGGACACACTGTTTCGTGGTATCGGTGGCTCATGGTTGGCAATCAGAATTTCAGATGGTCTCAAGAAAAACAGAAAAGGAACTATCCCTAACAGTAAAACGTATGTGTCTGTGTATGTGGTTGTGTACGTGTATACAGCTTGTTTAGTTCACATTTGCTTTTGCTAATATCCTAATTTACTGATATTCTAATTTACTGATATTGTAGAGGATTTGCAAAAAAACAGACTGAGGTTTGTAGGTGTAATCTCTTTAAGGTAATTTGTAAATCCTCTTAAGAGATTACTAACCACGTTTAGCATTTTTCGGCCCCTGTATGGTTTTACAGTGTATTTATATGTTAATAGTTTGTAATTCATTTCCTAATGACACTTTTAGTAAAATCATATACTGCTAAATTGACACCAGTGGCTGTAAAAATCAATACATAGGGGTTTGTGAAACTGCATATACAAGCTGCAGATTTGTTGTTGTTTCAGAAACATATTGTTTACATTTGAAAAGTGGTTGATAGATTAAACAATATTATTTTCAAAATGATTTTCAAAACTACACTTAAAATATAATAACCCTGACACTCTACATTCCTACAATCTGTTAGATTAAGTACATAATCTGACAAAATTAAATAATTAAAGGTCACTGATAAGCAAAAATATCCATTGTTGAAATATATATAATCATCTGGGGCCTTGCCGACTGGGGTGGGCGATCATGCCTCTCCACAATCTTAGATCTCCTGCAGCCTCTGTATCAGTTCGTGGCTGACACACTTTCTTGCCATGCAACAAAAATGTCAAGAATCTTTTCTCATTATCTTCCTCTATCCCTCCTTCACCAAATCTTTCCAGTGGTCACAACATCTTCCATTTTCCCTCTTCTCATAACATAGCGAAAAAATGATGACTGTCTGCTTCTGATGTCTGTGATAAGTTTGTAGCAGAGCTTTGTTCTTTGTGTATGATTGGATTTAATTTGATTCAAAAACTGACATTACAGCACTCAGTGCATTCCCATAAGTGCTACGTCCCTCCATCTTCAGCAGCCAGCGAAGAGATCCATTGGCATTCTGATTAAACGTCGGTCTTGCCTTTCCTCTGCGCCTTGAGCATCTGCCACAACCTCTCGTCACTTCCCCCTGCATCAGTCTCACCAGACATTGGTGATCCATCTGCTCCTCCGAACTGTACACGCTCTCCCACTAAGATACTCGTCTGCCTTATCATGCATCAGTATTCCACCAAGTTGTGCAGAGCCAGCTAGTCTGTCTGTCTGTTCATTTCCCAACACACTGGTGTGCTTAAGTGAAAAAATCCAGACAGTACTCCTCACCTGTGTCCTCCGCAGCGAGGCATGCCACTCTGCACAAAGCATGCCTGTCCTGATCTTCCTCAGCATGCTTTCTGAGTTAGTTACAATCATGATGTGTGTGTGTGTGTGTGTGTGTGTGTGTGTCGTGTTTTCTAACCAGCGGAAAGCTGCAGTGACCGCCTCCACCTCCATTCTTAAGCTAGATGTTGTGGTTTCATATGCTAGGCTTTCCTGCACCAAATGTCGACCATTAACTTTTGCTAAGAAACCCCAAGCACTTCTTTTGCCTCTAGACACTGAACCTTCTGTGTAAACGATCATATCCTCTGAGCAAGCATTATTTTGAATTAATTGCTGAATTTCCACCTCTGTGGCACCTGCTGGCCAGTCTCCGCATTCCCGGCTCAGTGTGATTATGACCCTACACAAGTCTGACTGTTCAGGTTGGCACTTTGACCCACTCCTCTCCTCGCCTAATGTTCTCAAGGATGCAAACCTGTCTGATTGTGTCTTCTACCTGAGCCATCCATGACTTTCTTTTTATCAGCCGCTGACCCTTAACACAGAACTTTCATGCAAAGGGTGGTCTGTGTCTGCAGCTACCCTGAGATATGACTTCACCTGCAGCACTTTGTGCCTACCTGCAACAGTCAACTGACCAAGGATGTATCACATACACACCACTGAGGTGTCTCTGGTGCAACCCAGAATGACCCACATAGCTGCATTCTATGTGCTCTAGTTTGTCCATCTGACTCTTTGAGACGGTAAGAAGTCCCAGGCCATAATCAACCACTGACAGGATCAAGTGCTGATATAGTGTGAAAAGCATTCTCTGCTTTATGTCAAAAAAAAGAGTACTGCAGGAAATTGTCCTGCTTGCTAGGGAAGGGGCAATGGATGCCACGTAGGAGTCTTATGCCTGGTGCTGCCCTGCACGCCCGCCAGATGTCCAACGTTCATTACCAGCTCACCCGTGGCCATCCATTTCCTCAGCACGTTGGCTTACCTTAAACTTAGGGGTTCATATTTGGAGTTTGCCGTCTCCTAGATGGACTGCTGTCCAAAACTAATGGGTTCCATCTACCTGGGGAAAGGGACTATAGCGCCCCGAACCGCTTCGCAGGCACGTCTCCGAGCATATGAGGTATTTTATAAGTATTTCAGATCCCACCCTGAAATCTTGCCGTGCCCTCTGTGCCCACCCCCAGTTGGTCTGCGGCTGCTTATTAGGTATCCACAGCTAACCTTTATATCTAGAGACTGTTTCACAGTCCACCACCAGTGGACGTGCTGGTTTGGGGATGGTCGCCCCAGCTTTACACAGTCTTTGCATATATTGATGTCACATCCAGGTTCGCCTTTAGTTTGCTACAGAAGAAGTCAATTGAAAAGGTATAGATAAGATGAAAGATAGTCGTGTCGATAGTGGTGATGAAAATGATGTCTTGCTTGATGCTTGCTTCTCACATCTCTGATATTTTTTAAATAAATGTCTGTAAACAACTTTCTTTTCAATGCACTGTCTTTATTGTGATACTTCAGTAATGTCACAAATAACCTCATGATATTCTGAACGGCCACTGTTTTATTATATGGTTACAAACTCTTGAGGTCGCACTGTGTTTTTCATCTCTAATTACTTTGCGAACTGTCTCCAGTGTCTGTAGCTGCCAACTGGCTTCAAGTGCTGTCTGGTACTTACGGCTTAATCGTCGACTCTTCACATCCTAATAGTGTTTCTACCTAATGTGTCTCTGTTGACGATGGATCCATGTATCTTGTGTATTGTCTTTGTAGCTTGATGTCTTGTTTCATGTCTCCTCTTTAGTGTCTGTCTTTGAGGCTCCATGTGACTAGTTCCTTTGCTTCCAAGTCTCGACTGAAGGATTCTCTTTAAGAGTCGATGTTACTAGTCCCTCCTCTTCTGAGTTTTGTTGAATGAATGATTTTCCAAATGGTTTCTCACTTATTATTTATACTGAGATGCTGGAATGCATGGTATTTGTTTTCTACTCTTCTAGAAATTTCTAGTACGTCTCAAAATGTTTACTGTGTGCATTCTCACATGGGATTTTCTAATTGCATCTCGATTGCATCAGATTTCATCATCTAATTCTGCACCGAAATATACTAATTAAATTGATAGCTGGCCTCATGGAGACTTCCAGAAAGCCAGTACAACTGGGTTTCACTTTGGTAGGGCACATCAAAATTACATCATATACTATTTATAGATTATTTAATTGCAAAATATTTCTCTGCTAAAAAAAAAAACAATAGTTTTAGAAAGGAATGTCAAGATTATCAAACTTGATGATTATTCTAACTATGTGCAATATCCTAACTCCTGACAAACAAGTATAGAGGTCTCCCTGTTACAAATTGTCTTTGGGCTCCCGCCTCTTTCAAATCCTCTTGGTTGCTGTTTTTTGGCTGTATTTTAAGAATTTTTCTGTAAAACCACATCTCTGAGGCCTAACAAAATTGTTTGGCCTGTCTACCGATTGTCCATATGTTAAAACTGGATGTATGTAGCAAGCAAGAACTCTTTTTCTAACTCTCAATGACAAGGATATATTGCACAAGATATTCTTCATTTTATAAAATTCAGTTTTTGCCTGTCCTATTCTGTTTCCTATCTTCATCTGATGTTATCCATGTGCCCAGATACTTAAATTTCTGTACTTGTCCCAAAATAACACCACTGACTTTTCTTAAAACACATTTTGGAATAATTCTTTTCTTTGATACCACCATTACTTTTGCCTTTCCTTTATTCAAACTGACCATTCTTCCACTTTCTGCTACCACAATGTTTATAATTTCCTGTAGTTCATCTGACCTTTTGCTATCAGCATAACTTATATTGTTTATATTATGCCCACCAATCACAATTCTGGGCATATCAGGTAAAGATCTCATGATTTATTTACTGTATAATGAAAACAAATCAGGTGACAGTACACATTGAAATATATATATCTGTATATAAATATATATGTATGTATATATTAGGATATGTGGATATGTATAAATTTGTATCCACATACCCTAATTATCTCTCTCCCTCTCTCTCTCTCTCTCTCTCTCACACACACACAAAACACACCCACCCACGCGCACACACAAACACACACATGTTTATATATATATATATATATATATATATATATATATATATATATATATATATATATATATATATATATATATATATATATATAAAAATATATTATCCTAATTTTGACTGAGATTTGTTAAACAGTATATTGTTATTTGAATTACTGCTAGAATGTGAAGACTGTAACAATTGAGCCAGTATGCAGGAGCATGAATATAAGATGGAAGATTGACAGTTGAGTGGAATCAAGATTTCAAAAGGAAAATAGACTCGTGTATTAACTGGATTTTGGTCACAGGCATGAGGAAAAGTCCTATGTGATGTTTATAAGGAGATACTTCATTCCTCACCTAGGGCGCCAGCCTTCTCTGTGCTGATTTTACGGAACCTCGTGCAAAACTCGTGCTGCACGTCCCTGTTGTGTGCCACGGATGATGTATCAAATGAGCAATAACAGAGCGGGCAGGGAAGTTAGTATCCCCCAGAAATGTAGTGTCCAGCCTGCCCCCAAAAGCATAGGTGAAAACATCTATTAAAACTCATTTGTAACATGAGTAAAGTCTGCTTGCTAATGTACCACTAAATGACAACTCTTGGTTAAAAGCCTCTCGAGTGAAAGAAAAAACTGAACTGCTGAGACTTGGCCCTTGACCAAGAGATTTGCCAGCAGCTTAGACGAGTAACATCTCCTGTTGGCTGTTTCTTGCCGGAAAATCTTGTCTACGTACATCCTGTTAATTATCAATGTCGTCATCACTGCAAAAAGGTACACCATGACAGCCACTATCAGCCTGCTGGGTAGGCTCAAATGAACAACAAAGGTACATCCTATGACACACCAGCAAAATCTCAATGTCTGATCGTCATAAATCCTACTGATTGGCAAAAAAGTTTAAATATCTGTATCCTTCGATCACTTGCTAGAGTGTTAAGACGAAACATGTGAGGCCATGATCCAGGCCTCTCCATACTTAAGTGCTGTGCGCAAAATTAAACCATGTTAAAGGTGTCTAACAGGATGAAGAAGAATGTAACTGCAGGCTGCCCCTTACTGATCTCCGGAGGGTACAGCTTGTGATAAGTGGACAGTTTAACATACAGTTGTGAAGTTGAGCAGTCATGTGCAGGAAGTGATGATTTCTTAGGTGAGTCCAGAACCAGAGCTTCATGTGTCGACTCTACATTTATGGAAGCTTCCTTGAATGGCGGGAAATGCCCATGATGTGCCCCTGCCTTCCCCTGAAGGCTGCCAAGTCTACACGTGGTTGCCCTAAAGGGGTTATCCGGGGGCAACATCTGTAGATAAAGAGATGAAGAGGATACCACACAAATGAGGCAACATTATGTGCCACGAAACAATGGCCACAGTCATCCTAAAGATAGGATTGACATTTTCCTTTAAAATCAGAGTACATCTGCCCGAGAGACAGGAAACACAGTAAAACGGATGTACATGCAAAACTCAGGTGCTGTACAAAGCCAGAAGTCCAAATGGATAAACAACCAGGACTTTCTGCAGGAATTTACAGCCAGTGAACAAGAAGAAGAAAAAGAAGAAGAAGACATGGCCAGTTATTCAGTGAGTGTTTCTACCAAACTCTGAGACCAGTGCTAAACATGAAAGTGGTCTGCATTGAAAGATAGGAAACTCATTACAGCTGATATAAAATGAGTGAAAAAAGCTGCTAGCTTCAGTAGAAGAGACATAATTTGAAATATCAGAAGAGTAATTGGTCACACACAATTTATAAACAAATAAATCGATTTGGAAATCTTACAAAAATAAACTCCCATGAGTTTCTAGCTTATGCCTATAGTAATAAAACTATATTTCTGTGTCATATCATTGAAGCAGCATACAGCTTCTTTTTTTAAAAAATCTTTTCTTTATTATGTAGTAAGTACCTTTTGAAAAAGGGAGCCACAGTAACACATTTGTCTTCCAGCACAGTTGTCATGTATTTGAATCCCCTTTCAAACTGAGGTCTATTACAAATTGACCTAGACTCCTGGGTGACCCAGCCTAAAGTGGATATAAGGAAATATTCTGGGAAGTAAATGTCACAGGGTACATCGGATGCCTGGTAACCTATACAAACATGGTGCTAGCACACTGTATACATATATTATGTGAAACCACAAAAATCTTTTTTTTGTCTTTATACTTTGTGATGGGAAAGAACAAATCTGTTAATTTATTTACTGTAACATGAAAAAACAGATAATTGTTGATTTATATGTGATTTCACGTGAAACCACAAAGATCTGTTCATTTCTTTACACCGTGTGATGGGAAAGAATACATCTGTTCAATTTATGTAATATAAAATGTTCTTCTTCTTCACTTCCTCTTTTACCGCTGTGGGTGTCGAGGAGATATAAGGTTCTGTTTCTAGCTCTTCTGGCTGCCTCGACCATAGGCACATCGTGCTGTTGTAGAGTTTCTCTGATGTTATCCTTCCATCTTGTTCTTGGTCTACCCCATGCTCTACGTCCTTCTTCTCTTTCCATGTATGCTTTGTATGGTATGGTGTCACAAGGCATTCTCTCTAAGTGGGCAAACCATTTCACTTGCTGTCTTTGTATGTAATCCAGAATTGGTTCTGTGCCGACTTGTTCTCTTATGATCTCATTCCTGATCTTATCTCTTATGGTCACCCCTACAGCCCTTCTCAGACATCTCATTTCCGTGGTTACCAATTTTCTTTTATGGTTTGTTGTGAGTGACCATGTCTGGCACTGGTAGCATAGAGTTGGAATAAATATGCTTTGAATAAGATGTCTCTTTGTGCTGATTGGGATTGTCTTATGCTGTAAGAGGGAGGCTAGCTGTCCCAATACTTGGTTTGCTTTACTGCATCTAATGTCAATTTCTTTATCTAATTTCCCATCTTCGGTAAATGTAGTTCCCAGATATTTAAACTCAGATGCCTGTTTATTGCCTTTGCACTCTATTGCTATGTTTAGATCTGTCTTCTTTTTTCATATTGACATTACTTCTGTCTTTTCAGTGTTGATTCTCATATTATTTGTTTTACATTCTTCATTCATGGATGTTAGATGTTGTTGCAATTTCATGGCTGTATCTGCTATCAAGGCCTGGTCATCTGCAAAGAGTAATTCGTTGATCTTACTAAGATCTTCATTCATGGGCTTTTCATTCTTGCATATACTGTCGATGTAGGTGATAAACAGCAGTGGTGATAGGACACACCCCTGTCTTACTACAGATGTCACTGTGAATGGATGAGATGTTCCCTGATTTATTCTAACTACACTTCCTATATAAAATGTTAAACAACAAATATGTGTTAATTGATATGGGATATCATATGAAAGAACATACATATAATTTCTGAATTATGTCATGTGAAATAAAATATATCTATTTCTTTTCACACTTGATACAGTGCAGAAATGTTCAAGTCTCAACAGAGAGAAGACAGTGACAAGGAGAACTTTCCTAATAGGGGAAGAGGCAGTTTGTTCAGAAGGAGATCAATCTCACGTCGATCCAAGTCATTGGGCAGAGACTGCTGGGAGCGAATAATTTTTGGTAAGTCAGATAAATTCACTAATGTCATGTAAAGGACCCTCTTTCAGGTCCTAAGACGTGTTTGAACATTTAGTGCTGGATACCAGTTTTATAGACCAGTCGGCACTTGGTAGTTGATGTGATAAACATCATGCCCGCCCCCTTTACTTCCAGGGCTTTCCTTGGTATCTGTTTTAGACAGGGTCGACCTGGGAGCCGCGGTTATTTAAAAAAAAAAAATTATGTTTTGGATTTGAACGCATGACCTTCATATGGGTGTCTAGCAGTTACGCCACAGCAGCTTCCACCTATTTTTTGTGAATCTTGTAGAAATATCAGAGTACTAGAAAAATCACAGAGTTTATGCTCCATGAAGATCTGTTCAGTATAGTATTGCAGAGTCCAAGTGTTTGATGTCTAGATGATACACATGGGATACTGTTGACTTCATTGCACTGGGTGTGTCTCACATGGTACAGAATGCAAGCCATCTGCTGAGAACATTATACAAGGTCACGGTTGAGAGAATTGACTTTATCGGACTGTGTGTGTCACATATTGTACAGACTCAGTACTTAGATTGGCTAGCCTCCTGCCCTGAGCATCACACAGCACATGAATACCATAGCTCCAGCGATGATCCCTAGAGATTTTTGTGAAAAATTGCACTCATGGGCCAAACCACGCTTGCTTGAAGTGAGTCCACCATCCTCAGATTGTGTGACAAGTGGCTCAACCACTTTGCCTTGAAGATGACTAGTAGACACAAGATATTGGAGACACTCTGGGCATGGACAAACATGAACAGAGAAATTGGCAAGGAACCAGAATGCTTTCCGACAAACTCCAGAAGCAATGAATTCTTCTATAACATGGCAGACACTGTGGATGCTCTGACTGGTCTGGTTATGAGTGAGATTATCTTCACAGCACTCCGGACACATCCATAGGTGCTCAGATTCCCCTCTCAACGTATTCATCAGCGTCATGCTTCTCATGCTTGGCTTTGCCGATCTTTACTCCCAATTTGCGTATTCTTAGTAGTGATGTGGACACGTTGCTTCCAAAATCCTCAGAATGTCCTATCTCTCTAAGGGCATTGACAATGTCTGCGTGATCCATGGGCCGGCCATCTTCCATTAATGCAGCACCTGCCAGTCTATCAGCTCCCCATATCTTCCTGGTGTTGTACCAACATTAGCTGTGTTTGTGTATGTTATCTGCTCTTCTCATGTCTTTATGGGGTCTAAGATGTCTGTACCAACATTAGGAATTAGCTGTGTGAGTGTGTGTTTGTTGTCTACTCTCCTCTTGTCTTTATGGGGATTGAGGTGTATGTAACAATATTAGCTCTCTCTCTCTCTCTCTCTCTGTGTGTGTGTGTGTGTGTGTGCGCGCATGCACATACATCTGTTGGCTGCTCTCCTTGTGTCTTCCTGTATTCTCATATGTCTGTACCAACATTAACTCTCTCTGTCTCTCTGTGTGTATGTGTGTGTGTGTGTGCTCTCGTACATATGTTGGCTGCTCTCCTTGTGTCTTCCTGTGGTCTGAAATGTCTGTACCAACATTAACTCTCTCTGTCTGTGTGTGTGTGCACTCGTACATATGTTGGCTGCTCTCCTTGTGTCTTCCTGTGGTCTGAAATGTCTGTACCAACATTAGCTGTGTGTGAATGTGTGTGTGTGTGTTGGCTGCACTCATCTGGTGTCTGTAGAGGTATGTACTGTCAATAATTAACGTTTTTTTTTTTTAATGATGGATGATCTTCACATTTACTGAAGCAGTGAGTTGTATTTCCTCGTAACATATTTGTCACACTTTGTTAACATATCTGTGACATGTTCACAGCTGGTCGGGACACTAAATTTCCTGCATATGAGAGAGTTGTTTACAGAGATCGTGAGTAAATCAAACTTCTAAACATTATTTCAGTTTAAACAAAAAAATTTTTTTTTACCTGTATCAGATGATTTGTCAACATTTTGTCTAAAACTAAAACCGTGTTACCCTTAGTATTGTGTATAGATGACAGTCTGCAGTCTAATCAATCAAGATTGTGAATATATCTCTGTCTTTAACCTAGTGCAAAAACATTGTGTCTATATCTCTATTTTCACTCTAGTCTGACAACAAGATTGTGTCTATATTGTGTCAACTGTCTTTAGCCTAGTCTAACAACAACATTGTGTCTATATCTCTGTCAGCTGTCTAATCCAACAACATTTTATATATCTCTGTCTTCAACCTAGTTTAACGAACATTGTGTCAGTATCTCTTGTATTCAACCTAGTTTAACGATATTGTTTTGATATTTCTGTCTTCTGTCTAGTTTAACATCATTGTGTCTGCATCTCTGTCAGCTGTCTAATCCAACAACACTGTGTCTATATCTCTGTCTTCAACCTATTCTGACAACATTATTATGTCGAAATGTCTGTCTTAAACCTATTTTAACAGCATTGTATCTGTATCTCTCTGTCTTCAACCTAGTTTATCAACATTGTGTCTATGTCTCTGTCAGCAATCTAATCCAACAATATTGTGTCTGTCTTCAGTCTAATCAATCAACATTCTACCATACAACTCTTCTTACTAGTTGATACTGACACTTTTTGTGTTTTTATGGCGGCATGTTGTATCCAATATGTATTCTGTGACAACTAAGAAAGAAGAAGCCGAAATGCATTTTTGCATTTAAGACATATTGTCTAAGATGCAGTGTTTCATTCAGTTTAATACATACTTGTGTGGGGTATATGCTTTATATAAAGTAATACTTAAAATAACCAGTAGAAAGAGAATCAAATTTGACATTCTCCTTAGCATCCTGTTTGTATTCTCCTAGCTGGGTTTGTGAGACCTGTCGTTGTTTTTGGAGCAATTTCTGATATTGCTAGGGAAAGACTTCTGGCAGACTATCCAGGAAGATTTGAGTCTATTCGTAAGTAAATTGTGTCATTGTTGCTAGTTCATACATTCTTACAATAGAGGAACCTGGAAATCAGTCACAAAAACACTGTTCAGCATTTTTTCAGGTTTCAATCATGTACATTTATTATATTGTTATAGTCTTGTTTCATTATTAAGTTTCTTGATAAAAGTGTTGGATTTGGAATCTGTGCATTATTTTTATTTTACAAATCTTATAAAATACAGAATAATTGGAGCAGATGCAAACGCGTCTCTGATAAGGGTAAAAACTAGTCATATGTGCATGCCTAACACATGCAAGATGCTTTAGCAGGTGGAAATAGTAGCTGTAATTACACTACTCTGTAAAATTCCAGTTGTGAAAACAGCTAAAAACAACAGTATATTTATAGCAACTTTTTTGGCTGAGGAAAAGAAATAGGAACATCAACACATTGTTGTTAATATGTTTATGGGCAGTTACATGCTTCAGCTAGATAACTGAGCACCTGAGATTAGAGTGAAGTGATAATAGTGGTAATAATTTTACGAACATACATAATGGTACGTAACTTATGGAATTTTATAAAGTGGAACCTCAGAGAGCCCTCATGATGAGTCCCTTCTTATCTTTTCCTAGCTGTTCCAACTTTTTCACCTAGTTCCTCGTTCCCAGCTGGTCGATCTCTTACACACTGCAGGTTCGTACCCGAAGACCCTCGGTTTCTGTTATCAGAAAGGACTGTTTGTCACCCCTATGGGAGCTGGGAACATTCCAGCAATTGCCAAGTAGGACTCAAACAGCTAGAATATCTTTCTACTGTTGGTCTGAGTTTGTTGCCTGCTGGCAGCGATATGAGGTAAATACCAGATGCTAGTAGTATAAATACCTATCTATCTCTCTGCAAAGTTTAACTACTCCCCATCTCTAGTTTCTAACCTACCCTACAGGAGAGGATCTAAGCCACGCCCCTGAGGTACCGTACAGATCAAAATAGCTATCAATGTGCCTGTCATTCACTATGGACAACCTCTACTAAGACGAAACTTTCTTAAGTGGTAAACATCTGTTCTGTAGCCAATCTCACTGACAGGTGTAGGTGTGAAACGGCAGTCCAGGAGACACCATCATGTCTGGAGTTGTCTACCAGACCAAGTTAGTTCCCCTGATCTGGTCGGTCCAATTTGCCCCAGTCTAGCCGTGTTATGTAAGATCCATTACACTAGGGTCTGGCTGGTAAAATGACCAGGTAGATAAGGTAATATTCGGTAATCTTACACAAAGCTTGGTTGCTTTGTCTGGCCACTAAGGACTGGCAACAATTTTCAAACCCATGTGGTTTTTAGAACTATTTAGGCTTAGTACATAGTGAGTATAATTCTTTGCCCTTCTATGAACATAAGAAATTATTAAACATAATATAACTTCTGATACCACTGAGATCATTTCGTTACATGTCACAAAGTTAAATCTGATAATCACAGACATAGTTATGGCGTTCACAAGGGTAGTTTCAAGGCAGTAAATTTTTTTATTTATTTATTTGGGCTACAAAAAGATTTACAGTAGTCACTAAGGTAGGTTTATGGTAGTCACAAATGTGGATTTATAGTGGTCACCTAGTTAGATTTATGGTTATCACTTTTTAGTCGTCATATAGCTAGATTTATAGCGGTCACACAAGATTTACAAGTAGTCATTTAGGTTCACAGAAGAAGAAGATTTAGTTAGATTTATGGTAATCACAAAAGATTCAAACTAGTCACATAGCTATATTTCTGGTAATCAGAAACATTTTTTTCAGGAGTCACATAGCTAAATTATGGCTGGTCACATATCTTGTCAATGGCACTTTTGGTATGTTGCTTATTTATATGTACCGTCAAGTATGTGTGGACTTAATTAATAGGTTAGTTGCATATCCTTTACAGAACGTTGCAGAACCAACCCCAACAGCTCCTGGCTGTTGTGTGGTTTTTCTAGGCAAATTTACCCAGTAGTTTGCCATTGCTTTCTGGGCGGTCGGCTTCTTTGATACCACTGTCGAAACCAACGCAAGGTGCATAGCCTGCAGCTGGGATCGAACCCGGCATCCCGGCATTACGAAACGTTCGCATCGACTTATGTGGGCTTAGTAAAGGATTAAATAAATAGAAACAGTAATAGAAACAAATCATGCCCTACCTCACTTGTATTTTGTTTTCAGGAACAAAAGCTACCTGGAGTAGATTACCAGGTAAAATGACCTATCTTTTGTTATTGCAGTGACATAAAACAAGTCATTTTTTTTTTTAAAAACAGAAACTGATAAAGCAGCAGAAGAAGGCAGCAAGAAAGACAAGGGTGCCGTTATAACACTAGGTTCCATACGTGAGACTGTAGCTCGGGTAAGTTTGAAATGCTAAACATGACAGTCATGGCAGACTCCAATATCATCTGCTGAATACATTTAAAATACATGTAGAATAGGGCAAAGGGGTTTTTAGTGTGAAGTGGATAAACAGTCAGATAAACAAAACATTGAACATGCCTTCAAACCCTGGCAGCCTTATGAAAGGTGTAGAATGACAGCAGGGTCTCATAGTCAGACTGTAGAGTGTGCTCTGGCTAGTGCCTGGCCTATCCTTACTCATAACTTCCTTGGGTGGAAGGGAGGAGGCAGGGAGAGATGCAGACAGAGCCAGCTTGGCAGTATTATGGGCTTCTGGGGCAACCACTGTTTTTGGGCCCCTACGACAAGCGGTCACAGGAATGAAATGTAAATGGTCAATTAGCATGCTATCTTTCTTCTCGCTGGGCCACTGCACAAGTTCCCAGTGGGCCCGGAGTTGAGACCGCACTGGATGCAGCACATATGTTTCCTGGCAGATTTTACCTTGCAGAGTTTACAGATTGCTTTTTTTGTGACCCCTGTTCTTCTTCTTCTGTGTTTGCCCTTTAACCCTTTTGCTGCTATGGACGGGATAACACGGCTGCCCCGCAGACTGCTAAACACGAGATAACTCGACTGCCATTTTCTGTGCCCTCACTGCTAAGGACGAGATAGCTCGTCCTCGACTTTTTTTTATAGATTGCTAAGAACAGTAATTCTTGGGGGTGAAATAGCAATACACATTACCTTAATCTGATCAAACTGAACCGTTTACATACAATTAAAACCCTTATCACGTGCGTTTAGGTGTATTTAGATGCATTTCACGTTATACTGTTGTTTTGTTACCATAGAAGCATTGTCGGTGAACGGTAATTTTTTTGCCCTGAAATATATTTCTGGTTTTGCGTTAGTCTACATTAAAAAAAATAAAAAAAATAACAAGAACATTAGTTAATTAAAGAAGGATTAATGGAGTTTTTTTCAAGGAGTAATAGTAAGGATCACTTTGAAACGTGTGAGTTATATGAGCTGGGTTATCTTCGTGGCACACCAGCGGACGCGTGTACTTCTGGCTGTGAGCAAGACTGACCAGTGACCACATGACCTAGCTATCTACATCGACTGGATTTGAAATGGATCCCAAATAATCAAAATAAAGATATGGTCACATACTGACATGATGATTAACCCACTGACTATCAAGCCCATTAACCCTTGCATTTCCCCAGATACCACGTATTTTAGTGTTTACTAAAAATGCCATAGCTTCACAACTATTTGATATAATCTCACAATATTTTGTATTTTTGCACCAAACTGAATGAAGACAGATTTCAAGAAAAAAAAGTTTTTTATTTTGTTTTGCATCATCATCATGTGGCTGTAGATTGGTGCAAAAAAGGCAACCGGAAAATCATTGATCTGACAACAATAAAGACAAATAAAAATGTCTTATTTTCAAAAAATATTTAACAAAAATGTATAATATTTTGTATTTTTGCACAAAATTAAACCAAGAACACATTTAAAGAAAAAAACAATAAGGTTTACTCTGACATAGTCATCATTTATCTGACAACAATAAAGACTGATAGTGATGATTTTTTTTCAAAAATTTTCAACAAACATATATAATATTTTGTATTTTTGCACAAAATTGAACCGAGAACAATGTGAAGACAAAAAATGGGGTTTACTTTGTCTGACATAATCATCATCATCATGTGGCTGTAGATTGTTGCAAAAAAGGCAACTGAAAAATCCTTTGTCTGACAATAATTCAGACTCCCAAAAAATGTCACAGCTTCACAACTGTTCAATATCACTTATCCTATCTGATATTGTTTGCACAAAATTAAATAGATAACAAATATCAAGACAAATGTAGATTTACTGTTTTATATCATCATCATGTGGCTGTAGATATGGTGCTAAAAAGGCAACAGAAAAATATGTTATCTGACAGAAATATATAGAAAACGACCCTGTGACATGATGGTGGCAGCAAATGATGAGTGGAGAAATGGATATAGACTCTAGTAGTCTGAAATAGACAGCTTTTTCACAACACATGTGATGCAACAGTACAAGAAACCCTGTCACTTCGTTTGGGGTTGTGTGTTTCCAGTTCCAGCACTAATCTTTGTCTAAGCATAACGGTTTGTTTCTTTAGCAAACACAGCAATTATGTCTTTACTGAAGAAAATATCCAGTGGTTCATTTGTTCCTTCTGGCAGAAACAAACCAGAAGTGCCAGTTAGATGATGATGATTCTGAATCAAAAGCGGCAATGATATCTTCGTCATGTGCAGACTCAAGCACAAAATCTTTATAATCTGTGGGCTTTGACTGAATACTCTCACAAGAACTGTTAGCATCATAAACTGCAGCACTAGTGCTTTCAGCCGACAACACTGTCTTTGTCAGACGACTTCGAAGCATCATACTGTCGTTTTACAGTCGACGATGTTTTGAATGGCACTTCGTTAAATTTATTATAGTCATAGCCATCAAACTGTTCAGAAGTGTCTTCAAATTCACTTTTTGAAGCAGAATTTAAAAAATCGCATGCATCATTAGAAAAATTAGGAGAGATATATGGCCACCACGATGGTTCCGATAATTTGACGCCATGGTGAATTTTTCGTCAATGTCTCACCGTCGTGGACGCTAACTAAAAAAATTCATAAAATATTTACTTTAAGCACTTCGAAGTTATTTCCCTTAATTAACCATTCAGAAATGAATAAACTAGAGGTTTCAACTAAATCCATCATAAAAATCGCGATTTTAACATGACGGTGAGCATCCAAAGCTAAAATCGCAAGGAGTGTGGCGTTGGCAACAGGAAGTAAACATCGCCTCGTCGCATTACGTGCGACGCTGGTAGTCAGTGGGTTAATACTAATTTCAATCATATACTATACAACTGACATAAATGTGTTTGTCTATTAAAGTGTACAATACTGGTCTTTTTTCAGTTCATAGTTTCATGTGAATTTCTAGTGTAGTTGGTATCACGTCTGCCTTACAATCGAAAGGTCCCGCGTTCTACCCCTACATGCCTTTTTAAAAAATTAATTATTTTAAATGTAAATTTTAAATTTAAGCTCTTAGCATTTTCGGCTACAGATCACCGAAGTAATAATTAATTAAACATCCTGTCACGAGGGTTCAAGTGGATTTAGATGCTTTACACGCTGTCCTGTTCCTTTGTGAAGCGTGGTTGGTGTACTGTGCATTTGTTACCGTGCAATATTGTGTCTTTGGATAAGTCTACATTTCCTTCATATAAAATGGCAAGACAATTTGTTAAAGTTGATAAAGAACTGATGGAGTTTCTTTCGAGGAGTGATAGCGAAGATGACTTTGAAATTTGTAGTTCTGATAGTGAGCAGGACAATCTTACTGTGCCATCGACATCGACGGGACAAACCGGCGTGGCCGAGAAAAGGTTGTTTGCGTGTCCAACGTCCTCATCATCATCGGAATCAGAAGGTAGTGATGATGAAGTGCCATCAAAACGACATAAAATTGATCAGCTATCCTGGTCTTCCAACGACCTGCGACCCGATGTGCATACGTTTGATAACTCCAGCTCTGGTTGTCTTTTAGCTGCTGTGAATAAAAACAGCTCAGTGCTTGATTTTTTAAAACTTTTTTTCACTGAATCGCTGGTGACTTTCATCGCAGATGAATGTAACAGATTCAGCAAGTGTGTCATTGAAAAGGGACCTGCTACAGTAAGCTCTCGTCTTTGCAGATGGACAGATACAGATTTGGACGAATTATTTTGTTTTTTTGCTGTGTGTCTACTCATGTTGAGAACACCCATGTTTATTTGCTTACTAAAGTGTTTTGTGTTTGCTTTGTAAGTTTGTAGTGTTTTCTTTTTGTTAATGAGTTTTCATGGCGTAGAAATAGCGTGTCTGACTTGTCAGCGCCAAGTTCAACCACACGCCTTCAGAGTTGTTATTTTTGGTGTACAATTTTTACCCTGCGCCGCAAGTGCGTCTTCTGCTTTTGAAGGGAAAAACGGTATTCAGCACAGGAGGAAAGATTAGCTCTCGCCTGGCTTAGCACAGTGGTTACATTGGCTGGCGGAGGGCGTAACAGTGAAAGGGTTAAAGGATGGTAAGCAAATTAGGTTGTGGTTTACCTAGCATAAGAAATCTGCCAGCACATCCAATTTCAGGAAATCCTTATTTAGTGGCCTTCTAGGGCATGCTTAAGGGGTGGTGGGTCTATTCTTTTCCCCCCAAAATGAAGCCCCTGAACCTACATGATGATGACCCCTGTTCAATAAATCTGTTTTAAAAAGCTGCTGATATCATTCACAGAAAGTAATAATTTATTTCCAGTTGCTTCTGAATTGCATAAATGTGTGTAAGGAATGTTTCTTTATGATTAAATTGCCTTAATGGGGTTGATCATTGTCCATGATTTCTTGTTGCTCATTTCCTTTCAGAACAAGCATTGTCTATTGGATATTACTCCGTATGACGTGGATAAACTGAACTATGCACAGTACAACCCGATCGTCATTTTCCTCAAAGCTGAGTCCAAGCAGGCAGTTAAGGATGTTAGAGGACGCTGGAAATCCAGCATGAAGAGCCCTAGAAAGTTGTTAGAACAGAGTGATAAAATTGAAAAATCATATTCCCACCTGTTTACAGGTAAAATATTGTTGATTCTCTGCTTGCTGGGTTTGTTGATTAAATCTCTCTTATATTTCTTTTATATTTTCTTATTTTTCATATGTTATCCTTTTTTGTAACACATATCTGGACACATATTGGTATACTTAACTGCCACTGGAACTAGTTTAAGACCGATACACATAGTCCTCTTCACCACTGATACACAACCTTTTTCATCCTTTTGTGTTCTTATGATTCATACTTTAAGTAAAATGACTTTAAGTCAAATGAAAGCTTCAGTGTAGCATGTTTTAGAATGTTACAGAATGTGTCTTTGAGAGAAGTGAGTTTAAAAAAAAAAAAAAAAAAAAGTAAATATTGAATTCATGTTTTAGTGAATGATATTGTCATGTAATTGATAGTCTTTTAAGATAATGACAGTGACAAAATAACAGTACATATGTTAATATAGTCAGTGGTCAGACATGTGTTTGTTGTGCACATAGTTTTGTCAAAGATAATCAAAATATCCATGACTGAATAGCATACAAATGTTAAATAATTGTAATCTGACTGGTAAGTTTCCATGACAGACATTAATCATACTTGGGATACAGCAATAAATAGCCAGATTTTGAGTAATACATAAATCAGTCAATCAGGTGCCATTTTTACAATGTAGGTTGGCTGCAGTTGATTTTTTACGCTACTTGATTATTTTCACCTGAGCCTTTGCTTGAAATGTGTTTCTCTAGTGTCTCTTTGTAACTGGATAATTGCTGAAAATAAATATATTGTTGGCAGGCCAGCTGAAATATACAGGAACAGATTCCTGGTTTCCCAAACTAGCAGAGATGATTGAATCTCAGCAGCAGAGAAAAATCTGGATATCAGAGCAGCAAGTGAGTAATGAAATAAACATGCAGACTAAAGCCATGCTAGTTTCTCTGTGTTGGCATTAGTTTAGTGGATGGCCAGTAGTGTTGTTACCCTGGCTGGCAGTGTGTGGGAGATCTGGGCTTGTGTGTCTATTCTGATTTTGTCTTTATGCGCACAAATAGAACAATAAAGGTGTACTGACAACCAAACTAGAGGATGTAGTATGTAGTTAGAGATGAGCAAGAGGACCTCACAGAATGAACAGATAGGCGGGGTGTGAATACTTCCTGGAAGAATGTTGCATTATGACTCAGTATCGCAAATAATTGGATTCCATTTGCTAGCAACGTTGCCTGTAGAGGTGGTACAGCAGTATGGGAAAAGTGGAACATAGCTGACACATCCAGGACAAAGCACAGTGACAATGTAATACCATACAAAGCTGGTTGAACTTCATACAGCATTCCCTAACATTTGACATGGCAACACTTGTGCTTTACATCATGCAAGAGGTTCAGTAGCTAATACGATCACTAACATAGCTACAACCACACAAGTGTCGAACACCTAAGAATGAATAAATTGCTCTGAAAAATGTGACTTTTACCCCCAGCATCACATTAGTATGCACATATACACACATTAGTACACACTTATGCACACACATTAATTTGTGTGCTTACATTCCCCTATCAGCCAGTGATTCACACAGTCAGTATTGGAACTTCATAGATTATGTGTTTTAGATCTCTCCTTACATTACCCTATCAGCCATGATTTACGCATAGTCAGTACTGGAACTTCACAGGTTATGTATTTTAGAGCTCTTTTTACAGTCTCTAAATAACATAAAACTGACTAGAAAGCTAGACAAAGTTAATGGAAAAGACACGCACAAATACAGCTAAATGTTTCAACCAGTCTTTATCAACAGAGTACTAAATACAACTCAAACTGTAACTTTAAATATCAGCTCAGCAGACAAGACAGAGCTTCTAAAGAACTAGGGTCAACCTCATTCCCAAAAATACATAATTAGAGGGATTAGGAGGAATATATGGACATGAAGTTCAAAGTGAAGTGAGTAAAAGATGTTTGGAAAAAGTGAGAGAAAAATTAAATGAGTAATGAAAATAAAAAATTTAATAAAATGAAGGGTAATAGATGTGTCGACTATTAATCCTTCTAGGACTGAGAACACCAGAACTGTTTCTAAGAAGTAGCAGCTAGTTTGATAACCTGAGCAACATTTTGAAGCAGTAACTGACAGTGGTCAAAACTATAAAAATGGATTCAGACCGGCTTAAGAGCCTTATAACAAATATCTTGAAAATGTTCACTGAAACGATCTGCTAGCTTCCTATTGGTTTTCCCATTATGCCTTCTTACATTTGTGCGGATGATAGCCTAAATAAGTTTATGTGATTCATAAGTAAATGCTTCCATAATGTGGAAGCACACTTCAGGAAGCAGATCAAAAGGATTTGGATCATAAATGGACACAAGCTTTCTAGTAACATTTAATGTTATTTAGCACTTCTCGTCATTAGCTTGACAGCAGTCGCCCTCTATTTGCATTCTCCAAGCCTGTCAGCGAGTTGTATGTGCACAGTCAGTACAGTAACTTCACAACCTGCACCATGGCATGTTATCTTGGTGTCATATTTAGCACTTCTCGTCACTAGCTTGACAGCAGTCGCCCTCTATTTGCATTCTCCAAGCCTGTCAGCGAGTTGTATGTGCACAGTCAGTACAGTAACTTCACAACCTGCACCATGGCATGTTATCTTGGGGCATGCTACAGCACAGCACATACGAAATAGCTGAGATTGGTCTTGGCTGGTAAGGAACTTTCCACAGCTTTTGGGTCTTTCATTGTCAACAGATTCCAGCCCAGTGTCCAGGGAGAGATGAGTGCTAGAAAAACAGACATTTTACAGCAGAACACATCAATCATCTGTCATTGCCAGCCAGTATTCTGCTTTCTATTTAGATAATAAGTTGTATCTGTAATGTAAGACTATGAATGTCTCTATGCAGCCACTAGAAGATGTCAGTGAAGACTTCATGTTCCCACTGTCCTCACGGATGAGCTGTACTACTGGCACCAGCAGCCATGTTGACATAGCACAGCTTCAGAGTCAGCTGGATGTATCACCCATGGGCATGCAGCAGCAGCAGCAGCAGCAGACGGTCGGCAGGTACTTGTCGGAACCTTCTGTCAATGCCCTTGAGATTCCACCAGCAGGACCTCCTTCCCTTTCCTCATTGGCACACAAGAACCACAGGGCATGTATTCTTTTTACACAGTTATTTACATCTCTTCTTAATTCTTCTTACACAGTTATTTACATCTCTTCTTAATTCTTCTCTGCCTACATACAAGTCGATAATATGAAAATCAAATGAATGGAAACATATAAGTACTTGGGTGCAAACTTTAACTGCTCCAACATGCTGAGAGAAGAAACACAATCTAGAATACAATCTGGAAATAAAGTATACTATGCCTTTCAACATCTGCTAAAGTCAAAGTGTCTGTCTCGCAACACCAAGATCAAAATATATAAAAAGTTGATAAGACCAGTCATTTTAAATGGCTGTGAAACTTGGAGCACAACTAAAAGAGATAAAGCCTTATTACAGGTTTTTGAAAACAGAGTCTTTCGACAAATCTTTAGACCCATCAAAGATGCAAACAGCTGTGAATGGATAGTGAAAAGAAACAATGAAATTCATAATATGTTTAGATCACCATTGATCACTGGCATCATGAGAGCTAATAGACTGGAATGGTTGAGGCATATTGAAAGAATGACTGATGACAGAGAAGTAAAATCTCTATACACGAGGGAGATGAATGGTCGTAGACCGCGAGGCAGACAAAGAAGACGATGGAGAGATAATATTTAATCAGACCTGCAAACACTTGGTGTCATAAACTGGAAATAGAAGGCCAACCAGAGAGATGAATGGAGGCGGGTGATATTTGCATCTATGAACCTCAAGGGCTTGGAATGTTGAAGAAGAAGAGTCACTAACTTGTAAGTCACAGAACCACACACCAGCTACAGATAACTGGACAAGTGACTATTTTAGACCCAAGACGCAACATTGGGCATTCTCAAGTGGTAGCCATCACAAATTGCCTCTTCTGACTATTCCCATGAGATGTTGACTATAATACTTTCTATCCTATTAGCATCAGAAACTTGTCATTATCCACCAGCCTAGTCCATTCAACATTCATGTTTTCAGTTCTGTCCGTGTTTTTTTTAAAGGTGCACTACTTGCCAGCTGCTCCACTCATTCATCACTTGTCACGCTGGCATGCTCAGGTGTGTAAATGGATAATAATGGCTAGTGTATCTTTGTAGATTAAACTGTTAGGCCAACTTTCTCTGGCTGTTACATTAAAGTCTCAGAGAGTAAACCATTGTTTTATTATTTTCAGAAAGCATCCGCTGATTCAAGGAACTCTGTTGGTGATGCCAGCCATCGTTTGACACCTAGACACAGTAAGAGACATGTACTTGTGGGTTTCTTCTTCTTGATCGCGTTCACTGTTCGCTATAAACTCTGGCGGAAAACTCTGGTTGTTCATCCACTTCTGCACTGCAGTCTTCTTCTAGAACCTGAATGTTGAGTGTGTATCCATTTTACAGATCTGACTCATTTGTATGCAGTCGGCTGGTTCCTTGCCTCTCAGGCAGATGCACTCTGACTTTAAAGGAAGCTCCCAATTAGTCGACTCTTAGACATGCTTTTGGGAAGGCAGTGAAGTTATTCTTGTTTCTAAAGCCATAAATCTTGTTGGCATGCATGAAGTATGCTCAGAGGCTGTATTGTTTTTAAACAGACAGTAATTCTGTAAAGCTCAAGAACATGCTATATTCTATGCATTTAACCACATTTCCGAATATGTCTAATAGTCAACACATGAAATTTGAACACAAAGAACAGGAAATACCATTCAAAAATGCTTGATTGCTTCATCCTACTGGCCAATGGTAAATGTAATACCTCCATAGGTCACATGCTGATTGAGTGGCTTGGTAGTAACCAGTTAAAAAGCGATGTGTTTCTTGGGACTCTAAGAGTTAACATTCACATTTCTATGGCAGTGAAACTAGCTTTGCATTTATTATGGTCTGTATATCTGTAAGTTTAAAATACGTTTTGATTTGAGTAATTTGCCAAATGATTACAGCATTGAGGTTGGAAACAAATTTGAGGCGCTAATGGCAGTGCAGGAGGATATGACACCTGATGAGTTGTCTGATGAAACACCCTATTCCGGAACTCCGCTACGCAGATGACACAGTCCTCCTTTCGAACAACGTAAAAGGAATAGAAAATTTAAAATTGTCTGTCCAAAAGCACAGTGAAGATCAAAATCTCTTCTTGAATTTAAAGAAAATGAAAATAATGTCCACAAATAAAACTGGATGTCACCCAAAAATAACAATAAATGATGAAGAAATTGAAAATGTCACAAATCTTTAATATCTAGGCTCTATAATAAACAGCAATGGAGACTGTTCGACAGAAATTAAAAGGAGGATGGCCATAGCAATGCAAAGATTGAACAGCCTTAAAAGTCTATGGTTAAGCACCAGCAAGGAGATAAAAATTAGAATTTTGAGAGCATGCATCTTCCCTGTGGCTACATATGGATGTGAGTCGTGGACTATCTCTCAGTCCTCAAGAAAGAGAATAGGGGCTTTTGAGCTGAAATACTATAGAAAGATTCTCAGAATATCTTGGACAAAGAAGAGGGGAAATATTGACATCTTAAAAGATCTGAACATCAAGGAAGATTGGCTAACAAACAGCATCCTTTCTCGGAAGCTGAAATATTTAGGTCATATCAAGCGCCATGACGGATTGGAAAAAATTATAGCAGAAGGCATGGTACCAGGAAGGAGGGGCAGGGGCCGACCGACATGAAGATGGGCACAGGATATAAGTAACTCCTTGAGTATGAATGTGCATAAGGCGGGAGAGCTTCCGAGAGACCGAGTTTCTTTCAGGCAGACCGTGATGAGAGCGACTTTCTGCAAAGGACCTGCTACATGATGATGATATACATATACAAAATACATGTTGTATTTTATTTCATCCATATTCACCTAACCGCAGATGGTTAGATTGATTTTAAATGAGTCAAATCTTTTTTGTACTATTTTTAACAATATCAGGCAGTTTTAAAACATAATTATAAACAATCACAGATTATAAGATGCACCCAGAAGATCGGTATTACCCTTCCTTTTATGGGGATGGCTTGACCCCATACCTCCAGGACAGTGGCGCACACACTGACCGCTATGCACAATTGACCACGGTAAAGGAACTGAAAAGCCCAGATAAGACAGGTGAGGCTCATGAGTTGAACCAGTTAGACAGCAGCTGTAGAAGTTTGAATGTCAGTGAAAGCAGCTGTGAATGAAACATGAAAAAGCAGAAGGGAATGAAACATTACGAAGTAGACCTGAATGCTACATAAGGAAGTAAATGTGAATGAAACGTGAAGAAGTGGGCATGAATGAAACATTATGAAGTAGACCTGAATGAATCATAAGGAAGTAGACACCAGTAAATTTATATAGGTTTCACCACTTCACTGATCAGAAAACGGTGAACAGACTGTTGCTCCTCTTTGGTGCATGAAAAAAGTGGGATGGCTGTCTTTAAACTGTCATTATGATATCACCATCTCAGGCTTCACCGTGATACAAGGTGTTTAAGTCTCTTGACATTTTCAACAACAATATTGGCAGGTTACAAAACTGTTTGATTATTACAATTGCTGGCACATTTTTGAAGATTTTCATGAAAATCCCCTTGTACTTTTTACTTTGTATGAACGATCTATATCAGCCAATGTATTATTCCACTGACTGAGTTTCACCACTCAACCCACATTGTAGAGCCAGAAGTGACCCAGTGAAAGAGATCCTAGGAGTTGAGACCATCCCAGAGGTTGCAGCTGTCCCTCTTCCATTCCCGGGGTGCTGCTTCCCTACTGATGCTTGATACTGCTTGAGAAGAAATGTACCTAAATACTTAGAGACACCTGGCAAAATTGAGGAGAAAGAAGCAAATGAAAAAAAAAAAGGGTTGGGGGAGGGGGGTGGGGCATGGGCTGATCTAAGAGACTAGTAATTGTGTGAACCATGACCAAGCATCCCTAATGGCATGGCACCATGTTATGATGAATCTTTATTTTCCTTATTGTCACTGATAACCCAAAGTTTGTCTATTATAACTTTAAAAAAAATGTATTCTGTAAATTGACAATTTGTAGTGCTCTTGTATGTAAGATGACTCTATTAACTGTTAAACAAAGATCTGTGAACAGTGTACCCAGAAGAGTGATCTTGCTACAGTGAAAGTGCCATCATGTTAAATAAATAGTGCAGACACTTTAATGCATTAAATTGTAATAATTTAGAACATGTTTATGTAGGTTTGTAAAGTTAGCTAAATTCAAAAATTTCAAACATGTATTGCTAGATAGCATAAAATGCTGTTTTGCAAACAGACAGGTCTAGAAGTTATTAGAGAAAGAAAAAAGAGATACATTTAGCATATTTTAAAACGTCACAGACAGAGAATCACAAAACGTGTACTGAAATTTGAAACAAATGAATCAAGGAAGGGAAGACCAACTAGGGAAACTTTAGTAAAACACTGTAAAGAGAAGCCAGAGGTGCCTGCCCAGATCCTATAAATGATAAAATGGCATAGGACAGACTTGAATGGAAGAATTGATTGCAAGCCCTATTTGACTTGTAGACAGCACAGCTTGATAATCAATGGATGCAAAGTCCAGTGTACACTGTTTCTTGATTGATCGTCAGTCTCAATCTGCTCCTGTGACAGGCAGAGAGTTGGACTGTGGCAGTACGTCTGTCAAAAGGTAATGCAGGTGGTCTAAGATGAGCAGTTAAGAAGGAGACCTCATGTTGAGCAGAAGGGCAAATGTTCATGTGATTTTTATTTTTAGTGGGAATGCAGACTGTGAAAGCATGCTCTAATGATCTTTTTGACTGTAAGTGTTTAAGACACATAAGTTGGCGTATTTTTGAGAAATACTAGTACCTTTTAAATAATGATAAACTTTGACATTGGCAGATAAACTGCGAGATATTTCTCTTGAGTCTGCACAAAAGAAACCAGAGGAAGTTGATCAGATTTCACGGGAGATCCAGGAGAAACCAGAGACTATGATTGAAACAGGCACGCAGACGCAGGAAGCTCAAGGACAAAGTGATGAACAACAGGTATGCATGTTTATTTCTAACATTAGATTCTACTGTTTGGTTCTTGAAGATTCATCTAACAGAGTAACATTTCTGTTGCCTAACTTATATACAAAACTGAGGGGAAAGTTCAGTCTATGTGGCAAACAGATGTTCAAGTTTTTAAGTGGGGCTTAAAAACAAAAACATGTTTTGTTATAATGGCCTCTATCCTTCATATCAGACTATTGTTTCTTGATCTAATTTAACATTTCTTGGTTTACCTTTCAATATATTTATATGAATGTGCATTCTATGAAAGCTGTAACAGTCTGCATTTCTTAACAGTTTTGTAATGTTACAGAATCTATCTGTTTTCTGTGAAAGGATATAGTTAATCACATTTCTGATCTGTTTATCTGGACCTTTCCACTTTAACAATCTTTCTATTTCTGAGCAAATACTCAAGTCAGAACTCACCCGTAATGAAAACGAATGGCTGTAATGAAAATACACAGATATAGCCATGGGAGCAAAATTATTTCAATGTAAAAAAAAAAAGTTGATGTTTCATACAACCTTTGTTAAGTTCTCACTCACTGTTTTATCTGAATAAACATCATTGTCAGTTATATATCACAAATACTAAAAGTGTGGGGTCACCTAAACAACAAAATCTAATTCTCAGCATGTCATTAACTGTGTAATGTCATTAATTTTCTATATACAGACAGACAGACAGTCACACTAGCGCATGTGAGCACATAAATGCGCACATTCACATATGTGTGCACACACGAGAGTAATTACTGGCATGTCATAATTATCAAGATAGCTCCACACTGTTATTACTAGTAGTATCAGATTGTAGATAAATTTGTAAAAACATAATTATTTAATCTCTAGCTTCCAGTGAATAATGTGAGAGACTATTCGTCTCTTTTTAGTGTATTGTTTGTGCGATATGTTACCAATAGAAACCCATTTTATAAAATAATTGTTATGTTCTTTTAATTTTTTAATGTGGTTTTATTAAGCATGCCATTACTTCTTTTCTATCTCATCAGTGTTCAAATATTTATTTTGAAAAAAGTATTTACAAGAAAGAAATATCCTGGCATGATCCTCTTGATGTGTCTTATGAGCACAAATATTCCAGTGTAAAAAGGCATACTAGGTTGTACTTATATTATTTTTTTTTCATATTCAAAACGGCAGGGTGATTGTACTTGTGCTATTTTGTCATTGATTTTGAAGGATAATGTTTTAATTTTCTGTTTGAGCTTTTCTTCTTGTAAAATTGACAGGGCTATCCTGATAATCTGTCAACTATCAGTGATTCCTACAGCAAGTATGTCAGCAGCCCACAGAACAAACATGATGACACAAAACTGCAAGAGAAGTTTGGGCTTTTACAAAATTCAAGAGAACAAAGCACAGGTCCTGAAACAAGTCGATTGAACTGGAGCAAAGCCCCCATAGCTGCCAGCAATAGTCTGGAGAGGGCCAGATTTTTTAATCATTCTAATAGATACAGGTAGGAGAAAATCAGGGGGACAAATTGGCCATTGTTTAATGGACAGTTTAGTAAAAATCAAGGACCTTCTGCTGCTATTGATGTATTTTACAATATTATTTGTAGACAAAGTGATACTTGGCAGTTTTGGGGGGTGGGTGTACATCGTAATGGCTGCCTTTACTTCCCAGGATATTTACTGGCACCTGTTTTAGGTTAAGTTGACATGAGCCAGGTCATTTATAAAATGAAATCTGCCCAAATCTGGGTAGACTTAAATCAAGATATATTTCCACTTTCTGTGTTATCATGGCAAATGATTTTACTTTGCCTTGGACTTTTTTCCTTTTTTTTAAATGCCTGCTTTGTTGAGAGTTTTATTCAAACTGCAAGGGAAGTAGCATGTAGTATTGGGTGATTACTGCAGACAATCTTCATCTGAGGGGGCACCATGGGGTTGTCTTCTCCACAGCTTCTTTGTCTTATGTTGTGTGGAAGGCTGCATTGCATTCTCCTATGGTGGCGGCATCACCCTGGTCGCCATTATATTGCAGAACATATTTCCAAGTTATAACCAGTGTAGCCAAGGGCACATTTGAAATATCCTGACTTCCCTAATCAGTTATAAACAGTCCACTCAAGGGCACATTTGAAACATCCTGTCTGCCCTAATCAGTTATAAACAGTCCAACCAAGGGCAAAATTGAAATATCCTGACCGCTGTACTAATCAGTTATAAACAGTCCACCCAAGGGCACATTTGAAACATCCTGACTGCCCTAATCAGTTATAAACAGCCCACCAAAGGGCACATTTGAAACATCCTGACTGCCCTGATCAGTTATAAACAGCCCACCAAAGGGCACATCTGAAACATCCTGACTGCCCACAAACATACACTCACACACAAACCCACACCACCAATAAACAAGGAGAGGATCGCGAGGAAGTCCTGCTATCTGCCGTGCTGGTATTATTGAACAAACTCCACCAGCCAGTTCTGGGATTGTAGTTGAATTGCCCTTGTTTGCCAGTGAGTACACTAGGGTACAGACAGCAGTCATCTACCTTGTCTTTGTCGTGATAAACCAAAATTGCAGTCACAGAGACAAAAATTATTGCCTGCATTCCAGTATAATGACACAGAACAAGTTGTCATCAGAAGGTTGGCTACTGTAAATTAAGTGTCCAGAGGGAAGCATGTCATAAAGACACACACACAGGCATGCATGCACATGCACATACACAGATAAAGAGACAGAAGAAACAGGAAGACACACACACACAGAGACAGACAGGCACACAAAGAGACACACAGCCACAAACAGATTCACACACAGTCAGATAAACAGAAAGAGACAGATGAACATAGATAGAAACATGTTCAGAGAGAGACAGACCAGTACAGAGGAAACTGACACACAGAAACAGGCACATGCACACACAGATGTACACGCGCATAAACAAATTTGACCTGATTGAGTTGGACAGACTTGAGGACATGAGCTTTATTGATATGGAACAAAAAAAAGCAATAGGTAGTCTTTGCCTTATGGATGGGGTGAACTAGAGCAGTCACCTGATCCATGGCTATGTGAGATGGCCAAACATGACCACCTATGTTTATTGTCTCGGCAGAGGATTATCTATGTATATGTGTGTCTATAAATGTATGCGTCTTTGCAAGCACAACTGTAGCATCTGTGCGTGTTTGTTTTTCCACATTCAAGCAAGACCTAATGCTAGTATTTAGAATCTTTTGTTTTACATACAGAGGGCAAGCTGATGATGAGGTAGACAAGCAGACACCACCTACTGCTGCCCAGCAGACAGATCAGGACCCCTCTCTTCCATCAAAGTCCTTTACACTGAAATATAGGACAGTGGAGCCCAGTGAGCTGAAGATACACAACCTTGAAAGTGCTAACAGGTACTGCCAGCTTGTCCCACATGTTGCTGTTGCGGCTGTAGCAGGTGGTAGTGTAATCTGTTATGTAGACAAAATGTCCCTGGTTATGAAAAGACTCTGAGGGTGGCTTCAGGCAGGCATTCCTCTGACTGATTATATTGGAGAGGAAGAGACAAAGAGCAACAAAAAAAAATGGGGGGGGGAGGGGGGAGGGGTTGGGAAGCATCAAGAGTGTTGATTCCAGACATATGGGAACTTTTGTTTTGGAAATTCCTCGTGTTGGTTCCAGACCTTTAGTGGAACCGTCTGTGGACTTTCCAGACCCCAGTGTGGGGGAAAAAATCATGTTAATAAAACAGACCCAAAAGTTGCCTCCCTAACAAGCATGTGCTAAGAAGTCAAATCAAGCAGAAAATTGGGCAAATTTTACAACAGATTTCATAGTTAGAGTGCAGGATTAGAAAACATGCCTGAGTTCTCGTCAAGGAAGTTGGAAACAGACAGAAAGATAGAGAGCATGCTCAGAGGACTTCTCAGAAGATTGTTGGGGTTCACATGGGAAGATGTTCTTCCTTGAGGTTCATTGCTGCAGATATCACCCACCTCCACTCATCTCTCTAGTTGGCCTTCTGTTTCCAGTTGGTGACATCAAGTGTTTGCAGGTCTGTCTGGACGTTATCTCTCCATCGTCTTCTTGGTCACTCTCGTGGTCTACGACCATTCATCTCCCTGGTGTATACAGTTTTTACTTTTTGCCATCTGTCATTCTTTCAAAATGGATTCAGTCTATTGGCTCTCATGACCAGTTTTCTTTTGTTGTTTCTCACTCTCCATTCACAGCTGTTTGCATCTTTGATGGGTCCAAAGATTTGATAAGACTTGTTTTCAAAAACCTGTTATAAGGCTTCAAAGAAAGAGCCATTAACATTTTATATATTTGATCTAGGCATAGACAATGGCTATGGCCAGATAGTATAGTCACTGCTCAGGAGGAAAGGACCTTCTAGTAACAATCATGAAAGAAATCATAAACACAGAAGAAATCCGTCAGATAACAATGAACAATCTTAATCCTGAAAAATCATTTAGACTTTGCAAGGAGAACATCTGCAACAAAAAAACAGATAAGATTGCAGAAGTAGCAATGCCCAACTCAACAGGTAATTTTTAGGCTAAAGTCGTGATATAGACAGACAGGACTAAGTTAGAGAATCAGTATGTCGATAAAACAAAACTGCTGGAGATAAACCCCAAAAAACCAACAGTAAATAGACCTATAGTAATCAGACTAAAGGCCGTACATAATGTATGGGTTATGCACTGAAAACAGTAACTTGACTTCATACTGCTTACACTGAAAAAAATTAATCAGAATGATATAATGCTAATAATGGGAATTTTTGATCTCCTAGTACAGGCAGAGATGAAAAGTGAGAACCGTTTAGGAAAATTTGGTTGAAAGAAAATGACACAAGCAGAAATATTTGATTACAATAGCTAACACACTTTATAAACAGTCACCCTAGAAGGCAACATGGACATCCCCTGGTTTACAACAGATAGATTACATAATACAAAGAAGATGAGATCTGGAGATCAGATTGCGATACAGATCTACAGCACTAAAACTAAAGCTCCTGAGGATTTCGATACTCAAAAATAACCAGATGCATTAGAAGAAGAACCGTTTTTGAGGTTCTCAAGAGGAAATTCAACCTGATGAACTGGATCGTACAAGCTGGGGAGATAACACATCAGCTAAAGTTGGAAAACCATGATCAGTTAGAACTAATAAACACAACGAGAGAAGAGGAGAAACCATGCTCATTGAAGAGAATAAGACTTACTAAAAATCAGTAAGATTGCTTGGGGTTCAAAAATGGGATTAGAAATGAAGTTATTGACAAGAAATCAACCTCAGTTAAATATTATTTGCAGGTGGGAGAATACTTTTCCAGGAAAATAGACAAATTGGAAGATGCAGCAGCGGAATGTATGATATATCACCCCTGAAAATGGTAAATCAATGGATGTGAACTCCTAGAAGGCTCATCTCTCTAAAGAGAACTATCTTTAATAATAAAAAAGGAGACTGAGATCTGTGCAAAATACCAGTTGGATTAAAGACATAAAAATCCAAGTGTTTTAAATGGAAGAGGAACAAAGATCATATATTCAACATGCATAGGTCTGTCTGGACTGAAATTATGTAATATCGAACTATTGATCAGTCATGCATGAAAATTCTACAGAGAGACAAAATGGAAGAAGAGATTAATGTAGCAGGCTGATTTCTCCATCATCTTCTTGGTCTCCCTCAGACTGGTTTGGCTAAGCGGAGTCCATGTTGTGTCATTGTTCTGTACCCGAAAATATAATGAGAAATGTAAGAGATGACAAGGAACATTTTGCCCTAACATTGGTCTTGAAATTCATGCTGATGATACAGTTCTATCAACATCACAAAATGGTTTATTATTAACCTCACTCCAAAGAAATAGTGGGCAATCCATTTCTTAACACAGTCAAAACAAAGATAATGGCTCCATCATGATATATGTTAATGAGGAAAGATTGGAAGTGGTGGAAAATTTCGAATATCTTGGGTCACTGTTACCAACAATGGTGACACACAAGAAATTTAAAACGGCGACTATCAATTTCTTCAAAGACTAAAACAACTGAATAAATTATGCTTTACTCAGATTTTTAAGAGCATGCTCCCCATTGCACATACGCCTGCCTGTTTAAACAAGCGGAACAGCGCATAAATGCTTTGAATGTTACAGACAGGTTCTAAGAATATCTTGGGTAAAGATGCATCCATACTTCAAGAGCTGAATATTGAAGAGGGTTGGCTAGTAAAGACAATAAAACAAAGAAATTGAAATATTTTGGTCAAAAACGTCATGGAGGTCTAGAGAGAACAATAATGGAGGGTATATGCCTGGGAAGAGAGGAAGAGGAAGGCCAAGGAGAAGATGGGTGCAGGATGTGGCAGTGATCTCCAGATGCTGTATCAGACGCAAGGACATCTTGCTCATGATAGGAAGGTTTTCCGGAGGGTTGTTATGGCACCGAGGTTCCGCGAGGGACATGCTACTGAATGAATGAATGAATATTTGATCTTAATGTTGCAAGACAGACACTTTTACTTTAAGCAGATGTTGTAGGGCATAGTATACTTTATTTCAAGATTGTATTCTAGATTGTATTTATTCTCTCAGCATGTTAGAGCAGTGGAAGTTTATACCCAAATACTCATATGTTTCCGTTTGTTTGATTTGCCACAGAGGTGTAAATTCAGCAATTAATTCAAGATAATGTTCGCTCAGAGGATTTGATCATTTACACAGACAGTTCAGTGTCAAGAGGCAAAAGAAGTGCTTGGGGCTTCTTAGCAAAAGTTAATGGTCGACGTTTGGTGCAAGAGAGCCTAGCATATGATACCACAACATCCAGCTTAAGAATGGAGGTGGAGGCGGTCACTGCAGCTTTCCGCTGGCTAGAGAACACGACACACACACACACACATCGTGATTGTAACTGATTCAGAAAGCATGCTTAGGAAGATCAGAACAGGTATGCCTTGTGCAGAGTGGCATGCCTCGCTGCGGAGGACACGGGTTAGGAGTATTGTCTGGATTTTTTCACCGGGGCACGCCGGTGTGTTGGGGAATGAACAGGCGGACAGACTGTCTGGCTCTGCACAACTTGGTGGAATACTGATACATGATAAGGCAGACGTGGTTAGTGCCTTATGGGAGAGCGTGTACAGTTCAGAGGAGCAGATGGATCACCACAGTCTGGTGAGATTGATGCAGGGGGGAGTGACGAGAGGTTCTGGCAGATGATCGAGGCTCAGAGGAAAGGCAAGACGGACGTTTAATCAGAATGTTACTGGCACAATTAGTATCTGAACTCTTCGCTGGCTGCTGAAGATGGGGACAGAGTGCTTATGGGAATGCCCCGAATGCTGTGATGTTGGTTCTTGAATCAAATCAAATCAAAATCAATGTTTGTTTGAGTTTATATCCTTTCCCTGTCTAGTTATTGTCATGTATTCTGTCTTATCTTGATTGATAACTAGTTCAATTTTCTGAGCTGATTCTTTTCAGAGAGTCAGTTTTAACAGTCTCTAGTTCATTTTCTCCAGTGATATCAATGTCATCTGCATATCCAAGTATTCTTGTAAATTATCCTATCGTACACTCTTGTTTCAATTTCCTTATAATTTTCTCCAGGGCCAAGTTGAAAAAAAGTGGGGACAGAGCATTTCCTTTCTGACTTTCTGCCTTTATATACTACCATATTACTAGTGTCTTCCATGCATAGTTAGGACAGGTAATTAACTTCTTTGGTATTCCAAAGTCCTATGTAGCATTCTATAAACTGTTTCTTTGTACACTGTCATACACTTTTTAAATTTATAAAAACATTATGTACATCTCTTCACATGGGAAGATAAAATCAGCAATTTTATATAACAAACTTAAAAGCTGTAAATTTAGAAATAAAGAAAATGCAGATAGAGGTGGATTGATCACATCTGCAGAATGAAGATAGAAAGACGGCCAAGACAGGCAATGCAGTGGTCACCACAAGGACAGGGAGGAAGAGGCAGGCCCAGATACAGTTGCAGGCAAACCTTTGAGGTTGAACTCATGACATTTCGAAAGCCGAAACTGGAGATAGAGTTGATGGCTAAGGGTCTAATTGAGTGGCAAAAGTTTGTCTCTGCTTTATGTGCCTCTGGGTGTGATGAGGATTGATTGATTGATTGATAGCAGAATCAATATGCATGCAGAATTCATGTACTGCAACAAGACTAAAGTCCAGAAATGGACGAACAGCCAAAACTTTCCATCAGAGTTTACAACTAGTGAACACTAAAAAGAAGAAAACTGATTATATCCTGAGTGTATGATTTCACCTAAGACATGTCTGATGGGAACAAGTATATGATACAATCAGTTACAGTAGACATTAGGCTAGAAAAGGTTCATCAGTGAGCTAGAGAGGAATAAGGAGACAAGCAAAACATATCATTAAACAGTAACCAGTAAATGCACAGTGAGTTGCTTGGCACTACAGGAGTTAATGGACAGCAGGTCTGTTGGGTGGTCCCATTACATGTTGACTGTATTTGTTTGGGTGGAAGACAAGATAGTTAGTCTTGTCCCAGAATTAGCTCTCATTTTGAGACAGGGAGGACTGGTTAAACAGGCCTCTTCCATTTCCATGAAAATTTTACGTTCAGTAGTTTGCCATTGCTTCCTGAACTGTCAGCTCTTGGTACCACTGTTAAAACCAGCGCAAGGCAAATATTCTGCAGCTGGTATCGAGCCAGTCATTACAAAGCGTGTTAGCAATGCCTAAGCCACAGACGCCAACTCTGGTTACAGTGTGTTAATTATCACCCAAAGAGTATAATAAATAAATAACAGTAGTGCTTGATTATTATTGTGTTCACCTTTAAAAGGCTGGTTGGTGCCTTATGTTGTTGTTTACAGCTATGATGCAGTATCTATGTATTAAAAATTTTTTTTTTAATCTGTGCATTTAAGGCCAATGCATATGATTTTAGAAAACTCCTAATTATTCACCTGTTAAATCATGCTTGTTTGAAGCTGATTTCCACCCCCCCCCCCCCCCCCCCCCCCCCCACCAAAATGGGGCCCCAGATCCCACACAAGGCAAATACCAGTTTTGTAACACAGACAGTATGTAGGTGTTTACGCACACACACCCACATTCAGAAAACAACTCAAACTACTGGACATAAACTTGTCTAGAAAAGCCACAACAGCTAAAAAAAATACTACGGTTGGTTCTACTAAGCCCTGTAAAGGATACACAATTAACTAACACACCCACATACATGCACAGGTGTAAACGTGCGCGCGCACACACACACACACACACAGAGTCTTGTGGGGAAGTGATGCAGCAAGTCAGTGCTTGTTTTGTGTGGCCAGCATGTTGTGTGTGATATTGTTATATCAGTGTTTCCCCGGTGTTTCTTGTTGCAGGATGTTAACCATTACAGAATCAAGTGGCTTCGTGACAACCAGGACCACTCAGTTGTCATACCCCCCTCGATTGGCTACAGAGAAGTCATGTGATCACATATTGCAGCATCAGAGAAGAAACAACACAAAGACTGGTAGAGATTTCAACAACACAGGGGACTTCCCTTCTCAGCAGAAATCAGCACGTACAGCTTCACTGGGTCATCAGCAGCAGCTGGTGGCTGGTCAGAACCTAGGTCATGTCCATCAGTGGCCTCATGCTCTGAGCCTGGACCACCGTCCGCCAGGTCACAGCTTGCCGGACTCTAAAGCATATACAAATGAAGTTTACATGAATCCGCGGGAAATCCAGAAGGCAAGACAAGCAAAGCTCCAGGAAGGAGTCGCACTGGGAGTGGCAGGTCAAAGAGCAAGGAGTGTACGAGAATATGTGCTTGCTCAGGAAAGAACAGTTTCTAACCTAAAGTGAGAATTCATTAATTATTGCTTCTGCTTACTACAGTTAAGGCTCTTAGTACCCCTCACACACACACACGCACGCACAAAATTGTGCAGGCACACACACACAAAATTGTGCAGGCACACACACACACACACACACACACACACACACACACACAGGGTGAGTCATAAATATGGCTACATGTTTGATTGCATGTGTAATCACTTGGCAGTATTATCACTGTAGAAATGAGAACATTGGAAAAGCAATTCCATTACCAGTACACAAAATACAATACAGTCACTTCATTACCAGATCAGCATGGGAAACACTGTGGAAGGTCCCACCTTGTTTTCTTAAACATGCACACTAAAATAACCTGCAGCTGTATTTCTGACCCATGCTGTATGTTTATGTTTGTGTGTGCCCTTGCGTGTGTGTGTGCATGCATGCGCTCACACACACCGAAAATTAAAGGAATATATTTTTAGCAAGCATTTTAAAGAATTTCCGATAAAATCAGGTTTATACCCATGATTGTGATGATTCAGCTGTATATTTTGTGTATGTTTTGGTTTGTTTGTTTATTGACTGCACTTCACTTCCAGGTGCTGGACTGATCTGATATTGTGGTATTTTTTAATTTGTGTAACCTGGATTTGTACAGTGATTTGAGCTATGTTGCAGCACCTTTAGTACTTGAAGTGCAGCATATAGTATATGAATAAATCAATGTTACATTCATTCTAGCAGTGATATTTCATCATTGCACTGTCACCATTACATTGTAGCAGTGGTACTTAATCATAAGAACACCACAGTTACATTCTAGCGATGGTATCTCATCATCACAGTAACACCATTACATTGTAGTGGTGGTGTCTCATCATCACAGTATCACTATTACACTATTACTTGTAGTGGTGATATTTCATCATCACAGTACCGTCATTGCATTGAAGCAGTGAAATTTCATCATCAAAGTACCCTCATTACATTGTAGTGGTGGTATATTCATCATCGCAGTATCGCCAGTACACCATTACATTGTAGTGGTGATTTTTTTAATTAATGCATTGTAGCAGTGGTGTCTCCTGACCTCAGTACCGCCATCACATTGATATTTCATCATCACAGTGTCTAGGTTACATTGTAGCAGTGGTATCTCATCATCACAGTACCACCATTACATTGTAGTGGTGGTCTCAGCATGACAGTTATAACCCTTATGCCATTACATTATAGTGGTGATATTTCAACATTGCATTGTAGCAGTGGTGCCTTATGATCACAGTACTGCCATTACATTGTAATGATAATATTTCACTATCACAGTAACACCATTACATTGTAGTGGTGATATCTCTTCATCACAGTATTACCATTACACCATTACATTGTAGATTACTTTGAAGTGGTGATATTTCATCATCACTGTACCGCCATTAGATTGCAGCAGTGGTGTCTTATGATTCCAGTATCACCATTGCATTGTAGCAGTGGTATTTCATCATCACAGTACCACCATTAAATTGTAGTGGTGGTCTCATCATCACAGTTTCACCATTACTTGTAGCTGTGATATTTCATCGTCACAGTATCACCATTAAACTATTACTGGGAGCTGTGATATTTCATCATCACAGTACCACTATTGCATTGTAGCAGTGGTATCTCATGATCACTGTACCACCATTAAATTGTAGTGGTGGTCTCATCATCACAGTTTTACCATTACACCATTACATTGTAGTGGTGTTATTTCATCTCTATATTGTAGAAGCAGTATCTAATGATCACAGTTTCACCATTGCATTGTAGCAGTGGTGTCTCATGATCACAGTTCTGCCATTACATTGAAATGGTGATATTTCCTCATCACAGTATCACCATTACATTGTAGTGGTGATATCTCACCATCACAGTATCACCATTACAATATAGCGGTGATATGTCTTGATCTAATCACCAAAAACAATGTAGCTGTGATATCTCATGATCAGACTTCTGTATTTTGTTGTTGTGTTACTGCACAAGTCTTGTCAAAGATTTTATGTTTAATATTTTATGCTTTGATATGCGCAGGATCCTGTTTTCAATATAAGCTTTATAGGTACTAGAAACTAGATGTTGTTTTTCCTGTGTGATCACTAAAAAATTCAATTTTATCCTATTATTATATCGTTTAAACTCTTTTGTGTCTCAAAGTGTTTTGATTTAAACGCCTTGTTTTCAGCGTTTATTACTATAGGCAGCAGATACTTAGGAAAGGGATATCTGCCTGGGGCTAAACAAGTTAATATCATCAACGCTCTTCCAAAGCCACTGTGCAGTTTTGGCAATTGTCACCTGAATGCATTTTCAAGGCTATTGTTTGCCAATTTGCAATATACCAAAGACAAAAAAGTAAATTGCTACTGTGAAAGGTCAAAATGAAGTATTACATTTCATGCAGCTTCACCATTTTCATTTGATTTTCACAGAGATCTTGGTATTCAGACATGGTTTTCTTAAAAGAAAAAGTTAGCATTTTGGTTATGCCTTATTTGGCACTTTATGGTGTAGGCAGGGGTGTCAGGATTTTATTTTTGGCCCTGACAGAAACAGATTCCTGCCTCACCTGTTTTGGAATGTGATCAAGCTGTTTGTCCTCTGCTTTGAAGGTTATGGGTTCACTTTCACACTCCGTCATTTGATTTTGGTGTTTTGGAAATCCCTGAGGGTCATTCTTGAAGCTACAGAGGTTCAGATTGTTTAGCTTACTCTTTTAAATTCTTACACCGAAGTAAATAACAGCCGGATAGTTTAGTTTAACTGTGGGTATCCTAACACAAAACAAAACTTTTTGTCAGACTGCAGACTGCTAAGTTTAACCATTCTTACACTAAAATTAACAATAACTAGACCGTTTGATTTTAACTGTGGACATCCTTATGCAGAAGTTAGTATTAAAAGTTAAACATTAATAACTGGTGCCACGTTGGTATCATCATCCTTGACTCATCTGTAAGGACCAATCAGCTCTCTATGAGTGATGTGACCAACATCATGCTGACCACACCTGACTTCCCTGATGCTCATTTGAGGCTTGGTCCACCTTGGAATCAAGTTTATATTTTCCTAAATCTGTATGGTGCGGATTTGAACCTCAGACTTTCAGGCAGAGCAGGCATTAGCCAAAATGTTAAATTTAACTGTGGACATCTGTATCAGAGTTTGTATTTGTCTGAGTTGAACTCTGGAGATTGCAAGTGAAGCAAATTCTTTTATCACAAGGACACTTTCATTCTTGTATTGTAATATCTTTTTTAAACTTTGAAACGTGATAGTGTATGTGTTCACTGTTGCTGTTTTTGACTGAATATTTTTACAAGCACAAGATCTGTAAATTTTGTCAACAGACTGTGGACTGCCAACATTGTAAACAAGATGATATTGTTGGGTTTTAAGGTGATATCCTACATCTTGGTTAAAGTCATAGTAACATTTTTAATAACTGTAAGCGTTTGCGCGTAGAAGTTTCTAAAGTATCCGTGTGCAGCTTGAAATTTTCTTTGTTTTTGAGTGTATCAGGTGTGTTTTTCAGACAGAATCTGTGCTACAGTAATCTTCTGTCTATGCTGTATTTAAGTTTCTTTCTGCAAACATAATCTGTATTGTGTTAAAGTATTTTTCCTCAAGATAAAGTCTGTGCTATGTTAAAGTGTGCTTCTCATGATAAAATCTGTGCTATGTTGAAGTCTGCTTCTCAAGGTAAAATCTGTGTTATGTTAAAGTCTGCTTCTCATAATAAAATCGGCATTAAAATATACTTCTCAAGGTAAAGTCTGTCTCGTGTTTATGTGCTTCGCAAGATAAAAATCTGACTTGTGTTTAAGTGTTTTTCAAGTTTAAAAAACTGTTGTATTCAAATGTGCTTCTCCAGCAGAATTTATGTGAATTAAAGTGTGATCACCAGATATAATTTATTTATCTCAAGGTTTGGTTCTCATGATAAAAATGTATTTTATTGTTAAGTGCGCTTCACTATACGGATTATGTCAAAGGTTGCTTCACTAGACATAATTTATTTAAGTTTTGAGGTGTTTGAATTCAGGTGTACAAATGTATTTTGTTCAAAATGTTCATATCTAATAAAGTTGTCCAAGAGGTTCTTCTTTACTTTAGGATAAAAGGCCAGTATCCATGAATCTGTAAGTGGTATCGTATAAGAAGTACATATTAGTTCTGTAAGTACATATGAGCTTTATACATATGTACTGTAAAATAGTTGGTGCCTGTAGCTCAGAAGTTATGAAGTCTGTTTCATAATTCCAGAATACCAGTTAAATTCAGCTGCAGGCTTTGGCAGCAGACTGCTTTGCACTAATTTCGACAATGGTGTATGTGTTAACTGTTTACATGGCAGGGGAAGTCCGCTAGATGTAATGTTGGCTAGTTAAAGACCCTATACAGATAACAAATGCTAGATTTAGCTTGTAGTGTCAGGTAAAAGATATTCAGTACACTTTAATTATGAAATAAAAACTTGGTGTGAATATTTATACAATTGGTGATCTATCAAGTATATATTTATATTTATGTGATAACACAGTATGAAAACTGAAAGAGAAAAATTCTTTTTTGAAGGGATTAAAACATTCCTTATATCCAGATGTCTTTAAAAACTCAGAGAGATTACTTCTAAATAAAAGGAAAGTGTGGAGATATATGAACTCAAAGAAAGTCGTTCTTTATAAAAAGAAAGTGTGGAAATGTGTGTCAAAAACCCATAGAAACTAATCACAGAAAAACTTTTAAAATGTTCTTGATGAATGACCCTCTTGTCAAAACTCGAACATTGTTTCTTATGTTCCCTTGTAATTGTTAGTTATTTCATCAGGTTATTTATTTCTGTGAAAATCATTGCTGCTGGAAGGTCTTGGTTTGACCTGACCAGTTTTTGTGTAAAGACTTTGTACTGAAGTGTTGTGAGTATTTATGGCTGTTGTAGATATATTTGCCTGCATGTGTTTCTACAGAACTGTGGATACACTTGACAAAATTGTGGATACACTTGACAAAACTGTGGATACACTTTAACAAACTTGGAGACACTTGATGAAACTGTGAAGACACTTTACAAAACTGTGGATACACTTGACAAAACTGTGGACCTTGACCAAACTGTGGACCTTGACCAAACTGTGGAGACACATGACAAAACTGGGGAGACACTTGACAAAACTGTGGAGACACATGACAAAACTGGAGAGACATTTGACAAAACTGTGGAGACACATGACAAAACTGTGGAGACACATGACAAAACTGTGGAGACACATGACAAAACTGTGGAGACACTTGACAAAACTGTGGAGACACTTGACAAAACTGTGAAGACACTTGACAAAACTGTGGAGACACATGACAAAACTGTGGAGACACATGACAAAACTGTGGAGACACATGACAAAACTGTGGAGACACATGACAAAACTGTGGAGACACTTGACAAAACTGGAGAGACATTTGACAAAACTGTGGAGACACTTGACAAAACTGTGGAGACACATGACAAAACTGTGGAGACACATGACAAAACTGTGGAGACACATGACAAAACTGTGGAGACACATGACAAAACTGTGGAGACACATGACAAAACTGTGGAGACACATGACAAAACTGTGGAGACACTTGACCAAACTGTGGAGACACATGACAAAACTGTGGAGACACATGACAAAACTGTGGAGACACATGACAAAACTGGGGAGACACTTGACAAAACTGTGGACCTTGACCAAACTGTGGAGACACATGACAAAACTGTGGAGACACTTGACAAAACTGTGGAGACACTTGACAAAACTGTGGACCTTGACCAAACTGTGGAGACACATGACAAAACTGTGGAGACACATGACAAAACTGGGGAGACACTTGACAAAACTGTGGAGACACTTGACAAAACTGTGAAGACACATGACAAAACTGTGGAGACATTTGACAAAACTGTGGAGACACATGACAAAACTGTGGAGACACTTGACAAAACTGTGGAGACACATGACAAAACTGTGGAGACACTTGACAAAACTGGAGAGACATTTGACAAAACTGTGAAGACACTTGACAAAACTGTGGAGATACTTGACAAAACTGTGGATACACTTGACAAAACTGTGGATACACTTGACAAAATTGTGGATACACTTGACCAAACTGTGGAGACACTTGACAAAACTGTGGAGACACTTGACAAAACTGTGAAGACACTTGACAAAACTGTGGAGACACATGACAAAACTGTGAAGACACTTGACAAAACTGTGAAGACACTTGACAAAACTGTGGAGACACTTGACAAAACTGTGAAGACACTTGACAAAACTGTGGATACACTTGACAAAACTGTGGAGACACTTGACAAAACTGTGGATACACTTGACAAAACTGTGGAGACACATGACAAAACTGTGGAGACACTTGACAAAACTGGAGAGACATTTGACAAAACTGTGGAGACACATGACAAAACTGTGGAGACACATGACAAAACTGTTGAGACACATGACAAAACTGTGGAGACACATGACAAAACTGTGGAGACACTTGACAAAACTGTGGAGACACTTGACCAAACTGTGGAGACACATGACAAAACTGTGGAGACACATGACAAAACTGTGGAGACATTTGACAAAACTGTGGAGACACTTGACAAAACTGGAGAGACACTTGACAAAACTGGAGAGACATTTGACAAAACTGTGGAGACACATGACAAAACTGTGGAGACACTTGACAAAACTGTGGAGACACATGACAAAACTGTGGACCTTGACCAAACTGTGGAGACACATGACAAAACTGTGGAGACACATGACAAAACTGTGGAGACACTTGACAAAACTGGAGAGACATTTGACAAAACTGTGGAGACACATGACAAAACTGTGGAGACACATGACAAAACTGGGGAGACACTTGACAAAACTGTGGAGACACTTGACAAAACTGTGGAGACACATGACAAAACTGTGGAGACACATGACAAAACTGTGGAGACACATGACAAAACTGTGGAGACACTTGACAAAACTGTGGAGACACATGACAAAACTGTGGAGACATTTGACAAAACTGTGGAGACATTTGACAAAACTGTGGAGACACATGACAAAACTGTGGAGACACATGACAAAACTGTGGAGACACTTGACAAAACTGTGGAGACACATGACAAAACTGTGGAGACACATGACAAAACTGTGGAGACACTTGACAAAACTGTGGAGACACATGACAAAACTGTGGAGACACTTGACAAAACTGTGGAGACACATGACAAAACTGTGGAGACACTTGACAAAACTGGAGATACATTTGACAAAACTGTGGAGACACATGACAAAACTGTGGAGACACATGACAAAACTGGGGAGACACTTGACAAAACTGTGGAGATACATGACAAAACTGTAGAGACACATGACAAAACTGGGGAGACACTTGACAAAACTGTGGAGACACTTGACAAAACTGTGAAGACACTTGACAAAACTGTGGAGACACATGACAAAACTGTGGAGACACTTGACAAAACTGTGGAGACACATGACAAAACTGTGGAGACACATGACAAAACTGTGGAGACACTTGACAAAACTGGAGAGACATTTGACAAAACTGTGGAGACACATGACAAAACTGTGGAGACACATGACAAAACTGTGGAGACACATGACAAAACTGTGGAGACACATGACAAAACTGTGGAGACACTTGACCAAACTGTGGAGACACATGACAAAACTGTGGAGACACTTGACAAAACTGTGGAGACACTTGACAAAACTGGAGAGACATTTGACAAAACTGTGGAGACACTTGACAAAACTGGAGAGACACTTGACAAAACTGGAGAGACATTTGACAAAACTGTGGAGACACATGACAAAACTGTGGAGACACTTGACAAAACTGTGGAGACACTTGACAAAACTGTGGACCTTGACCAAACTGTGGAGACACATGACAAAACTGGGGAGACACTTGACAAAACTGTGGAGACACATGACAAAACTGGAGAGACACTTGACAAAACTGGAGAGACACATGACAAAACTGTGGAGACACTTGACAAAACTGTGGAGACACTTGACAAAACTGTGGAGACACATGACAAAACTGTGGAGACACATGACAAAACTGTGGAGACACTTGACAAAACTGTGGAGACACATGACAAAACTGTGGAGACACTTGACAAAACTGGAGAGACATTTGACAAAACTGTGGAGACACATGACAAAACTGTGGAGACACATGACAAAACTGCGGAGACACATGACAAAACTGTGGAGACACATGACAAAACTGTGGAGACACATGACAAAACTGTGGACCTTGACCAAACTGTGGAGACACATGACAAAACTGGGGAGACACTTGACAAAACTGTGGAGACACATGACAAAACTGGAGAGACACTTGACAAAACTGTGAAGACACTTGACAAAACTGTGGAGACACTTGACAAAACTGGAGAGACATTTGACAAAACTGTGAAGACACTTGACAAAACTGTGGAGATACTTGACAAAACTGTGGATACACTTGACAAAACTGTGGATACACTTGACAAAATTGTGGATACACTTGACCAAACTGTGGAGACACTTGACAAAACTGTGGAGACACATGACAAAACTGTGAAGACACTTGACAAAACTGTGGAGATACTTGACAAAACTGTGGATACACTTGACAAAACTGTGGATACACTTGACAAAATTGTGGATACACTTGACCAAACTGTGGAGACACATGACAAAACTGTGAAGACACTTGACAAAACTGTGGAGACACTTGACAAAACTGTGGAGACACATGACAAAACTGTGGAGACACATGACAAAACTGTGGAGACACATGACAAAACTGTGGAGACACTTGACAAAACTGTGGATACACTTGACAAAACTGTGGAGACACATGACAAAACTGTGGAGACACATGACAAAACTGTGGAGACACATGACAAAACTGTGGAGACACATGACAAAACTGTGGAGACACATGACAAAACTGTGGAGACACATGACAAAACTGTGGAGACACATGACAAAACTGTGGAGATACTTGACAAAACTGTGGATACACTTGACAAAACTGTGGAGACACTTGACAAAACTGGGGAGACACTTGACAAAATTGTGGATACACTTGACAAAACTGGGGAGACACTTGACAAAACTGTGGAGACACTTGACAAAACTGTGGATACACTTGACAAAAGAAAAACAATATAGCACTAGACTGTGGTTAACAGGCTGACATACACTTATGGATTTACTGTGGGAAAGATAATAACATATGTGAGTATATCCAGTACAGTGATGAGAATGTTTGTTGATATATCTAGTATAATTATAAGAACATCTGTAGATATATCCAGTTCAATGATAAGAACTGTAGATGTATCCATGATGATAAGCTACACTGAACTGTACAGCTGGTTGTTGTATGCTGATGAATTTATTGCAGACCAGATATGAACATTATGGATGTATCCAGAGTGCTGAAGTTATAAATTACCCTGCGTCCTGCTGCATTTCTGGGGATTTGTAGCTGGATTTAATTCAGTGTGGCAGTATAGAGATGTTGATTAATAACTGGATTTAATACAGGGTGGTAGTATAGATTTGTTAATTTATAACTGGATTTAATACAGTGTGTGTATAAAGTTGTTGATTTATAACTGGATTTAATACAGTATGGCAGTATAGAGTTGATTTATAACTGGATTTAATACAGTGTGGCAGTACAGAGTTGTTGATTTATAACTGGATTTAATTCAGTGTGGCAGTATAGAGTTGTTGATTTGTAACTGGATTTAATACAATTTGGTAGTATAGAGTTGTTGATTTATAGCTGGATTTATCACAGTATGGCAGTATAAAGTTCATTTATAACTGGATTGAATACAGTATGGCAGTATAGAGTTGATTTATAATTGGAATTTTTACAATTTGGGAGCATAAAGTTGATTTATTACTGGATTTACTAGAAGATATTAGTATCGAGATGTTTAATAGATTGATACAAACATAAATAGTCAGGCAATTATCTTTTCGTGAGCTGCTTGTAGATTAAGCATCGTATATTTTTGTTTTCCACACATCCCATTTGTAATAAAAAAGTTGTGTTTTTTAATAATTTCATGTATAATCTTATATTGACTTGGCACAGATGTTTGCAACACATTGATGTTTGCAACACATTGATGTCTATTTTGTCATGTGTTTTATCTACTTAATGGAGCATACATATCATGTATAATGTTATTTTGGAACACTTCTGTGTGTATTTGTATATATTGAATTGAGTTTATAATTTTTTTTTTAAATACATTTATATATTGTTTTGTACATTATATGTATTGGTGCATGCCTTTGTGTCTGTATATTATATTTTGCTGTTTATAAAAGTGATTTTTCAACAACAGTTTCAGTAGAAAGTTGATATTGCTACAGGAGACTTATGCTGACTGATGCAAAGTAAATGTCTCTGCATGTGATACAAATAATTTCATCAACTCAGGCAGAGTGCTTTCCCAACCCATAGAACAGAAAGTTGTGTTGTAACTGAAGGGGGTCCTCGTATAACTGTTTGATATCGTTGAGGACAGTGTCTGGCATTTTCTGCTGTTGGATATGAATCCAATAAGTGGCTCTTACAGCTGTACTGTATCTGCTTCATGCTCTAGTGTTTCCAGCAATATCTGGTGATGTACTAGCCGCACATCTGATAATATGGTATTTGAAACCATACCTGATGATGATGTGGTATTTCCAGCAATATCTGGTGATGTACTAGCCGCACATCTGATAATATGGTATTTGAAACCTTACCTGATGATGATGTGGTATTTCCAGCAATATCTGGTGATGTACTAGCCGCACATCTGATAATATGGTATTTGAAACCTTACCTGATGATGATGTGGTATTTGCAACTATATCTGATAATATCATGCTAATCCCAGCCATATCTTTATGATATCCTGCTATTTGGAACATCTGATGATGTGGCATTTGCAAGCATATCTGATGGTATGATAGTATTTCCAACCATATTGGATTATTCTATGATGTTTATAAAAATAATCAGTCTCATTGTTTAAGTGTTTCCTTGAAAACTGCTGATGAAAAGCACTAGATTGATACATATTGCTGAGATTGTATTTTGTTCATTGTTAGTTTCATTTTGTTTAAATTTTTCATTAGTACCATTTTGGTGTTACCAACAACTACCATATTCCTATTGTAGAGTATCACAGAGTGATAATATGCTATTTAAAACACATTCCAATTGAGACCAAAGCAGATATGTCATCAACTGTTAACTCAGTCAAGCTGATTTTTTCATTATTTTCAACCAGATATTTACATATGTTTTGGGGTTGTTAAAAGGTTACCATTCTAGTATTACAAATTTGATCATCACAGGTCTTCCCATTTTTGCTTAACTTATAAGGCAGTTGTCATTGATTGTCATACGAAGAGCAAGGCTTGGTATTAAATCTTTCAGTCCCAAGTAACACATCATACAAACACATCGTACGTTCATAGGTTCACTAACTAGAAGCCCAGTGAATGCAAGATGGGCTGATGTTGCATCTCTGTTTACTACTTCTTGAGGCTCTGATGCTAAACCCCTTGGGACAGAAAGAACTAAGCATGGATGCTTTTTGAAAATAATATTTGAAATGTGTTGTTTTTAGTTTAATGAATCTAGTTAACCATAGAAATTTGTTTAGTGCCAGATTACACTACATTCATAGATGTAAACATTACAGCACATACTAAGATGTCAACACTACATAAAATAAACTTTTGTAAACATTACATGTAAATAATCTGACAGCAACTTTACATAACATACATATCTGTAAACATTACATAATCAGACAGCAACTTTAGGACCACCCACAGATGTAAACATTACATCACATTAGTTGCATATTCTTTACGGGACATTGCAGAACCAACTCCAGCATTTGTTGGCTGTTTGGTTTTACTAGGCAGTTTTTCTTCCCCTCCATTCAGTAGTTTGTTATTGCTTTCTGAATAGTCGGCTCACGATAGCACTGTCAATATTAATGCAAAGTGGTCTGCTGCTAAATAACCCATGACATCCCACAGATAACTGATCCATGACATTACATGCAGATAACTGATCCATGACACCACACAGATAACTGACCCATGACATAACACACAGATAACTGATCCATAACATCACACACAGATAACTGATCCATGACATCCCACAGATAACTGATCCATGACATTACATGCAGATAGCTGATCCATGACATAACACACAGATAACTGATCCATGATATTACATGCAGATAACTGATCCATGACATAACACACAGATAACTGATCCATGACATCACACACAGATAACTGATCCATGACATAACACACAGATAATTGATCCATGACATAACACACAGATAACTGATCCATGACATCCCACAGATAACTGATCCATGACATTACATGCAGACAGCTGATCCATGACATAACACACAGATAACTGATCCATGATATTACATGCAGATAACTGATCCATGACATAACACACAGATAACTGATCCATGACATTACACACAGATAACTGATCCAAGACATCCCACAGATAACTGATCCATGACACCACACAGATAACTGATCCATGACAAAACACACAGATAACTGATCCATGACATAACACACAGATAACTGATCCATGACATCCCACAGATAACTGATCCATGACATTACATGCAGATAGCTGATCCATGACATAACACACAGATAACTGATCCATGAGATTACATGCAGATAACTGATCCATGACATAACACACAGATAACTGATCCATGATATTACATGCAGATAACTGATCCATGACATTACACACAGATAACTGATCCAAGACATCCCACAGATAACTGATCCATGACACCACACAGATAACTGATCCATGACATCACACAGATAACTGATCCATGACACCACACAGATAACTGATCAATGACACCACACAGATAACTGATCCATGACATCACACACGGATAACTGATCCATGACATCACACATAGATATCTGAAACATGACATCTCACAGAAACTGAACTTTTACATCACACACGGATAACTGATCCATGACATCATACAAAGATAACTGATCCATGATATCATACACAGATAACTGATCCATGACATCACACATAGATATCTGAAACATGACATCTCACAGAAACTCTCAATTTACATCACAGACAGGCAACAGGACATACAGATAACTGGCACATGACATGACACACAGATAACTGATCCATGACAGGACATACAGATAAATGTCACATGGCATGACACAGATAATTAATCTGTTACATCATACACATATAACAGATAAATCAGTGATGTCTTCCTATCCGAACTGTTCCTCATGTGAACTTCAGGGCCTCATTCTAGTGCAGGGTGATTCAACTGATTGACCCACTGCCCTTACCAAAGAAATCATAAAAGTGATTGTTGAAGGCTTTACTAAAATCAAATTTGTTATGCATAAAAGAGCAGATATCACAGCCTAGCTACAAACTAGCACAGGATGCCAGCTGTCCTTTTAAGGGTGTATGCCGAAGAATAATAGGATTACAACTGTGATAAACATTACCAGTTCTTCTCCCCAACACACTTGCATCATATCTGGGTAAGCAACCATCTTGTTTATTTAGTGTGTGCCCCAGTGGATGTAGTTAGCTGTTAACATATTACTGGCCAGAGTTAAAGGAGATTTGCATGGATTCAGAACTCCAGTATTGTATCAATAAAATATATTTTTGAAACTGCAAACTTTTTTGAGAGGCTTCTGTATGTAAGTGTGGAAGTCTAGTGGTTAGAATACTGGCTCATCAGCGAAGTTGAAGATCATCAGTAATATGCAGATAATAACATGATCCATCATCACCATCATCTCCTTCGTCTTCCTTTCTTCTTTCCTTTCTTCTCCCTTTTCTTTCTATCTTCCTTCTGCTTCTTGGTCTGTTCCTTCTCCATCTCATCTTCCTCCTACTCTTCTTCCTGATGTTTCTACAGCTATGAGCTGCTGAAAAAATAATAAAACCAGAGGTGACCGAAGGCAATCTAGTATCCAGAAATTCATTTCCTGAACTGTGACTTGAAGGCCTATCCAAGGTGGGAAGGGGAAAAATACACACAGAGCAATCGGACATTTCAATAGCAACTTTTATTGACAAAAGAAAAAAACACAATGATATATTGCTGCAGATATATGCAGTGATTACTCACTCTCACACATCCTGTTCTTGGCACTGCTCCTAAATATTGCATGTCAAGTTTCTAAATATCCTTGTGCCTTGGGCCTTAATTGGTTCAGTGTAGAAGCCCCAGTGGCACAGTGACCCATGTCTCTGGGCTCAAGATACATAGCATGCCCAAGTGGGTACAGCAAACAGAAATGGCACTGCAGCAACATGATTTCTTTTGCTTCCTCTTTTGTTGTCTTTTGTTCTTCAGCATCAGCTTTCATAACTTCTTTCTTTTTCTTCTTTTTCTTCTAGTTCTTTATCTTGTAGTTCTTCTTCTACTGCTTCTTCTTCTTGGATCAATTGTGTGTGTATGATGTCTCTGTCTCTATCTGTCTGTCTCTCTCTCTCTCTACACACACACACAAACACACACACATATATATATATACATGCCGCGAACACCATCTTGTTGTGTTTTTTATCAATAAAGGTTGTCGAAACATCAGACTGTTATGGCTCTTATGACTGTCCTAAAAATAATGTTACCAGTTTATCTGTTTAGGAATTGTATTATTTGGGCTTTTTGCAGTCAATACTCTCACCAGTGGCCAACCCCTCTACAAGGTGTGCAGTAAATACTCTCACCAGTGACCAACCCCTCTACAAGGTGTGCAGTAAATACTCTCAGCCAGGGACCAACCCCTCTACAAGATGTGCAGTAAATACTCTCACCAGTGACCAACCCCTCTACAAGATGTGCAGTAAATACTCTCACCAGTGACCAACCCCTCTACAAGATGTGCAGTCAATACTCTCACCAGTGGCCAACCCCTCTACAAGATGTGCAGTAAATACTCTCAGATAGTGACCAACCCCTCTACAAGATGAGCAGTAAATACTCTCAGATAGTGACCAACCCCTCTACAAGATGTGCAGTCAATACTCTCACCAGTGACCAACCCCTCTACAAGAAGTGCAGTTAATACTCTCACCAGTGACCAACCCCTCTACAAGAAGTGCAGTCAATACTCTCAGATAGTGACCAACCCCTCTACAAGATGTGCAGTCAATACTCTCAGCCAGTGACCAACCCCTCTACAAGGTGTGCAATAAATACATTCAGCCAGTGACCAACCCCTTTACAAGGTGTGCAGTCAATTTTTCTCAGATAATGACCAACCCCTCTACAAGAAGTGCAGTAAATACTCTCAGATAGTGACCAACCCCTCTACAAGAAGTGCAGTAAATACTCTCAGATAGTGACCAACCCCTCTACAAGAAGTGCAGTTAATACTCTCAGCCAGTGACCAACCCCTCTACAAGGTGTGCAGTAAATACTTTCAGCCAGTGACCAACCCCTCTACAAGGTGTGCAGACTATACTCTCAGCCAGTGAGCAACCTCTCTACAAGGTGTGCAGTTAATACTCTCAGCCAGGGACCAACCCCTCTACAAGGTGTACAGTCAATACTCTCAGATAGTGACCAACCCCTCTACAAGAAGTGCAGTAAATACTCTCAGATAGTGACCAACCCCTCTACAAGAAGTGCAGTTAATACTCTCAGCCAGTGACCAACCCCTCTACAAGGTGTGCAGTAAATACTTTCAGCCAGTGAACAACCCCTCTACAAGGTGTGCAGACTATACTCTCAGCCAGTGAGCAACCTCTCTACAAGGTGTGCAGTTAATACTCTCAGCCAGGGACCAACCCCTCTACAAGGTGTGCAGTCAATACTTTCAGCCAGGGACCAACCCCTCTACAAGGTGTGCAGTTAATACTCTCAGCCAGTGACCAACCCCTCTACAAGGTGTGCTGTCAATACTCTCAGCCAGTGACCAACCCCTCCACAAGGTGTGCAGTCAATTCTCTCAGCCAGTGACCAACCCCTCTACAAGAAGTGCAGTAAATACTCTCAGATAGTGACCAACCCCTCTACAAGAAGTGCAGTCAATACTTTCAGCCAGGGACCAACCCCTCTACAAGGTGTGCAGTTAATACTCTCAGCCAGTGACCAACCCCTCTACAAGGTGTGCAGTCAATACTCTCAGCCAGTGACCAACCCCTCTACAAATTGTGAAGTCAATACTCTCAGCCAGTGACCAACGCATCTACAAGGAAAGATTGATCATGTAGGATCAGGGCAAAATCTGGTTTAAAGAACTGAATCTGTCTTTTTTTAAACACCTTTTCAATATTTTTTTCATCCAAATAACATCAACTTTAGCTGTAATCACAATCATCTACATCATGACATTAGCTGTAGCTGTGAACAGTCATTTACATCATGACATCAACTGAACCTGTGAAGTCATTTACATCATGACATCAACTGTAGCTATGAACAGTCATTTACATCATGACACCAACTGTAGCTATGTACAGTCATTTACATCATGACATCAACTGTAAATAAACCACAATCATCCACATCATCTCTAGCTGTAAACACAGTCATTTACATCATGACATCAACTGTAAATAAACCACAATCATCCACATCATCTCTAGCTGTAAACACAGTCATTTACATCATGACATCAACTGTAAATAAACCACAATCATCCACATCATCTCTAGCTGTAAACACAGTCATTGACATCATGACATCAACTGTAGATGTAAACACAATCATCTACATCATGACATCAGCTCTAGCTGTAAACACATTCATTTACATAATGACATCAACTGTAGCTTAACCACAATCATCCACATCATTACATCAGCTGTAGCTGTAAACACAGTCATTGACATCATAACATCAACTGTAGCTGTAAACACATTCATTTGCATCATGACATCAACTGTAGCTGTAAACACAATCATTTACATTATGACATCAACTTTGGCTGTAAACACAATAAATTACATCATGACATCAACTGTAGCTGTAAACACAATCATTTACATTATGACATCAACTTTGGCTGTAAACACAATAAATTACATCATAACATCAACTGTAGCTGTAAACACAGTCATTGACATCATGACATCAACTGTAGATGTAAACTTACTTACTTTTACTTTTTCCTTCCACGTATGCCGCTAGGCGTTGTGGGGAGATGCAAGTTCCTGTCATAAGCAAGGCGGGCAGCATCTGATGTTCTGAGGCCATGCTTTTGGCAGGTTTCGGAGACCCCGTCAATCCACAATTTCCTTGGTCTTCCTCTTGCCTTATATCCTGAGCTTCTTTGGTTGAAAATTTGTGATGTTATTTGATCATTTTTCATCCTGGTTAGATGTCCAAACCATTTCATTCTTTGATGTTCTATGTAGTCTAAACATGGCGTAGTTTTGACAGTGTTTCTAATGTCTATATTCTTTATCCTGTCTAGTCTGGTCTTATTCGCTGCTTTTCTTAGACATTTCATTTCACAGGCTTTATATCATGCCATCAGCTGTAGCTGTAAACACAGTCATTTACATCATGACATCAACTGTAGATTTAATCCTAATCAGAACACTACAGTACATATAACCCCCATCAGTAAACTACAGTACTTTTAATCCTAATTGGTAAACTACAGAACTTGTAACTCTAATCAATAAAATATAGTACTTGTAATCCTATTCAGTTAGCTACAGTACCCTAATCAATACAATACAGTATTTGTAACCCTAATCAATAAACTACAGTACTTGTAACTAGGGCTGTACTGAATAGTGATTTCACTATTCGGCCGAATACGAATAGTGTATCATCATCATCAGGTGCCTTGTCCGACTGGCATGGGCGATTATGCCTCGCCACAATCTGCGATCTCCTGCAGCATGTATTAATTCGTGTGCTAACACACCCCCATGCCAAACAACAAGACTGTCATTAATCTTCTTTTGTTATGAAGATTCTCTATCCCTCCTTCCACAGATCTTTCCAGTGGTCACCACATGTTTCATTTTCCCTCTTCTCATAACATGGCCGAAAAATGATGACTGTCTCCTTCTGATGTCTGTGATTGGGTGTCTTCGGGCTTCCGCCTCTTTCAAAACCTCAGAGTTGCTTTTTTTTTTTTTTTTTTGCTGTCCAAGGTATTTTAAGCATTGTTTTGTAAAACCACATCTCTGAGGCCTCAAGAAATTGTTCGACCTGCCTACCGATTGTCCAGGACTCACAGCCATATGCTAAAACTGGATGTATGTAGCAAGCAAGAATTATCTTTCTAACCTTCAATGACAAAGATATATTGCATAAGATGTTCTTCATTTGATAAAATGCAGTGTTTGCCCAGATACCTGAATTTCTGTACTTGTCCCAAAATAAAACCATTGACTTTTATACACATTTATGATTAATTATTTTCTTTTATACCACCATTACTTCTGTCTTCCAACTATTCAAACTGAGACCCATTCCTTTACTTTCAAATAGTGTATAAAATAGATCTAAAAAAAAAAAAAAACATTAATAATGTCAAATGTACGCTGAAATTTTACTTCACAAAATGTAGTACAGAATAGTAAACATTTAAAAACATTTCATGTTTTGCATCCTTCAGTCAGTCAGTCTGTGGTAACTAATACCTAGTAAATAAACTTGTAAATTGTCACAGCTTAGTTAATCCATAAAAGCGACATTAGCTTTCAACAAATAAAAAAATAAAAATCGTTCCATGTTGTCATCATTAAGTCAGCTTCTCGTCTCATTGACGGTATTTCCAGCTGTACTAAACAGACGTTCACTTAGTACGCTTGTAGATGGTGCACAAAGATAACGCTTCACAGTATGAACCAAGGTGGGAAATCTGGACATGTTTATTTTCCACCAGTCCAGAAACGGGTGTAGGGTAGCCACTATTCGTATTCGGCCAGACCGCAACTATTCGGCCGAATACCAAAAAGTTATTAGGTCCACTATTCGGCCCAGAAGCAAATACGAAGCGAATATTCGGTACAGCCCTACTTATAACACTAAGTGGTAAACTACAGTACTTGTAACCATAGTTGGTAAACTACAGTACTCGTAACCCTAATTGGTAAACTACAGTATTGTAATCCTAATCGGTAAACTACAGTACTCGTAACCCTAATTGGTAAACTACAGTATTGTAATCCTAATCGGTAAACTACAGTACTTGTAAACCCTAATTGGTAAACTACAGTACTTGTAACTCTAATTGATTGGTAAAATACAGTACTTGTAACCCTAATTAGTAAACTACAGTATTTGTAACCCTAATTGGTAAACAACAGTACTTGTAACCCTAATTGTTAAACTACAGTACTTGTAACCCTAATTGGTAAACTTCAGTACTTGAAACCCTAATCTGCAAACTACAGTACTTGTAACCCAAATTGGTAAACTACAGTACTTGTAACCCTAATTGGTATACTACAGTACTTGTAACCCTAATTGGTAAACTACAGTACTTGAAACCCTAATTTGTAATCTACAGTACTTGAAACCCTAATTGGTAAACTACAGTACTTGTAACCCTAATTGGTAAACTACAGTACTTGAAACCCTAATTTGTAATCTACAGTACTTGAAACCCTAATTGGTAAACTACAGTACTTGTAACCCTAATTTGTAATCTACAGTACTTGAAACCCTAATTGGTAAACTACAGTACTTGTAACCCTAATTTGTAATCTACAGTACTTGAAACCCTAATTGGTAAACTACAGTACTTGTAACCCTAATTGGTAAACTACAGTACTTGTAACCCTAATTGGTAAACTACAGTACTTGTAACCCTAATTGGTAAACTACAGTACTTGTAACCCTAATTGGTAAACTACAGTACTTGTAAACTACAGTATGGAGAAGGAAGACAGGGGAATGGGGCGGAAGGACCAGGAGGAACGGAAACACGTGATAACGAAGAGGGTGTATACGAATAAAGAACAAAGAAGCAGGTGAACAATGTAAATACAGAAGTGCTAATAAAGCTAATGCCGAAGTTTAAAAAATAAAAAAGACGACAAAGGAAGAAGCAAGAGAAGTAGTCTGTATATGGCAGGTTACGTGTAGCTCGTTTAACCAACGAATTCACCTCTTATGATTAAATCAACTAACTGGAGAATATGAGAGAGATGCTATTTTGTATAGCAAATACACTAGAAGGCGAGAGATTCCTAGTAGCTGACAGAGATAATAAGTGATTCTTGTGTTACAGCTATTTGATATAATTGCACATGACACAATTTCTAGTTCTCGCCACCAGTGAATTTGTGGAAACTTAAAAAAAAAAAAACATTAAATTATCTTTGAAAATAGTTTATAATAGTCATGTATGTTAACACTCTAAAAGTACTAGAGAGTTTTCGGAAATGCCATTCTGGTCTCAAGACTCAGCGAAGAGAAAAACCATTACCGCAACTGCACCTCCACGCATGTGAATATGAAAAGAAAGGAGACACAACTTGTACCACATTATTATCCCCAGAAACTCATTATGGAAGCTACAAATGAAACTAAAAGATCTGATTGGTAAGGCCCCCTGGCTAGGCACATCTCAAACACGAAATGGGGAAAAGAAACACGACTACAGTCAAGATCAAAACATATTCTTGAATATAAAGAAAACGAAAATAATGTCCAAAGACAAAACTGGCTGTCACCCAAAAATAACATTAAATGATGAAAAAAAAAAACTGAAAATATTACAAACTTTCAATACCTAGACTAAGTAATTTAAAAAAAAAGAAAAAAAAAAAAAAAAAGAAATGGAGACTGACGGAAATCAAAAGGAGGATATCCATAGACAAAGAAGAGGAGAAATACTTAAATTTTAAAAGATGTGAACATCAAGGAAGATTGGCTAATAAACAGTATCTTATCCCAGAAGCTGAAATATTTTTGTCATGTCAAGCGCCATGGCGGATGTGGAAAAGTAATAGCGGAAGGCATGGTGCAGGGAAGGAGGGCAGGGGTCGACCAACACGAAGGTGGGCACAAGATATAAGTACATGAGGCGGGAGAGAACGAGTTTCTTTCAGACAGACCGTGATGAGAGCGACGTTCTGCAAAGGACCTGCTACAGGATAGTATTGCCAATAATTTCCTTAGAAACTTACATAGCAAATTTTTTTTTTTTTTTTTTTTTTTGCAGGTTATTTGTTCTCCTCCATGCAAAAACGAGTAATGTAAAAATTGTTAATATTATAACGATTTAAAATATTAACGATAATAAATCTCAAGTTATTAAAAAAAAAAGTGAGTAGATGGCATTTACGTACGTTTTCACAGAAAATAAAAATTCCTGGCTATAATTATGTTCATAATTCAATTGCCAGTGCTATAAAGGCTACAACCATGTTCTCGCAGGTCGGCCAGATTTAGATCGGATAATAGAAACATGCTGCCAAAGACGTACATCGTATATATAACTGGCACA